CAACAATGTTATTAACTTAACAACTGCAATGATTCATTTAACAACTGTGGCAAGAAAAGTCTTAAAATGGGGCAAAACTCACTTAGCAACCTTAATTTTTGGGCTCAGTTGTGGTCGTAATTCAAGGACTACCTATAGAAGTCTGTATTTGTTGCCCTATAATTGGAGCCTTCCAGATTTTTTGTACTATATCTCACATATTCCCTTGCTTTGGGTAAGCGATCTGGGGATGGTGCAAATAAAGTCCCAAAACAAAACGGGGTTTTTCAAACTATGTTTGGTGGAACTTAATAGGGTTTTGTAAAAACTAAAGGAAAACAAAATCAGTTGAATTGAGCCAGTTTTCTATCACTAGAGTTTTGCCTCCTAATTAAGATTTTTATAACCAGTGGGTTTTGAAAGTATCTGGTTGTCTATCCCAGCTTTAAATTCTCAGCTTTCTTCTTGTGCCCAGAACCTCCTGCCTGATTGAGTAACGTTGCAGCGAAAATACACAGCTCAAATGTTTTTCAGTGATTTGTTACTGGCAAAATGTTACACAATCGAAGGTGTGCCTCTCTCTATGCATTCACTTGGTTAGAGCAGAGGTTGCCCTCATGCAGGAACAGAAAACCACATCTGTGGGCACAGTGAATGCATTCTAGCCAAATCTCCCCACACTGAGAATGAAACAAGAGCAACAGCCAGCTTGTGAATTGCCAGTCTCTTGAGATAAGAATCATCTGTCAACAACCGCAGAGAGAAATATCGAAAGAAAGCTAACTTTCCTATCCTGGATCTCCATTTTGTCTTTGATCGCAAATGACTAATAGAGGATCGTGTAGGTGGGGGAGTGAGGATCATTTGGTGGATCTGTTTTTTTGATTAGGCCATATTAAAGTCATTGCAGAGTTCGGTAAACAAGTAACATGATTACATGGGGATGTGGGCAGCTGCAGTAATTTCCCCCAATACCTTCATTCGTAGAAGAGTTAGGATTTGCTCAAGTACTGGGAAGCGCAGTGTCTTTCAAAAGAATTTAAGAAAAGCCCTTGGCATGGTGCTTCACAACCAAATGGAAACCCCCCCAGGGAGGTTATGTCAGCAATTGTGCTTTGATACCATGGAGTTGCATCCGTTTCTCAACTGACGGATTTTACACAGCCACGTAGATGACCTACAAGAGTGTAGATGGCCTTCAAGACCAGCGGCCGTGGTATCTTGGTTGTGATGAAAGTCCCCAAATTGTATTAGATGTTGTGTGAAGAAGAAGTTGTTTCTTTATATCTTGTCACCTCTGGACTCAGCAAGAGTTGGTCAAAAGCCAGTAAATATTTCAGCAATCTGCACAATGCACACTCAATACACACTCTTAAGCCCCCCCCCCAAGGGGGCTTAGACAACTTGTTTACTTGGGGTGAATGTTTTGTTTTAAAAAGAGAGGCCTTTGATTTAATGTTCCCCTTCTAATTCTACCTTTCTTTCTTGTTTTTCAGGATTGCAGTATTTATGGTAAGAAAATTAACATTTTTATGGAACTACTGTCTATGTTGAATTTGAGCCTGGGGTTGTAGGGTGATGGAGACAGCAATTGGGAACTGAGTGAGGAGTGAAGACCGGAGATCTCACTGCATTGGGTTGAGGTTGGAGTAGACAACCGATGAGAGGTCCTTGGTGCTCTCATCGGATTGACTATCTTGACTAGCACTGATGATGTTACCTACTTTGGGTAATGAAACATCTACAAGAAAACAACCAAGCTCAGAGAGCACTTCACTTCAACCCTGAGCTACACATATTCTCCTTTATTAGTAGACAACTAATGCACATTTGATTGCAAGGCACAATGACTTGAGAGCAGTGGTATACCACCACAAATCTGTTAAACTTGCCCTCATGGATTTTGGATGGCTTTTTGATTTTAGTGCTGTTGTAACATGTCCTCTTACCCATGGCAGGAAGATAACCCCGTTGACTTTTTTTTTAAAAAAAAATTATCATTCTACCATTTGGATGTTATTCCTTTCAAACTAAATTTGAAAGTTGCATTTTCCCTCTTCTCTTGCCGTTGAGAAGTTCTGATGATGTCCTCGGGCTGGGATTTTGCACAACTCCAATTGGACAATTGAGGTTGCTCCGAAAATGCTCCCTCCACATTGAATAGTGACCGTGACCTTTGGTGGTGACTTTGGCATGGGCTGCTGGCGAGATCAGACCCCGGCCTTCTGCAGTAGCCCCTGCCCATGTAGTGACTGACTAGAACTTTCTGAAGTGCCTTTGAGTGCTATGGAGGCGCTTTTTAAACACAAGATCCTTTGAGGGACTGGTGGTGCCTATAAAACAATGCAATGAGAATTTCAGAATCAGTTCTCTCACTCTATTACTATAGATAGTTACTACTCTCTCTCTCTCATAGGCTAGAGAAATAGGGGAAAGATGAAATATATCAGTTCCATCCTCCTTCTCCACACATTCACCTGGAAGGTAGTCCTTGACTTAAACCTTAATTCAGACCGGAAATTCATTGCTAAGCAAGGCAGTTGTTGCGCCTCATTTTCTGACCATTTTTGCTATGGTCGTTAAGGAAATCATTAATAGACATTAAGGAGACAGGTGTTAATAAAGTGAACCTGGCTTCCGCCATTGACTTTGCTTGTTGGAAGTCAAATGACGAGGTTGCAAATGGCGATCACATGACCCTGGGACACTGCAACCATCATAAATCCATGCCGGTTGCCAAGGGCCCAGATTTTGATGTGTGACCATAGAGATGCTGTGATCATTGTCAGTGCAAGGACTGATCATCGGTCACTTTTTTCAGCACCACTGCAACTTTGAACAGTCGCTAAACAGTCCCAATTGTGGTCTTACGTCAAGGATTATCTGTAATGCAATTTGGGTTGTTTTTTTTTTTTTTGCAGCTTAGCATGATGTGTAAACTCACTCATTATTGGTTTATTAGTCTGTGTGAACCAAAACAAATTATTTTTCTTTAAAGCAGGGGTTCTCAACCTTGGCAACTTTAAGACTTGTGGACTTCAACTCCCAGAATTCCTCAGCCAGCTTTGTTGGCTGAGGAATTCTGGGAGTTGAAGTCCACAAGTCTTAAAGTTGCCAAGGTTGAGAACCCCTGCTTTAAAGCATCCTGCTTTAGCACCGTGTGAACGCAGTCAATCAAGTGTGCTGGTTGCTTTGGAGAATCAGAGAAGAAATCCATGCCCTTCCTGTAGTAGATGACTTGTTCTTTTCTATGTTAAGTGCTAATCTTACAGAAATCCTGCTCTATTTTACTTCTGTCCTCCTTCCTTTGGAACATGTGCAAGTAGCCATTGTAAATAGACATAACAATCGGCTATTGTATTGACACTATAATGCCAGTTAGGAATCCAAACATGCTTCCTTATCCAGTCTGTAAATGTATTTGTGTATTTAAGGATTACAAGAAAAGGAAGATAATGGCTGAGTTTGCACATTGGGCAAAGACAAAATCAAACAAATTGTAATCAAGCATAAGTTGATTATAAACCAGGTAAACGTGTCACCAAGAGCATTCAAACGGGTCAGTCCTTTAATGTCACTTGTTATTAGTTGCAAAGTCCTGACCGACCCATCGTGACCCCATGGACAATGTTCCTCCATTGTCACTTACCAGGGAGTAGATAAACATACAAGGGTTTTTCCTGGGAGTTATTGGAAGGCCCTTCTTGTCAGTTCTCCTTCTACAGAGACATACGCATTGCACTTTGTTGTCTTACACCTTTGTTGCCTTACACACCCCAACACTTTCAGGGAGAAAGGTTGCGTGGGGATTAATGTAAACTTTGCCCTAGAACTTGTTTACAGTTCAGTTTTCCTGTGTGCGTATTTATTTAAGTCATTATTCAATTCATGTGGATTTCCATCTCAACAAATAAGTCTGGATGGCAAAATCAAAAATGTTTGCTACCATATCATAAATAATAAGCTTAAAACACACGGCAACCAAGGAAGATAACACAATTGACAGATTGAAACACATAGCAACCCAGAAAGGCAACACAGTTTAAAAATTTGAATTGAGGCCCAACGTGGCCTCAAGATCGGGTGTTGAGATTCAGGCCTCTACTACACACTCTTATTAAATTATAGTTTTTAAATCTTTTTTTTTAGGAAGTTCAGTGGGATGTGTGTGTGTGTGTGTGTGTGTGTGTGTGTGTGTGTGTGTGTGCCTTTGAGTCAGTTTTTCATTTCTGGTGGCTGCCTGGGTAAATATTTGTGGTTTTCTTGTCAAGATTTCAGAAGCAGTTTGCCCTTGCCACCTTCTTTCTAAGGCTGAGAGAGAGGGATTGGCCCAAGTCACTCAGCTGGCTTTGGGTCTAGTGCAGGGCTAGAACTCATTGTCTGCCACTTACTAGCTTTAATTCACTATTTCTCAGCATTCTGACAGAGGAATTCTGGGTGTAGAAATCCCTGCATCTTAATGTGGCCAAGGTTAATACTGCTCTACAAATTTGGCATCCTTCTTCTATAATTTATTATGGGCCTGATTTGCTGCTCTTTCCTCTGTATTAGAAGGTACTGACTTAAGCTGTATGTGGCCCCCAAGCCTCTGGGTTTGTCTCTAGAGCTTTTCTAAAACTGCTGTTGCTGAACCACAGTACTTAAGTCAGACATGTCAAACACAAGGCCCGGGGGCCAGATGCGGCCCATGGTTTCATCCGCGAAGCCATCCTGGAAACAGTGAGGGAACGGCCCCCGCTGCCTTGGCCCTGGCCCAGGCCGGCTGGGAGCCAATGTACAATTTTTTGGTGGCCATCTTGGCATTTGCCCTGGTGGACCATGCCTTGGCAGTTGCCCCAGTCCCACCCCCTTCTGCCAGAGACCCTTAGATCTGTCGCACTCCTGCCCAGGCCCCCAGAGGCACCCTTGACGTGAACGATGTAGAACTGGCCATATCCACCCAGTAGGCCACACCCACTCCATCCACGCCCACCCAGTAGGCTGCACCCACTCTGGCCATGCCCCCCCCCCGGGCACCCCAGAGCAACCACAATGCTGATGCGGCCCTCAGTGAAATTGACTTTGACACCCCTGACTTAAGTGATAGGAAAGAGAGGAGTGATGGTACACATATGCTATAATAGCACTATACCTGCTGGAATTGATCTGGAGCTAAGCAAGACTAGATCTGGTTAGAACCTGGATAGGAGGCCACCAAGCAACATTTCGTTTGTAGGTTAGACTGGGAAGAAACCAATCAACAACAACAACAACAACAAAAATCTGCCTGGAAGTTAGCAATGGCCAACCGCTTCCATACTCCTGCTAAGAAAATACAATATACTAAGATTTAAGTTTGATTTGAAGGAGTTGTCTTTTTAATTTGATTTGGAGTTCATTTTTATGGTGGATCATGGATGTCTACAAAGAAGAAGGTTGAAAAAGTCAACATGAGGACTGTAACCATATGATGAAAGCTCCAGCTTTTTTTACATGGGTCATTTGAATTTTTGGATCCCTGTGGACAACCCTGTCCTGGGCCCATCTGCATCTTTCCTGCGACTCCACTGATTTCCTCTCTCCCTATTTATCTCTCTACCCTTGGCATTAGAAAAATTGTCTCTGCCTTTCATTCAGTTTTCACTCTCTTCAACAGGAGAAGGAGATCTACCCAGCCTCTGTTCCCAATGCCAGCCCAAGCTGCAGGAAAGCCCATCTCAGCTGTTGCCGGCCCTTCTCCTAAGCACAGTTCCATGTTGCAAGCATGAAGAGCAGACCTGTCTGCAGGTCTACGTGGCCTTGAACTCTACAGGTATGATGGGGCCCAGATTGAAGGTGTTGAAGAGGGGGACTAGATTGCTGAAGAACAACCTGGCTTGTTGAGGCTGCAATATTTGGGAGAATCTCGATAGAATATTTGGCGTGTTATAGGTCAGGCTGGAATGGGAACGCCTTTCTCAGGAAAAGGCTCTAATACAGTGGTTCTCAACCTGTGGGTCGGGACCCCATTTGGGGTCGAACGACCATTTCACGGGGGTTGCCAAACAACGCAGTCTGCCATTTTTCCCCCCTTTTCCTTAGCTGTGCTACTCCCTTTTATTCTATTGGCTTTTGACTCTCTCTCTCTCTCTTGAATAGAGTCTAATTCTATTGGCTTTCAAAAGCCAATAGGAATTATCCAGGCTGTCTCTGCCCTGCTGAGCCCGCCAAAAGTCCCATTCTGCAAACGGTGCTGCACCAGTTGAGTAGTCCTCGACTTACGACTGGTTGAGTAGTCCTCGACTTACGACCGGTTGGGGGGTCGTGGCATTAAAAAGGTTGAGAACCACTGCTCTAATACATTATTTTATTCATTTAATTTAATATTATAGTATTTGCTTAAAACATCTGTGTAGCTGCCCCATCTTAAAACCAATCCTGGGCAGCTTACAACTGACAAAACAATATAAAACAAGCAATGATTAAACCATCCCACAGCTATACTTCCCTGATGCAGCTCGCATTTTGAGCTTGCCCTATCCCAGCAGTCATCCCGAGACTTGAGGGCTGTCTGGAAGGATAGAAAAGAACTCTCCTCATCCTAAGCATCATGTAGGGGCCAGCTTCTAGTCAAGCAGGAGGCTACTCCCAAAAATCGGCGCTGTATCTACAAATTCTACACATCTACTTTGAGGAAATGGGAAACAACCCAGTGGTTCTCCTGGGACAGGGATAGGCAACCTTGGCTCTTTTATTATTCACCCACGAGTCATCAAAGAGCCAAGGTTGCCTACCCCTGTCCTGGGAGAATGAAGTCAGGTGGGTTGATTTTTGTTGGAAAGAGATGGCTCAATTCCATCATCAATAGAATTACAGATAGTTCTTGACTTACAAACCATTTGTTTAGTGACCATTTGAAGTTACAATGACACTGAAAAAAGTGACATATGTCATGTAACCATCATTTGTGATCTTCCTAACTGGCTTCCAACAAGGAACGTTAATGGGGGAAGCTGGATTTGCTTAACAACCTTGTGATTCACTTAACCACAGTCACAAAGGTAAAATTGGGAGGGATTCACTTCGCAACAGCCTTGCTTATTGTAAATTCTGGTCCCAATTGTGGTATGTTGAGGACTACTTACACTTTTATGGATTTATGACATCTCTTTAACAACATTGGGAAAAATAGTGCTGAGTTATTTAACTTTCCTCTGGAGGGGCTGCTGGTGAGGAGGGGGCCATGGGGGGAGGTAGGTCTGGGGCGACGGCGTGAGTGCCCACAGAGAGGGCTCTGAGTGCCGCCTCTGGCACTCGTGCCATAGGTTCGCCACTACTGTACTAACTTATCAGCTGCAGGGATTCACTGAAAAACTGTGGCAAGAAAGGTCGTAAAATGGGACAAAAGTCACTTAACTCATGTCTCCCTTAACAACAGAAATTTTGGGCTCAATTGTGGTTGTAACTCAAGGACTACCTGTGAATCCAATAAACACATAAATCAGACATGTCAAACTCAAAGCCTGTGGGCCATATCTGGCCCATGATGGTTTAGATCTGTCCCGAAAGCAGACTAGTTGGAGTGGGTGATTGAGTATGTAGCAGGAGGGGTGAGCTGAAGTGGCGGCAGCACCAGAGAGGTCTGGGAGAGAATCAGTTGGAGCTGTGGTGTTGCTGGGTCTCTGCTGAGGCAGAGGATTGGCACCCGTGGCTCCAGCTGATCAGGGCTTCCAGCAGCCTCGGGGATGGCTGGCAGCCGCATGCAGTCTTCAGGGAAGAGTCAGATGGAGCTGTGGGGCTGCCAGGCCTGGACGGCGACCCAGAATCAGCTCATACAGCTCCAAATGATGAGCGTGAAAAGGCCAGCCGGGCAGTGAGTGAACCCATGGGGGAGGAGAGGAGAGGATATAAAAGGAGGGGTTTTGGTGAGAAGGAGGAGGAGTGAGGGGGGAGAGAAGGCAATAAGGAGGAGAGGAGAGATGTCGAAGGGGCAAGCCTGAGGGAGAGAAGGGGACAGCAGCTGGCCCTTTGAGGGCAACCATAATGCTGACGCGGCCCTCAGTAAAATTGAGTTTGACATCCCTGACATAAATAATGCAAAGTAAATTATAAAATACGTGGAGGTCACCATATTTGGGAAAATTGGGAGATAAGATCTTCCCTTCTTGTTTGTTTTAACTTTAGGTATTGGAGGCTTAGAATTGGATTTTCTCGTGGCAAGTTCTAACCGTTACGGCAGGCTTCAGGTCTTGAAAAGGCGGGAGCATCAGAACTCTACAGGGCCTGAGGTAACCTAACAGCACAAAAACATAAGTACGGTTCTTCTAGATCAGTGCTTCTCAACCTGTGGGTCGGGACCCCATTTGGGATCGAACGACCATTTCACGGGGGTCGCCAAACAAGGCTGTCCGCCATTTTTCCCCCCTTTTCTTTGGCCACGCCCCTGGCACCCGGTGATGTATAAGTGGTTGGGGATCACCACAACATGGGGAACTGTATTATGGGGTCGCGGCATTAGAAAGGTTGAGAACCACTGTTCTAGATTGACCCATCTAGTCCAGCAGTTTTTTTTCTCACAGTGGCCAACCACAGCACAAGGAAGCCCCCGACAGGTAGTCCTCGGCTTACAACCATTTGCTTAGTGACTGTTCAAAATTTCTGTGGCACTGGCTTATGACTGTTTTTCACACTTACGACCACTGCAGCATCCCCATGGTCACGTGATCAAAATTTGGATGCTTGGCAACTGGCATGTATTTATGACGGTTGCAGAGTCCTGGCTTCACGCGATCCTTTTTTGCGACCTTCTGGCAAGCAAAGTATCAATAGGATTCATAGCCTGACATAAAGTCAGTGAGGAAGGCAGAATCATTTAACAACCGTGTTACTAACTTAACAACTGCAGCGATTCACTTAACAATCATGGCTTGAAAGGTTGGTGAAATGGGGCAAAGCTCACTTAATAACTGTCTTGCTTAGCCACAGAAATTTTGGGCTCAATTGTGGTTATAGCTGAGGATTATCTGTAAACTTCCAGCAGATGGCCTTCAACCACATTGACATCAAGGCTAATAGCCATTGATCCCCTTGAATTCATGAACTGGTTCAACCCATTTTTGAAACTGCTGGTTAGTACCACATCTCAAGGTTGCTTCCCTAAGCCCTTTCAACCCTGAGGGATGAAATCCCTTGCATTGGCAGCTGTTTTCCCCAAGGATGGCGCATGTACAGGTAGTTCTCGACTTACCACTGTTTGTTCAGTGACCATTCAAAGCTACAGTGACTGAAATAAATGACTTAGGACCATTTTTCACATTATGACTGTTGCAGCATCCCCATGGTCACGTGATTAAAATTCGGATGCTTGGCAACTGACTCGTATTTATGACGGTTGCAGTGCCTCAGGGTCATGTGACCACCTTTTGTGAGCTTCTGGCAAGCAAGGTCCATGGGGAAGCCAGATTCACTTAACAGCCAGGTTACTAACTTAACAACTGCAGTGATTCGCTTAACAACTGTGGCAAAAGAAGGTCGTAAAATGGGGCAAAACTCATTTAACAACTGTCTTAATAATAGAATAACAGAGTTGGAAGGGACCTTGGAGGTCTTCTGGTCCAAGCAGGAGATCTTATACCATTTCAGACAACAGAAAAGTTGGGCTCAATTGTGGTAATAAGTCGAGGACTATCTGTACCAATACAAGTTGTATAACAGGCAGAAATTCAGTGAGTTAAGTACTCTGCTTGTTCCCTCCAGGGAAACCTGTAGGTGTAGAATTTCTGCCTCTTCTAACCTCTTCTAGACTTGATCTTTATAAACCTATAGATCCAGGGATGAAGTGCAGTCCTATTATCATAGGAGATGTTGTCTTTTTCTATTTAACTGAGAAGCCCCTTCCCATCAAATGGATCAGCTGCATGCCCAGTATAGCAAGAGGGCTCTCCTCTTTTGGTTTAGGGGTAGTCAACCTTGGCTCTTTTATGACTCGTGGACTTCAACTCCCAGAATTCCTGAGCCAGTACAGCTGGCTCAGGAATTCTGGAAGTTGAAGTCCACGAGTCATAAAAGAGCCAAGGTTGACTACCCCTGGTTTAGACTCTGTTCAGTGGTGCCTGATTCACAAGGATGAGGTGACAGACAGTTATCCTGACCCTGGAAGTAGATGCTGAGGATGATTCACGAGGCTGGTGAGGAGAAGCTGCATCGTCAGTACATTATCTTGAAAAGCAATTCATAAGTCATCCTTGAGCATGAAGTTAGGCAATTGTGTGGCTGCACTGTAGGCTGTAGGAGAATTGGCTGAAGTCCATCTTCAGCCATCTTCAAGCTTTGGGTCTGTCATCCCTCAACCCAACTCGAAAGAGCATGTGCCTCCTTCAGTTTCAGGAGAAAAAGGGGAAATATAAATCTTATCAGTAAATCAATGAATAGGTAGACAGTTCAAATGGTGGTAGTTTTTAGTGTATCTTGAATTAGGCCAAAGATCTGTAATGGGCAGAAGGAATAATTTTGAGAAACAGGAGAAAGAGCCTTAACCAAGACAATGGGCAGGTTAAAAGAAACCTGAGCCTGGCCAAGCCCTGTAGCTCGAGTAAGCATTTTAGACAAAACCATCCCTAGTTCTCAGGAAGATAAACGGAGGAAGTCGGAAACCTTCAGACTTGGACAATTATGTAACTATATGCTTATAATTGTGCATGACTTTAATAATAATAATAATAATAATAATAATAATAAAGTTGGAAGGGACCTTGGAGGTCATCGAGTCCAACCCCCTGCTCAGGCAGGCAGGAAACCCTACACCATTTCAGACAGATGGCTGTCCAGTCTCTTCTTAAAAACTTACAGTGTTGGAGCATTCACCGCCTCTGGAGGCAGGTTGTTCCATTGGTTAATTGTTCTCACTGTCAGGAAGTTTCTCCTTAGTTCTAGGTTGCTTCTCTCCTTGATTAGTTTCCATCCATTACTTCTTGTCCTGCCTTCAGACGCTTTGGAGAACAGCTTGACTCCCTCTTCTTTATGGCAGCCCCTGAGATATTGGAACACTGCTATCATGTCCCCCCTTGTCCTTCTCTTCATTAAACTAGACATACCCAGTTCCAGCAACTGTTCCTTATATGTTTTAGCCTCCAGTCCCCTAATCATCTTTGTTGCTCTTCTCTGTACTCTTTCTAGAGTCTCAACATCTTTTTTACATCGTGGTGACCAAAGCTTTGGCTTTCTAGTCTGGTCTACCTTGGAGGCTTGGCAAGATCCATCCTGGTTCACATGCTAGGAATAATAAGAGGAAGGGCTCTGACTCCAGCATTGTTTTTCCAGTGGCAGATGCAGTTTGACAGTTTCCAGGTGGCCAGTGGAGAGCAGGTACACGTCTCAGTGAAGACCATTCCTCCTGGGATGCTCAAACTCAACCAAAGCTATGCAGTCACTGACAACCAACCAGGTAAGACAACTTTACAGGGCACATCACCTCATGACAAAGAATCTTCAAATGTATATTTAGAAAACTGAAACTACTTTTGCTGGACATCAAAAACCTTAGCAATAGTAGTTAGGCTTATATGCTGCTTCGTAGTGCTTTACAGCAAAAGTGGTTTACAGAGTCAGCATTTTGCCCCCAATAAATCTGCATCCTCATTTTACCAGCCTCGGCAGGATGGACGGCTGAGTCAACCTTGAGCCAGTCAGGATCGAACTCCTGGCAGTGGGTAGCCTGCAATACTGCATTCTAACCACAGCGCTCACTACGGCTCTCACATAGGGAGTTGCAAAATATTTAGTAAGTAAAGAAGAGAAATGGTCAGGAGATCATTGGAAGGTTTTAAACTGGAATAAGAGGGGAAAACACCACTTCCAGAACAGAGTACCTGCAGCCAACTTTGAGCTCCCTCTGGTGTGAGCTGATAACAAGATACAGATAGTCCTCCACTTACAACCATTTGTTTAGTGACTGTTTGAAATTACAAGGGCATTGAAAAAAGTGACTTATGACCGTTTTTCACACTTAGGACTGTTGCAGCATCCCCTGTGGTCACATGGTCAAAATGTAGGCGCTTGGCAACTGGCATGTATTTGTGACAGGTCCATTGTCCTGGGGGGGGGGTCATGTGAGCAAAAGGTCACACCATTTATAACCTTCCCAGCTGGTGTCTGACGAGCAAAGTCAGGGGGAGAAGCCAGATTTGCTTAATGACCACATGATTCCCTTAAAAACTGCACTGATTTATTTAACAACTTTTCCAAAAAGATTGTAAAATGAGGCAAAACTCTAAAACTAAACAACCACTTTGCTTAGTGTTGGAAATTTGGGGCTCAGTTGTAGACTGCCTGTACAGTCACTGCCATGAAGTCATGTCCTGGGAGGGGGAAACTAGTGGGGCGTCTTTGTGCCATGGCAAGGAGGCTATGTGGTTGTAGCCTCTTGACAATAAGAGACTATTTTGTATGACAAGGGAACAATCTATCTGCTGCTACACATCCTGACTTGCAGCTAGGCTTGCTTTAGTGCAAAAATGGAAGAGCAAGAAAATTCCCACAGAGGAAGAGTTAATACATAAAATATTAGCATGTGCGGAAATGGACAGGCTCACAATGATATTAAAAGACAAATGTGGATCAGTTTATTATGAAACCTGGGATAAATTTTACCACTGGAGGAATTTGAAGAGGACGGTCGGGATTAAAGATGAATGTTAAGATAGAAATATATGTTATTTTAGAACAAGTATTGTATATAAAACTTAGATGTATACATAGAAATGAAGAATTGATTGTAAAAAGTGGAATAATCTGATAAGAATGTATATACTGGAATGTCACGTTAAATCCATTGTTTGTTTGTTTTTAACTATTAAAAATAAAATTTGTTTAAAAAAAAAAGAGACTATTTTGCACAGGAAACCAGAAAAATAAATGAAGCGATATAATTACAGGGGAGACTATTGCTACAAAGCAGGCATGTCAAATTCTTGGCCCACGGGCCGGATGCATCATGCCGAAACCACGCCCACCCCATTGCCGGCGGGAAAAGTCGCGATATGTTGTGCAATGTCATGTGACATCGCGAGTTTGACATGCCTGCTATAAAGGAACCTGTCGTGTGACGAGGCTTAATTTTCTACCCATGTCCCCCTCCTTCAGGACCTGAGTTCCGCTACAGATGGGTACCAGCTGCCCGGGCTATTGAGGTGTCTGCTTCCAAGGCCGTCACTGTGCGCCTCTGCCATCAGCTGATGCTGGAATGCACAGAACTGCACCAATCTTTCCATCAGCAGGTAGGATCATAATGGGAGAAAAGTCAAATGTGGGGAACACCTGTGGCACAGGGGACGGTGGTTAAAAGAAAGGGAAACTGAGGCCAGGTGCATTTCAGGAAGCAAACAGTGTTAGTAGAAGTAAATGTTGGAAGCAAACCTTTCTGGCTTGGCATCAGGAACGCCGAAGGGCAGCCTAGGATGATGTCTGTTGTGACTCACAGTGTTCCTTTCATCCTTGCTCTCCAAGCTTTTTCCCATTGCGCCATCTAGGGATGGCCAATCGATGGCTCGTTTCCCCCCTGTTGTTGTTTTTTTTCCCCCAAAAATACATAGAAAAAAATCACTTGAACGATTAAACCATAAAACTGCATCACAGGTAGTCTTCGACTTGCAACAGTTCGTTCGGTGACCATTCAAAAGTTAACAACGTCATTAGAAAAAAAAGCGACGACCATTTTTCACACATACAATCATTGCAGCATCTCCAGGGATCAAAATTCAGATGCCTGGCAACTCACACTTCTTTTGCAGTGTCCTGGGGTCATGTGATTCCCTTTTGGTACCTTCTCACAAACAAGGCCAATGGGAAAGCCAGATTCACTTAATAAACATGCTACTAACTGTCAAGTTTCAAAGCACAGATTTGCTGGTGTGACAAATATTGCTTCTCAGCTTGCCAACGAACTTGGGGGGAGGGAAGAGAGGTTTGGAATGAAGACTTCAAAGATTAAGAAGCCAGACTGTGAGACTCAAGGACGTTACGCCAGGTGTCTGGCCAGACCTAGAGATGCTTTCTCATAACAATATTTTTCTACTTGATTGGGCAACGTGACCTGATCCAGAGAGAGGAGGGAGAATTCAATGTTTTTACTATGTGGGCTTGGGAGGGGCCTTGCCAGAGCTGGTTTTGCTTTCATTGGTGCTGAAGTGATGTGCTCAATAAAGTTAATTAAGAGATCGGAATGCCTTGAAGGTGTTTGTTTGGTTGGGTCTGTCAGTTGGGACCTTGACATTAACTTAACAATTGCAGTGATTCACTTATCAGCTATGCAAGAAAGGTCATCAAATGAGGCAAAGCTCACTTAGCAACAGAAATTTTGGGTTCAGTTAGGGTTGTAAGTCAAGGACCATCTGTAATAGTCCAAATACGGTGGGGTAAATGAATTCTGGAACTCTGAATTTGTTTGGAGCAGTGGTTCTCAACCTGTGGGTCGGGACCCCATTTGGGGTCGAATGACCATTTCACGGGGGTCACCAAACCATGCTGTCCCCCATTTTTTTCCCTTTTCCCTAGCTGTCCTACTCCCTCTTATTGGTGGCCACACCCACTTGGGGGTCACCACAACATGGGGAACTGTATTATGGGGTCACGGCATTAGAAAGGTTGAGAATCACTGGTTTGGAGGGACTTTTTTAATGCTCAATTTATTTTTGCTCTATTTTGTCATCATTGGTGACTCTTGTAAAACTCGAAGTGGAATTTTGCTTATTTTTTTTATCGCTTGTTTTCTGCCAGGTATTGGTTTCCAAACATCGCCCTGCAGTGTTGCAGTATGAGTTCCTTCTTCCTTGTCTGTGCATAGAGGTGTGTGCATCGTCTCAAGAACTCTGAGTGAGATTCTTCGAAGTGGGACAATATGTAAAATTTGGGGAGAGGGATTAAAGGACCCTGCAAAAATTCAGTCTCCTGACAGATTTTACTAGACTCCTTTGCATATTTTATTAATTTATTTATTCATCAACATTATATGGCCGCTCATCTCACACACAAAAAAGTGACTCTGGGTGCTGTTCAACAAAAATATAGAATGCCTAAACATAAATGCCTGTGTTGGTCTCTGCAGAAGGTGGGCAGATATTATTTGAGGGGCTCTGGACAATTCCCATCCTTGGCCCCACCTGAGGTCAACCACTTGGCCAAAAAATGGGAAGTAGTCAACTTGGATCTTTCTAACTTAGCTTTCTTTTCTGCAGGCATCGCATAACTACAGAGACAGCTTACGCAAGATTGTGTGTCCATTCCAGTATCAGCCAGAAGCCTGTGAGTTCTGCTTTAGACAAGATTGATGACAGTGGGTTTTTTTTAATTAATTGGTTGATCGGGAGCTGGGATGTCATAGGTCAGTGATGGCGAACCTTTTAGAGATTGAGTGCCCAAACTGCAACCCAAAACTCACTTATTTATCGGCGGGTGCCAGGTGGGCGTGGCCATTGGATAGGCATGGCTATGGTGGTCATGGGGAGGGACGTCTGTGGGAGCCGGGCAGGGTTGGGGGAGATCCAGGGGGTCTCTGGCAGGGCATGGCTGTGGTGGTCATGGCAGACTGGGTTGGTGTGGCCAAGGTGGGTGTGGTCACCTCGATGTTGTTCGTGGGGAGAGACGCCTGTGGGGGCCGGGCAGGGATGGGGGAGATCCAAGGGGTCTCTGGCAGGTGGGGTGATGGGCAGGAGGCTCGTCCTGCGGAGTGAGGTAAGGCAAGGCAGGGCGGGGGTGCCATTGTCACAGGGAAAGGTGAGGCAGGGGCCAGGGTGGCTGCTGCCTGACGCCATCGGCCCCTGCACACAGAGGCCAGCGAGCGCATGGGTGCTGGGATGCATCTGGCCATGTAGGACCTCGGCCAGTTAGCAGGCAGCTGGTTGAAGAGGGACGGTTGCCATCTCTGGGGCATGGCGTGTGTGCCCACAGAGAGGGCTCTGAGTGCCGCCTCTGGCACTCATGCCATAGGTTCGCCACCAGTGTCATAGGTTATGGGAAGAGTTGTTGGCTCACAAATGGCAAATACAGTGGTAGCTTGGGACTCATCGTTAATTGATTCCCAGAGACATGATGAGTACTGACCATGATGAGTGCCAAACTCATTTTTCTTTTAAGTAATAATGTAGTGAGTCACAAAGTAGCCAACCCCGGCAAATTCTAACTTGTGCATGACTACTGAACAAACAATGAATACCAGGACAAAATGTTTACATCAAAATGTGTTGAATACCAAATTTGATGAGTTTCAAAGCAGTTGAGTACCAAGGTATCTTATACCCATATTGTGGAATCCTTGGTGCTCTGAGCTTGGTTATTTGCTTGCAGGCATTTCATTACCCAACTAGGTAATATTTCCAGTGCTAGGGACTGTGGGGTTTGTTCCCTGCTTATATATAATAGTTTGCCCTGCCAGTGTTGATGGGGGTGTGATCCTGTCTTTGACAGTTCCTTGATAAGAATCTTGTTTGCTTGATTTTTGTCTGGTGTTAATCCCTGCTTATATGCATGTTGGCTATGAAAGTGTTTTTTGTTCCTTCTTAGCTTTTTTATTGTCACTTTTCAATAGTGGGTAAGTGTGGATTATCTCTATATATTCATACTTCATGCCCATATCTTAGTGGCCTTTAGAGCCTTGCCGGTTTTTCCTCTCTACTCAGGAAGTCTATTATTTAGCTTGGAGGCAAGAAACAGACTGATATGATAGCAGGAAACTAGTAATTTGGAATGTAACCGGGAAGACAATAGATCAATATGGAGAACAGATTTTGTTTTTGTGTTTTTATTAACCTCACCTTTTTACCAGTACCTTGTTGTTCAGACATCGTTTATCTTGTTGTAATGAAATATTCATTGGCTAATTTCTACATAAAAAAATAGTTTAGAATAATAGTTTAAGGCAGACATGTCAAACACAAGGCCCGGGGGCCGGATGTGGCCCGCAAAGTGGTTTCATGTGGCCCGCGAAGCCATCCTGGAAACAGTGAGGGAACGGCCCCCACTGCTTTGCCCCGGCCCAAGACGGCCGGGATCCAATGTACAATTTTGTGGTGGCCATCTATGCTGAAATGCATTCAGTCTTAGCTCCACAAGGCCGTCTAGAAATAGCGAGGAACCAGCCCCTGCCGCGTCAGTCCCAGCCTCTGGGTGCATGCTGGGGAGGTATCACCCTTTGTGAGGAATGAAGAAATGGACCATGCCTTGACGCTTGTCCCAGTCCCACCCCCTTCTGCCAGAGACCCTCAGATCTGTCCCATTCCTGCCTAGGCCCCCACAGGCACCCTTGACGCGAATGATGTAGAGCTGGCCATGCCCACCCAGTAGGCCACACCCACTCCCACCCAATATGCTGCACCCACCCTGGCCACACACCCCCTCCCTCCCCGAGGGCAACCGCAATGCTGATGCATTGAGTTTGACACCCCTGGTTTAAGGCACTAGCCTAGGAACCAGGAGACTGTAAGTTCTAGTCTTACCTAATGAAATCTTAATGAGGTCAGCCTGGTGACCTTGGGTCAGTCACCTTCTCTCAATCCTAAGAAGAAAAAAAAAATGAAGTTCTGAAATTGTTGCCAAGAAAACATCATAGACTTGTCCAGGGACTTGCCTGGAGTCAAGAATGATGTGAAGGCAGACACACTGACAAACACACATACACACACAGAGAAGCAGAAACCTAAAACACATAAATAAAAATTTACTATACATAACAGATACAACTAAATTCTGCCAGATCGTTGCCTGATTATTGGCAAACTGAATCAATCAATACTTCACTTCTGTTACAGTTATACTGAATCTCTGGCTTGCTTAATGAATACATATGTTGTCTGTACTGTAAATGGTCTTTGTCAAGGTCTGAAAATGTTCCTTTTCGTTCTGCTACAGGGGCACTGCGCTTGCTCGGTTCACCAATCAAAAAACAGAGAGCTGGTGTTTGAAACAGTTATTTTCAAGTTGTGCTTAGCAAATGTTTGCAGAATCAGTTAGCTAATAAATGATTAGTTGGCTGTCATTGCCCAGGTTCAAACATCAGCCTTAACCTGCTTTATTTGCTTTAGTCTTTCTGAGATTTGAACCCAGCCAGTTTATATTTAACAAAATTGTGGCCATTATAAATGTGGAAATTTAGCTGTTTTCTTTAAATCCAACATAATTTATGGGACTTTTATGAAGATAAAACAGGATAACTTTACATAATTTCAATCTGTGTTTCTTGGATGAATTACATTCTCTGTGCCAACTCACTGTTGTATAGTTAATAATTAGAACTATTTCAAACATGTTGTAATATTTTAAATTTTCTGGGAAACTATGTAGTATCTTATTTTGTAACCTACCTTATGTATAACATGTCAAAAGGAGAAGCAAGGAAGGAAGGAAGAAAGGAAGGAAGGAAGAAAGGAAGGAAGGAAGGAAGGAAAGATCATTTTCTCTTCCATATTTATTTCTACCCGAGAAAACAGAGTAGTTACTCAGCTGGGATAGCTGTAGGTAGGAAATGGAATGGTAGAAACCAACATTATTTATTTATTTATTTATTTATTTATTTATGAGACTTATATACCGCTTTAAGTGCAAGCACTCTCTAAGCGGTGTACACCAGTAAGCAATGTGTGTGTGTGTGTGTGTGTGTGTGTGTGTGTGTGTGTGTGTGTGTATATATATATATATATATATATATATATATATATATATATATATATATATATGCGTTTAAGAAAATTAAAAACGTGAACCCTGGGAGTGTTCATGATAGGAAATAAAATGATCACCAGGGTAAATAATATATATATATATATTTACATTGCCCCCAACAATCTGGGTCCTCATTTTACCTACCCCGGAAGGATGGAAGGCTGAGTCAACCTTGAGCCGGTGAGATTTGAACCGCTGACCTGCTGAACACAGTCAGCTAAAGTGGCCTGCAGTACTGCACTCTAACTGCTGCGCCACCTCGGCTCAAACACCTGTTAAAAACATGTGTTTTTAACAGGTGTTTGTAGGCTTGTTTGTAACTAATCCAAAATCCATTTCCCAAACTCATACTCGCCTTTGCAATTCAGATTATTCTTTGTGACAGATCAAATGGATTACTACATGCAGGCAGGAGGGAGAAAAGAGTATTTCTAAACAAAACAGAGCTGTTGTCTGGGGTTTCTGGAAAAAGATTGTTTCTCTTGACAAAATCAACACTAGAGACATACCTTACAATATAATACAATATTAATGTCATAGTATCAGAACACAGAGGAGGAACTGAAAAGCTGTCAGAAATTAGTATATATTTAGAAATGTTTAATTCATTCATTCTTTAATCTATCATATTTATCTATCGTATCATATTTATCAGGTTTAGAGACCCTCCATTTTCCCCAAATGGGCAGTATAGAAATAACAAAGAGCAACAAAGATGATTAGGGGACTGGAGGCTAAAACATATAAGGAACGGTTGCTAGAATTGGGTATGTCTAGTTTAATGAAGAGAAGGACGAGGGGGGACATGATAGCAGTGTTCCAATATCTCAGGAGCTGCCACAAAGAAGAGGGAGTCAAGCTATTCTCCAAAGCGCCTGAAGGCAGGACAAGAAGCAATGGATGGAAACTAATCAAGGAGAGAAGCAACCTAGAACTAAGGAGAAACTTCCTGACAGTGAGAACAATTAATCAGTGGAACAACCTGCCTCCAGAAGTGGTGAATGCTCCAACACTGGAAATTTTTAAGAAGAGACTGGACAGCCATTTGTCCGAAATGGTGTAGGGTTCCCTGCCTGAGCAGGGGGTTGGACTAGATGACCTCCAAGGTCCCTTCCAACTTTACTACTATTATTATAACATAAAATCATAGAAATTGGTTCATTCATTCATTCAAATATATTCCCTGCTTATTTTGCCAGATGCTGCAGATCTCTGGTCCTCAGCGTGCTTCCATGACTTCAGTTCCAGTGACAGGACCGAAATGGCCGTGTCTTTGAGTGGACGCTGCTTCTTTCAGCCCACTGTCTCACTTTGCTGGAAGGAAAACTCTGCTCCAGAGGCAACCTGCCAAGATATCCCCAATTCCACCATCCCTGAAGCCAGCAAGGTGAAGGGACGTAGAGAACACACTGAACGGGATGAGAATAACAAGGTTTTGTGACTTGATGAAGGGCAGCCAAGTAGCAAAATGAAGGCCAAGTGATTCTGGGAACTTACTTCCTTAGTGGAGGCTTTACGCTGACCCCCTCCATCTCCTGAACAGATGGAAGAAAAAGGTGGAAGGCAGAATGGTGTTTGCTAAGGGAATATCCTTATCAGGCAGATTCCAAGAGAGCCTCTTTCACCCTGCCATGCTGGCTGAGGAAATGAGAGAGAAGCAGGTGCAGGAAGATCATTCTGAGAGGTTTGGACATTGTTCCTCCGGAATTCATTTGACTTATTTTCTTTATTTATTCAGGCTTCTATGCCGTTCCAGGGTGAAGACACCGAGAGTCTTACACTTCCTATCGCAGTAAGTAAGACTAAAAATCCCACAGCTAATCACAATCACATTCCCACCTAATCAGTTCATCGTGTCTGGAAACCTTGGGGCGAAATCATCCTTTTGGCCAATCTCCGATAGATGGATCAAAAAACCCCTGCTCCATGGAAGCGGGAGGGAAGAGGATGACCTTATATGTGGGGGAAGTCTGCTCCACAAGAGGGGCCCTTAGTCTTGTGCACCAGGTCCTTGATGATCACATTCCTTCAAAAGCGGGACTCTTAATCTGGCTTTTCTTTCCAATCTCATTAGATAGGTAAATTGGCTCAGAGCAAGCAGTTTTGGAGATACCAGGCCTGCGCATATAGGGCTTCCAAAGTAACAATCAGCATTTTAAATTGCAGCCGAGAATTAACCAGTACCAAATGCAGCTCTTGTGTTAGAGATGCTATGTAGATCAGGGGTCCCCAATCCTCCCAGGGGCCGCAGCCTGTTCAAAACCGGGCCATGCGAGTGATGGGCAAGCATGTGAGTGGCGGATAAGCGCATGCGTGAAGCCCCACTCGCATGGGTGGTAGGCCCTTGTCTCGCGCATGAAGTTCCACTTGCACAAGCAGAGAGCCCTTGAGCGGAGGGTGCTTATGCTTACATTGGAAAGGTTGGGGACCACTGATGTGGATGAACTCCAGCACACCTATAATTACTAGAACTACTACATTTTGAACAAGTTGGAAAAAATGCAACCAAACGCTCCTGATTTTTAATAACATCTGGAGGCAGCATAGTCCCCATTCTTAGTCCTTGTAAATATAGTAATAGAAAGATTTGCTGATTGAGTTTGCTTTACCAGCATTATTAAGAGGCAAGAAGGACTTAATTTCACAAAGAAATTATGGGTTTTGAGAGAGAGGGAGAGATAGAGATAAAGAGATAAAGAGAGAGAGAGACAGAGACAGAGACAGAGACAAAAACAGAAAGAAAGAGATGATCCCTTCCATTGTCCTAATATGTAGTTCTTACTCTAGGCGTACATCATTAAAAGCGTAGATGTGAATCCACAGCTTTGCTTCAAGGTAAGAGATCCATCTACACACAGACACCCATTACATCCTTACAAGATAGTTGCTGCTTAAGAACTGAGTTACTATGATGTATTACAAGTCTAAGGAAAGCTCTTGAATTTTGAAGATACAAGCGTACAGTGAAAGCAATGAACTTTATCTAGTTTAGATGCTGTTGAAGAAGATTGTATCTGTGCTGTTATGAAAGTACACAGGCATGATGCATGTATATAGGGAGTCCCCGACTTATGACTTGTTGCTTAGCAACTGTTTGAAGTTATGGTGAACCTCCTTGTGTGGGGACTTACAATCCAGTTCCAAGGTGACCCTTCCCACCGCGATCATGTGACTCTACGTTGGGTCTTCGGCAACTGGCCCGCATTTACAGCTGTTTTCATTGTCTCACAGTCACATGACCCGCATTTTATGAGAGTTTTGTCAAAAAATGACACTTACTTCCATTTTTCGGCAAAAACAGCCCATAGTGAGCTATTGGTTTATTTAATGATCGCTGCAAAAAGGTCATAAAATCAGGTCAGTCATAACTTATGATTGTGAGGGGCAGACTCCACTAAGGCAGGGGTGTCAAACTGCTGACCCATGGGCCAGATGTTTCATGGCAAAACTGCCCCCACCCCATTCCCAGCAATGGAAAAAAAAGTCACGGTATGTCGTGAAACATCATGTGACATTACAAGTTTGACACCCCTGCATTAAGGCTATAAACTGAGGACCACCTCTAAAGCAAAATGCGCCATTCCAAACATTCAGCCCAAACTATGTCTTTGTAAATCTTTGAAACTTGGTAAACAGTCATCAAAAAGTCTTTTAAAATGTATCTGTCATACATTTACAGTATAGAAATCTGATTGTTGTAGTTATCCAGAGTTATATTGTATAAGAAGGTGGCCATGTAAGTCTTTTAAATAAACAAGCAAAATAAATAAAAAGCATAGAAAGTTTCTCCAAGGACAATAGACAATAGCAGCATATAATATGCATGTTTACTTAAAATTCTGTGGATTATCTCAAGTAGTGTTAGAAGATGATGATGTGATACCTCTAAAAGGTTGCTATTGGCTACATCTGCATGACTACAAATGACTCAGTCCTTAGAAAAAAATATCTAACGTAGGGATTGCTAATATGGTATCTGCAAGGTACCTCTGCTTTGCCTACATCCCTGTGGCTTCCCAAATTGAATTAAAATAGAAATGATGGCAAATCACATTAGATCTTTTTGATCTTGTATGAGATGTCATGAGAGTTTAGACTAAAGTACACGAGGTCCAGTGAGATTTTGGCAAAGTTTAATTTTTAAAACAATGTTATTATTACTGGTTGAATTACAGATTTTTCTCCCCCATAAAATTGTAGTAAATCTTCATTTCTAGAAGTCTTTAAAATCAAGTTAAATAGTCAGGCTTCATCCTTGAGGCAATAATTAAAACATTTACTATAGCTCAATCCTTTGATTTAGGGCAGCTCCTCTTTCTAATTTGTATGACAAATATTTAATGAAGAAAGGTATGAGGCTAGCAGGAGGACTTAATTTTTTTTTGAGTATTAAATCTGTGTAAATATTAACTACAGGGTTTTATATGATGAGTCACAACTCAATCATTTATCTTTTTTAAGTTTTCTTACATGAACAGCAGCCACACTGAGTGCCCACGCCAGACAGGTGAGTCTACCTAAGTCACAATGCGAACCTCCATCTTTGTTTTCAGGGAGAGACCCTGGGATTAATGATTAATCTCTACCTGTTGAATTGAATGAGTTTATTAGGATACCAAGCCCCTCATTCAGGAATATCAATTTCTTTGTACTGTTCTTCTGAATAAACTCTTCATGAGCATCATATCTTCACAATTGGTACTCATCAGCTAATGAACCTTTGTGATTACAAGCCTTTTGCTTTGTAACCTGCTACTGTCTGGATTCTCTTTGAGTATCTCTAGCCTGTGGTCTGCCCATTCGAATTTCCTTTGCAAATGCCTAGTGCAGGGGTCTTCAAACTCGGCCCTTTTGTGACTTGTGGACTTCATCTCCCAGAATTCCTCATCCAGCTTGCCTGGCTGAGGAATTCTGGGAGTTGAAGTCTACAAGTCATAAAAGGGCCAAGTTTGAAGACCCCCTGGCCTAGAGCAACTCTGAGAGTTTATTCCTAAGTAATGGTTTGCAATAATTAATAGAGACAATTTTTATTTAACCGCAACCATAGTTTCTGAGGTGTAGCCTTAACATTAAGACTATGCTCTGGGATTTCTATCCAATCCTGGTTAAAAGGAAAAACTGGAGTGCTTCATAAATGGGTCATGCTACAGGTCTGTCCATTTTGTACATATCACAACCAGATGTGGGGCGAATGGTTCTGTGTTGTATACTGCAAGTTGCAATCAATGAATGGAATTTTGTGATCTGAATCCAGTGGTAGGATGCTAAGCAAGGAGATTAACATTTTCACAATTTCCAGGTAGATGTGATAGTAGTTTTCGACATGAAACTTTAAAGGATATAAAACTGGTTCTCAACCTGTGGGTCGGGACCCCATTTGGGGTCGAACGACCATTTCACGGGGGTCACCAAACAACGCAGTCCACCATTTTTTCCCCCCTTTTCCTTGGCTGTGCTACTCCCTTTTATTCTATTGGCTTTTGAAAGCCAATAGAATAGACTCTCTTGAATAGAGTCTAAGTCTATTGGCTTTCAAAAGCCAATAGGAATTGTCCAGGCTGTCTCTGCCCTGCTGAGCCCGCCAAAAGTCCCAATCTGCAAACAGTGCTGCACTAGTTGAGTAGTCCTCGACTTACGATCAGTTGAGTAGTCCTCGACTTATGACCGGTTGGGGGTCATGGCATTAAAAAGGTTGAGAACCACTGATATAAAATGAAATGCTTATTTGCTTTGAAAGACCTTTTGGTCTTCAAGATACATAGTGTATGTACAGCTATAACTGAACAGGAGCAGAAGGTAATGTTATCAGAAAGACAGGTAGCACTAGCTCACTACCTCCAGGAAGACTGCTAATTGGAAAAAATGTAGAAGTAGTCAAAAAAGGGCAGATTTCAAACTTATAAGATCTGATTTTTTTGAAAAAAAAAAAGTCCAAGATTTAGGCATTAAGATGAGCTCAACTATTTATTTTTAAAATCAGACCTGATTGCTCAAGTCTTTCACATAAAAAAAAAACTTGCCTCATTCCTCTGTTGTGAAGTATTTCTTCATTTCAACAATATAATCTGGGCCAGAACGAGTGAGAAACATTGACTCGTTAATATTCAAACCTTTGGGAAACAGGATCTTCTAGAAATCAAAGCAAAAGGTCAGATCTGTCCTATATCATTGGCTGTAAGCATCATGCTTGCCTTATACGGAGCCTGCATCATTCATCGATCTAGCCTATTTCAATGTTCCCAACCTGTGATCTTCCAGATATGTTGAATGTCCGTTCTCTTAATTTCCAGTCAGCAGGGTCTAGCTAGCTAGAGATAAAGAAAGTTAAAGTTCATTATATCAGGTCTATATCCTGGGCTTGGAAAATTAGTCTACCCAAGTAGCAGCAGCTCTCTGAAAAAGTAAACTTAATTTATTTTCCCAAAGATATTCAAACTAGCATTGGTGCTCCACAACTGGGATCATGACCTTTGTACATAACCTCAATGAATTTTAGGGAATTCTTAAATATGAAAAAAAATTTATTGGGTAAGTGAGAAGTATAGGTAATCCTCAACTTATTACCACAGGTCAGCCCAAAATTTCTGTTGCTAAGCGAGACAGTTGTTAAATGAGTTTCATCTCATTTTACCACCTTTCTTGCCTCAGTTGTTAAGTGAAACACAGCACTTGTTAAGTTAATAACACAGTTGTTAAATGAATCTGGCTTCCCCATTGACTTTGCTTGTCAAAAGGTTGGAAAAGGTGATCACGTGACCCTGGGACACTGTCATAAATGCGAACCACTTGTCTGAATTTTGATCATGTGACCATGGGGATGCTGCACCTAAGTGTGAAAAACGGTCATAAATCACCTTTTTCAGTTCTGTTGTAACTCTGAAAGATCACTAAATGAATGGTTGTAAGACAAGGATTATCTGTACTTAATTCTACATGCGTACAAAGTCTTCAGTCATGGAATTCTGCAAAACAGAATTTTCAACCCAAAAGTTGAAAAGACTCAGAATCCTCGGTGTAGGTGAATTTGTTAATGACCTCAATGTAAGTATATTTATCACTTACAAAAAGTCCTCGACTTACAACAATTCATTTAGTGACCGTTCAGAGTTACAATGGAACTGAAAAAAGTGACTTATGACCATTTTTCACACTATTGACCTTTGCAACATCTCCATAATCAAGTGATCAAAATTCAGATGCTTGGCAAATAATAGTAGTAGCAGCAGTAAGCAGCAGCAGCAGCAACAACAACAACAACAACAACAACAATAATAATAGAATTGGAAGGGACCTTGGAGGTCTTCTAGTCCAACCCCCTGCTCACGCAGGAAATCCTATACCATTTCAAACAAATGGCTGTCCAGTCTCGTCTTAAAAACTTCCAGTGTTGGAGAATTCACCACTTCTGGAGGCAGGTTGTTCCACTAGTTAATTGTTCTAACTGTCAGGAAGTTTCTCCTTAGTTCTAGGTTGCTTCTCTCTTTGGTTAGTTTCCATCCCTTGCTTCTTGTCCTGCCTTCAGGCACTTTGGAGAATAGCTTGACTCCCTCTTCTTTGTGGCAGCCCCTGAGATATTGGAACACTGCTATCATGTCCCCCCTTGTCCTTCTCTTCATTAAACTAGGCATTCCCAGTTCCAGCAACCGTTCCTTGTATGTTTTAGCCTCCAGTCCCCTAACTGGTTCAGTCCCCAAACTCCACTTCCCTAATGGGTTCATACTTATGACCGTTGCTGTGTCCCCAGGTCATGTGATCACATTTTACGAACCTCCGGCAAGCAAAGTCAATGGGGAAGCCAGATTCACTTAACAACCGGGTTGCTCACTTCTCAATTGCAATGATTCACTTAACAACTGAGGCAAGAAAGGTTGTAAAACAGGGCAAAACTCACTTACCACATATCTCACTTAACAACAGAAATCTTGGGCTCAATTTCGCTCGTAAGTCGAGGGCTTCCATATAGCATACTTCTCAAAAGATTGGAAATAATAGGGCAGTGATGGCGAACCTTTTAGAGACTGAGTGCCCAAACTGCAACCCAAAACCCACTTATGTATCGTCGGGTGCTGGGTAGGTGTGGCCCAGTGGGTAGGTGTGGTCAATTGGGTGGGCATGGCCCATTGGGTGGGTGTGGCTGCGGTGGTAATGGCAGACTAGGTGGGACTAAAACGTTCAGTCAATCAATTCCAACTTTGCGAGATGTTTTTTTTTCCCACGAGAAGTTGAAAATGATTGAAAAAAGTTGAACTTTTTTTTTTTTTTTTTGCACACGGCAGTGGAGGCCTAAAGCGAAAAGGTTTTATAAAACTCAGCTGAAGGCCTAGGACTGGGGCAACAGCGCACGTGCCCAGAGAGAGGGCTCTGCGTGCCACCCATGGCACACATGCCATAGGTTCGCCACCACGGTAATAGGGCATTGACTGAAGAATGTACACAAGCGACTTTGTTCTTTCTTTCTAGATACTACCTGGAATGTCTCTCTCAGTGAGAAATTCCTGCAGCTTCACTTAAACTTCCGTTCTCGCACACCAGCTTCCTTTAGTTCAGCCTTATGCCAGCCGATATCTTCAAGCCACTGCAGACCTGAACCATCTGTCTATACCATCTCCCATGTAAGTGACTCCCGTCTCAAGAGGAGGAATTTGAGGTAGTTTCCAGAAATATCTCAGTCATGACTATTGGATGAGGAAAGCCTAAAATATGATGTTCTACTTGACATGGACGCGGTAGCAGAGGAAGGATGTAGCCTGGATTTAATTCAAGGTTATGTTTTGCAGACGGGAGGATCTGCCTTGGGTGAACTGAACCTCATTCTTCCTTGGACAGCCCTGACAAGTTGTGTACTGGTAAGGACTAGCTTACCTTCTTCCATCACTTCGCAATTAATTAAGGAAGGAGTAATTCCTTAGTGAAATTTGTACGGTTTTACTATAGGGAGTCAATTAAAGGTAGTTTAGGGAGGAAATGGGACTGGCAACTGGGCTGTTAAGCAAAGCAGTCGCTAAGTGAAAATCACACCACCTGGATGTTATGGTTTTCGTTATGATTACGATTTTATTTCGGTTTTCCTTTTGCTTCCGGCTATTTCCTTCAGGAGAACTGGGGGTTCTTTCTCTCTGAGGACATCTCGATACAGGGTGAATAACCAGGTGAAAATAAGAGCAGAGAGAGAGAGAGAGAGAGAGAGACTGTGAAAGTCACAAATGCAGAGACGAATGGCTGGGTCATTTTTTTTAGCACTGTTGTAACTTTGAATAGCTACTAAGCCCAGTTGCTAAAGTTACAGGTAGTCCTCGACTTATGACCGCAATGGGGGATCAGAAATTCCGTTGCTCAGTAAGGAGGTTGTTAAGTGAGCTGTGCCCAATTTTACGACGTTTTTCCCACGGCTGTAAAGCGAATCACTGTTAAGCGGATCTGGCTTCCCCCATTGACTTTGCTTCTCGGAAGCCACCTGAGTATGGTTTGCAAATGGTGACCAGGATACTGCAACCATCATAAATATCGGCTTGTTGCCAAGCCCCTGAATTTTGATCCTATGACCTTGGCGATGCTGCAGTGGTTATAAATGCGAGGACCGGTCGTAAGTCGCTTTTTTCAGTGCCCTAACTTTGAATAGTTACTGGACAAATGGTTCCAAGAGGAGGACTGCCTGCATCTGCAAATTAGCTAACAACTTGATACGAATAATATGCCAGATCAACGGGAGCACCGAGGTGCATATTAACACATTTCATCCCTATGCAGGTAGTTCTCAACTTACAACCGCAACCGAGTTCAAAATTTCTGTTGTTAAGTGAGACATCTGTGAAGTAATTTTTGCCCCATTTGTAACGAACTTTCTTGCCTCAGTTGTTAAGTGAATCACTGCAGTAACCCGGTTGTTAAGTGAATCTGGCTTCCCCACTGACTTTGAGTATTGCAAAAAGGTGATCATGTGACCTTGGGACACAGCAACGGGTCAATAAATATGAACCAGTTGCCAAGCATCTGTGATCGCGTGATCATGGGGAAGCTGCAAAGGGCGTAACCATGAAAAACGGTCCTAAGTCACATTGTTCAGTGTCGTTGTAACTTTGAACGGTCACTAAATGAACTGTTGTAAGTCGAGGACTATCTGTACTGAGTTCCACTGTCCCATTCCACCTCTTTTTTTTGTTTCACTTGTCAGGTGTGGCGTTCTGATGTACAGTTTGCTGGCAAGCGACTCCTGTGTCCAGATGGTAAGTTATAAGAATAGGCTAAATAAACAGGAGGCTGTGTGATCCTATTGTGAAAAATGTCAATTATATTGTGTCTTCTATGATGCTTCTTGGGAGGTAGAGAGAGAGCACTCCTGGGTCTTCTCACCGGAGTTATGTCTTACTCAAATATTTTGAAGAAATTCCAGATCTTAAAGCAGGGGTGTCAAACTCAATTTCATTGAGGGCCGCATCAGCATTGCGGTTGCCCTCAGGGGGCCGGGTGGGTGTGGCCAGGGTGGGTGCAGCCTACTGGGTGGGTGTGGATGGAGTGGGTGTGGCCTACTGGGTGGATGTGGCCAGCTCTACACCGTTCGCGTCAAGGGCGCCTGTGGGGGCCTGGGCAGGAGTGGGACAGATCTGAGGGTCTCTGGCAGAAGGGGGTGGGACCAGGGCAAGTCCAAGGCATGATCCACTGGAGGAGCCTCACTGTTCCTCTCAGGCCATGCGGGGGGGGGGGGGCTTATGGAGCTACGACTGAATGCATTTCAGCATAGATGGCCACCACAAAATTGTACATTGGCTCCCGGCTGGCCTGGGCCAGGGCCAAGGCAGAGGGGGCCGTTCCCTCACATGAAACCACTTCGCGGGCCGCATCTGGCTCCCGGGCCTTGTGTTTGACATGTCTGTCTTAAAGAAACAAGCTAGAGCAGTGGTGGCGAACCTATGGCACGTGTGCCAGAGGCGGCACTCGGAGCCCTCTCTGTGGGCATACGTGCCATTGCCCCAGCCTTGCCTCCCCCCGCGACCAGCAGCCCCCCTGGAGGAGAGTTGCCCCCGAGCGTGGCCCATGTGGAGCAGCACAGCCAAGGATATGGCAGCCAGACAGCATAGACAAGACTCTGCCCTTACGCCCCATCATGCACAGTTGATGTTGCGGGGCGTGGGCAGAGGGTGTGGACGCCATGGCGCTGCTGGGCTGCCTGGGTGATCTGCGGGCAGGCAGGTGGGGCCGTGGCAGGAGGTGAAGCAAGGGCAGGGCCAGTTTTTGGGCACTCGGTCTCTAAAAGGTTCGCCATCACAGCTAGAGGATTTATAGAAGGGTCGACAATGATGGTTCCAACCAATGAATGAAAGCATTAGGACATTCCTGAGAAAGCAGAATGACATGATTAATGACAGCAATCTGAGGAATTGCTAGCATTCCTTTCCCTCTCTGATGGCCACAAGAAGAAATGATATGACAATGTCAGTTAAAGATTAACAGGGGAAAGCACAGATAAAAATGTTGCAATGAGGGCAGCAGATCCATTTTCTCCGTTTCTTGTTTTTCCAATCTTACCTTCAGTCCATCCTGTTTCCTTACGAGTTTGTAACATTTTATTTAAAGTGGGCGCTATGATTTCAACCTTGTATCACATAAAATGGATGGTTGATTTAAAAAAATTGTCTAGTATGCAAATAATGAATCAGATTTATTCCCCTAATGTATTACACAAAAAAGAGAAATAATTATGCTGCAGAATTCAGAGGTGTGCTTTTCAAAACATACTTGAGTTCTGTATGTGTTCAGCCAATCAACTATTCTTTCTTTGGTTATCCCAGTGTTTTTTCAAACTTGGCAACTTTAAGATGTATGGATTTCAACTGGTTAGGGAATTCTGGGAGTTGTAGTCAGTGGTGGGATTAAGATATGTGAACAACCAGTTTTCTGTGTGGATGCCGCTTCTGGAAGTCCATTCTGTACCTGGGCAACAAAAAATTAGCTACCGGTTCTGCCAAACTGGTGCGAACTGGCTGAATCCCACCACTGGTTGTAGTCCACACACCTTTAACTAGCCAGGTTTGAAAACCACCGGGTTCTACTCAATTCCCTTTCTCATGCTTTTTATATTCTGATTTTTTTTCCACTCCCAAAAAGAGTTTTAATGCAAATTGAACATGTTCAGTCACCAGTTGTAGGATTTTCTTTCCTGAGAGGTTTGTTTCCCTTTGGGGTTCAGTTTGGGACATGTGATTTCCTTAAAATTCCTTGTCCATGTGAACAATGCTGTCTTAGCTACATAAGGGTCAACTCTTAAAAAAAATATTCACTGTACTATTTAAACTTCCCTTGACTTGATGCCTTCCAGAAGTGTTTGGCCACACAGGACCAGCTAGATCAGGGGTAGGCAACCTCGGCTCTTTTATGACTCATGGACTTCAACTCCCAGAATTCCTGAGTCAGCCATGCTGATTCAGGAATTCTGGGAGCTGAAGTCCATGAGTCATAAAAGAGCCGAGGTTGCCTACCCCTGAGCTAGATGGTCTGAGGAACTGTGGCACAAGTATTCCTTGACTTACGAGCACAGCTGAGAACAGAATTTCCATAGTTAAGTAAAATGATTATTAGGTGAATCATGCCCACTTTTACAACCATTTGGCCAAGGTTGTTACGTGGATCATTGCAATTGAAAAGTGAATCCTGCAGCCTTTGAGTAAATCTGGCGTTTCCCATTGACTTTACATGCTAGAAGCTGGCTGGGATCAGGACACTGCAAACAGTGTAAATAACAGGCTAGATGCCAAGCAGTTGTGACCACATGACCGTGGGGATGCTATGTTGGTTGTGAGTGTGAGGGCTGGTTGCAAGTCACATTTTTCAGTGCCGTTGTAACTTTGAATGGTCAATAAATGAATGGTTGTAAGTTGAGAACTACCTGTATATACTGTACATCCAGTGGTGGGATTCAAATATGGGAACAACCGGTTCTCTGTGTGGATGTCGCTTCTGGACGTCCATTCTGGGCCTGGGCCACAAAAAATTAGCTACCAATTCTGCCGAAGTGGTGCAAACTGGCTGAATCCCACCTGACGGGCCCAGATTGGGGAAAAGTGATAAGTAGGAGATAACACATGAATACATTTCTGCAGAAATGCACAGGTGATCAAGAATTACTTCCTGCAGCGATTTTACATCGCTTTCCTTCAAATTTCTTTTTCTGCTAGTTTCTCAACGACGCTGGGGGTTGCTGGTCTTTGCTGTAGTTTTGGGCCTGGGATTGCTGGCTTTGGCGATTTTCCTGATTCACTGGAATATGCACAAACTCCGTAGAGGTAAAAAGCATCAGAAGGACTGGTTTATAATGGATGTGGGTGGAGGAAAGGGGATTCTATACTTGTACCGATCTCAAGCAGCGAAACAGAACATATTATTTTGCAGCAGAGCCCTCTCAATTTCATCACTGGAAGCCTCCAAGAAGAGACTGGACAGCCATTTGAGCAGGGAGTTGGACTAGAAGACCTCCAAGGTCCCTTCCAACTCATCCTGACTCTTGAGAAATGCAGGCTCCTACGGTAGTCAGCCAGAAGGATAATACACTTTTTGCAACATGCATACACCTGATACACATTTAATGCTAAATGGGGCTGGTTTGTTGTATTTGGTCATAGCCCAATACAAGCAGCCCTTGGTTAGTCACTTAGTGATCGTTTGAAGCTACAACAGACCCTTTAAAAGAATACTTACAACCTGCATTCAAACTTCCCCTAGCAAACTATGCTTAATGACCCTGGCGTTTGGTTAATGATTGTGGCAAAAGAGAGTGTAACTTTGGTTGTGGTCATATGAGCCACTTAATCACGGTCATGACTTAACAACCAAAATTGCACACTTGTAATTACACTTGTAAGTCGAGGATTACCAGTATGTAGATCTGCTGATCAGGGCTTATTATTATTATTACAGGATCTTGAGACATGTATATTCGCTTAGTATTACATATACAACAGTCCACACTAACTTGTTCAGTAATCTGTATTTTAAACACTGTCACAGTGCTGGTTTAATGTTGTATCTACATGGATCTAAATAAAAGAAAACGCAAGCAAACTAAAATGGAACATGTACTGGGAACGATGGCATAGAGAGAAAGGCTAAAAAGAAATGAATTTGAGTTGATTCAGGTGCATGTACATACTTTAAGGAGTTATTTCTGAGGCTTCCAAATGTGGATTGTTAAAAAAAAAAGAAACTCTACCTTTACCGTGTGTTTTGTCTTTGAGATAAATATGTGAAATGCAAGGTCAAATCAAATATCTCATTACAGTCTTTGACTAGCCTTTACAATAAAAGAGTATAGTATAAAAGAAATAGTTTAGAAATAGTTGTTGGGGAAGTGAAACAATATAACAGGACAATAAAACAACCTCGCTAATTAAAAGTTTTGGAAGATCAGTTGTTCCTTGGCAGGTTATTAGATTCCAATAAAAAAAAGGACCCAAGTTCCTGTAAGAAGCATCCCTCATCCCTTTCCTTTCTGTTTTCTTCCAGATGCGCCCGGCCGGCACCATTCTTGTCCCATCCTGCTGATCTATTCTCCTGATTCAGAGGAACACACACAGTTGGTCTGCTCCTTTGCTGCATTGTTGAGGTCGGCGCTGGGCTGCCCTGTGCTATTGGACCTCTGGGAGTTGGGCCATGTGGGACGACTTGGCATCTTGCCCTGGGTGTATGCCCAACGGGAACTCGTGGGTCGCAAGCAGGGCCAGGTGCTACTGCTGTGGAGTGCGGGCAGTGCCCGCGCTTATGGACTCTGGCAAGGAGAGGCAAGTAGCCATGGTAGGAAAGCTCCAGAGCCCTATGACCTCTTTGGGGCAGCCATGGCCTGTCTACAAAGTGAACTTCAGGGTGTGTCTGGAACAGTCCAGCGATGTGACTGGATCATTGCCTATTTCAATAAACTGTGCGACCGGCGGGATATTCCACGTGCTCTGCGCCTTCTTCCCCGTTACCGCCTGCCTCAGGACCTGCCAGACCTGGTTGGGGTCCTGCAGGGCAACTCCAGCTCAGGACCCAGCTGGCTCCATGCTAGCGCCAAGGCCCTTGTTTGCCACCTGCTCAAAGCCGAGAAGAAGAGGAGCTCACGGAAGCAGCGGAATCAACCATGGAGCAAGAACGTCAAGAGACTGGAGGAATCCCTGTTCCCCCTCGCTCAACTCAAGGTGCACAGGCCAAGCTGCACTTGAGGGCTGTGGACTGAGGGTGTATTGCAAAATGGGATCGATCCCACTGGTTATCTGTAGGCAGAAGGTAGTCCTTGGGCCTCAGAAGGATTGGCTTCCTTATGATGCCTGTGAAATGGCATCTGTAATGGCATCTTGGCTGGTAATGCCACTGCCAAAAATACAAAGGAAGGGGTCCAAGCTCAGCTAAACGTGTAAAGCAGAGAGATTACTCTGGCTGCCAGAGAGCCCCCTCCATCACCTGATGGTCATGGCATCTGTTGCCATAGAGATGATAGGGTACTGCAAAGAGGCGGTCATGTTGCCTTGCTGTCGAAAGCAGGGTTGGTGCAATATGAATGTTGTGGGCAGGTGTGTGTGTATGATTCACAGGTGCTGCTTCCTAGCCAGTTCCTCCTGGAGGATGGTAAGCTGGTCAAAAAGCAGCCAGGTTAGGCCCAGGGAAGAGGATCTTGCTGCAAGCTAGATGGACTAAATGGAGAGACTGAATTCTTGCTTTGTTCACCATCCATCACTTCAGGACTCTAACCCACAGAAGGTGGAGAACATCTCTGACACCTTTCAGAATGTTTCCCCCCCCCCAAAAAAAACATGGGTCCTTAACATTTCTACTAGTGGAAACACAAAGACCAGCACGAAATCCGAAGATAGTGATCTCCTAGATCAGTGGTTTTTAACCTTTTTAAATGCCGCGACCCCCAACCGGTCATAAGTCGAGGACTACTCAACCGGTCGTAAGTCGAGGACTACTCAACTGGTGCAGCACCGTTTGCAAAATGGGATTTTTGGCGGGCTCAGCAGGGCAGAGACAGCCTGGACAATTCCTATTGGCTTTTGAAAGCCAATAGAATTAGACTCTATTCAAGAGAGTCTATTCTATTGGCTTTCAAAAGCTAATAGAATAAAAGGGAGTAGCACAGCTAAGGAAAAGGGGGAAAAAAATGGTGGACTGTGTTGTTTGGCGACCCCCGTGAAATGGTCGTTCGACCCCAAATGGGGTCCCGACCCACAGGTTGAGAACCACTGTCCTAGATAGTACACTAAGGGTCATTCCCCACTGTTGAGTGGAGACTCTCTCCATTTACCTATGTGCTAGCAAAAAGCTATGCCAGCAGGGAATTAGCTCTTCCCGTTACTAATTCCTATATCCCAATTCTGTCCCCCATCTGTGCAGTCTCCTGACTCCCTTCAAGGAAATGGGGTAACAAAGCCCAACAGATGTTATGCAGCTTAGAACTGCTCTGGAGTGGGTCAGAATCAGTGGGTAAACACTATCTGAACATCAGAACAGCTGAAGAAGAGATAAATCATCTAGCTAGAGAAGTTAAGCCTTTTTACCCATAAGCTAGGGACAAGATGACAGCAGCGTGAAAGGGATATCCCAGAACAAAGGTATTGTCAGAGTGTGTTTTTGCTGTGTGCAAGTGGGAAAAAGACTTACAAAGTCATACAATTAGGTGAATGTAAATGTAATCAGCCACCGGCTTGCCTTGCTTTGACCGCTCCGTTTCCAAACCAGCAAAACAGGCACGTTGCTAAGAGAGTTGTAAGAGATCTTCATTTTGTTTTGTGTGTTTAATCGGCTGAGGTTCTTTGTTGCTCAGGTCCTACGTCGTCTTCTTGGTGCTGCTATCTTGGAATATAATAATAAAGATTATTTTTAAAGGAAATTCAGAAAGGCAAAGGGCACTTTTCTGCTTTAGTTATCTACAACACTGCACTGACGGTCTCTTAAAAAGTAGAAACCTTGATAAACTAAAGTCACCCTGCTTTATTGAAAAGGATTTCTGTGCCTCATGACTTTGAAAGTAAGCTTGCAGGGTTTTTTTTTTTTTTTTTTTGAAGAATAACCCCCTGGTGGAAGGGCTGTCTCTGTCATTCCATAATGCAACTTTAGCCAACTTGTGGCCTTTCAGATATGTCATGTTTACAGCTTCCACAACGGACCATGTTGGTTCAGAATTCTGATTAGATCCAACATATCTGGAAGACAGCAGATTGGAGAAAACTGTCCTAATGGCTTCAGACTAAAATAGTCTTGTACCTCAGGATCTATTACTGTTTTTTTCTACCTAGATCTAATTCTAGATCCACATAAACATGTGTACCATGCACATATACATTACTTTGCAAAATAGGAAAGATTCATTGGTACAAATAGCCCTTAACGTTATAACCGCAACTGAGCCTAAAGTTTCTATTGCCAAGCAACAAAGTGGCTAGGTGTGTTTTGCCCCATTCTATGACCTTTCTTGCCACAGTTGTGGCAAGTGAACCACTGCAGCTGTTAAGTTTGTAACTGTGGTTGATAAAGGAATCTGGCTTCTCCATTGACTTTGTTTGTCTAAAGGTCGCCAAAGGTTATCGCTTGTTCCTGGGACATCGCAACTGTCATAAATACATGCCTGCTACCAAGCATCCGAATTTTGATCACATGACCACAGGGAATGCTGCAAAGGTTGTAAGTGTGAAAAATGGTCATAAATTGATTTTTTTTCAGTGCTGTTGTAACTTCAAATGGTCACAAATGGTTGTAAGTCAAGGATTACCACTGTACCATACAGGGCATGAGGTATTTTTACTTTCTTATATGCCTTTCCATTTCATCGTTCAAATGACCCAGGACAATAAATTGTGGAATTTATTTATTGAAGCACATTTCTATTTCAAGAGAAAACATAGGTGGATCAATTGGAAACTGATCAAAGAGAGAAGCAACCTGGAATTAAGGAGAAACTTCCTGACAGTGAGGACAATTAACCAGTGAGATTTTAAAGAAGAGACTAGACCAGGGGTAGGCAACCATGCTGGCTCAGGAATTCTGGGAGTTGAAGTCCACAAGTCATAAAAGAGTCAAGGTTGCCTACCCCTGGACTAGACAGTCACTTGTCTGAGATGGTATAGGTTCTCCTGCTTGAGCAGGGGGCTGGACTAGAAGACCTCCAAGGTCCCTTCCAGCTTCTATTCTATTCTATTCTATTCTATTCTATTCTATTCTATTCTATTCTATTCTATTCTATTCTACTCTACTCTACTCTACTCTACTCTACTCTACTCTATTCTGTTCTATTTTCTATTCCTGATCAATAGTTCTTCTCTGAGGTAATGGTGGCCTTTTAAGTCAAGATCTTCATTGAGTAATTGTTCTATCTTATTCAAATAATGTCGTAGGAGTTCCAGGTTTTAGAGTCAAATATTTTCCATCTTCTCTTTTCTTAAATAAACAAAAAACAGCTAACTTTGGAATGGGTCTATGGAAAAATGGAGCAAAACTTTCCTATTCTCTTGATTGATTCACTGCCTCATTGGCAGAGAGAGGAAGCATGATAGTGTAATAGGAATTCCCCAAAGGAGTGAAGTAATCGAGTAAGCCATAGTGATTTAAATTTAGCTTGAGATAATCCCCAGTCATGCATATAGTTGAAATACATTTTCCATCAGATCTACTGGGGGATTAATAAAGATTTTTTTTTATTCTGAAATCACACTAATTTCTAAAGAGAAAAGCTGAATCAACCTTGAGGATCGAACTCCAGGCAGTGGGCAGAATCAGCCTGCAATACTGCATTCTAACCACTATGCCACCAGGACTAATTTATCATAGCTAAATGTGAAACTATATGGGGTACCTGTTCTAGTTTCCAAAAATGCCACATCTACTCTTTAATAGTCATAATATACTTTTGACTTTTCTTTTTGTCTATACATGAAGACTGGAAAATTATCTTCAGTCTAAAAAGAAACTTAGGGAACTAACAATAGGCTAAATTTGCCACAATTTAAAACATACATACAATATATATCTTTTCAAAAATAGTAGCATATCATACTAGCACCCACCTATACTGTAAATCAGGGGTCCCCCGGTCTGTGGCATGCCAGCAACCAGTCCGCACAAACAAGCAATGCCCATCCGCGGGATGCAGGCAGCACACAAAACCACACCCCCTCCAGTCTGTGGAAAAATTCCTCTCCACAGAACCGGTCCCTGATGCCCAAAAGGTTGGGGACCTCTGCTGTAAATACACCTTTATAATTATTGTCAGGTTTTATGGTTACTATTCTGAAAGGCAGCTATTTCAGACTTCACTCTTTAAAAAAAAATAAAGGTCTATGTGAGCAGAAATTGTACAATGTTGTATTATTTTTAATTTTAAAATTTAATATAAAATGAAATGCAGCATGTCACTACTGGTAGTCCTTGAGTTATAATCACAATAGAACATAGAATTTCAGTCATATGTTTTTGCGATCGTAAGTCGAGGCTGAATTCGATTTTGACTGTTTTTACAAAGGTCATAAAGAAAATCAGTGCAGTCATAAAGTGAATCATGTTGTCGATGAGAGAATAAAAAAGGCCAGAAACTGGCAAAAAGCATTGCAAATTGTAATCACATAACCGTGGGATGCTGCAATCAGTCATAAATGTTAACCAGTCACCAAGCATCTGAAATGTGGTCACATGACGGGGGGAGGGACACAGATGTAAATTTTGAGGACGGTCTGTCATAACTTCAAGCAGTCATTAAATGACCAGTCATAAGTCAAGGACAACCTGTGATGTCATGTTCTAGGTCAGCGGTCTCCAACCTTTGTGGCTTGGTGGCCTGGCTGGGGAGGGGGAGAGGAGAACTGGTCTGTGCAAGTGGCAGGCTGGCACACATGCACATGTGCAAGTGGCAGGCCAGTGCCATGCATGCAGCTCACTTATCTGAGCAGCGGGCCAACATGCATGTGCATGACTTCCCATCGGCTCACGCAAGTTGAGCTACATGCATGCGCGCATTCTGGCCAGCCAGTTGCAAGGCCCAATTCCAAATAGGCCACGGCCCCAGGGGTTAGGGACCCCTGTTCTAGGTAATTCTAGTTCATGCCCAAGGATCTTTTTTCACTTGGACCCACATCCAAATCAATATAACCTCCTTGATAAGTGGGCTATACACCTTATAAAATAGCGTTCTTTAAAAAAACATAATGTGATAATCCTATGGCCCTGCCATCAAGAGCAGACATGCAATTACACGTGAGGTAAAAGTACTATAACTGCATTTTTGGCAGTTCTGGGCTGAATCACTCTTCCAACACTGAATAAATGGAGCTATATCTTCCAAAGCCACAGGTTCATTCCACAGCTATCAACTATATAGGTGTTGTCCCAAGAAATACTGGGTTTCATTTACGCCTGTCACACAAATCCAATCATGCACACAAGACAGGAAATTGCTTTACTCTATTATAGAACAAAGGGCAATTGGCATGAAAGTTTCCAAAGCAAGGCACTGTTGGTGCAAGGAAAGTATGATCTGTTGGGATTTACTTATCTATCAGTGCTGGCCAGCTCCTGGCTCCTTTTGTGCTTTGTGTTGTTCCATTTCAAGGCTTACCTTTGACTGGTTTTATTTATTTATTTATTTATTTATGAGACTTATACGGTGAGATTTGAACCGCCGACCTGCTGAACATAGTCAGCTAAAGTGGCCTGCAGTACTGCACTCTAACTGCTGCGCCACCTCGGCTCGGTTTTCAAAGTGAAAGGAATTTCTGCTTTTTTAGCTAACAATTAATGAAGGTCAGTTTGATGTCATAAGTTTATACCCCCTGCATTCTATTACAAGGACCAGAACTACAAGTCTAATCCAGGCCCTATCGCAGTATGCCTCAACCATGTCAACTTTAACATGTATGAACTTCAATGCTGGCTGAGAAATTTTGGGAGCTGAAATCCAGACATCTTCAAGTTACCAAGTTGCGAATCACTGTCCTACGTGATCACGGGGTAGGCCTTTCTACTAAATTTAAGCCAGGAATTGGCAGCTTCTGATTCTAAAGGACCCATTTTGACTTCAGGTCATGCCACTCACACAAAATGGCTGCTCTGGAATTTTTTTTTTTTAATATAATTTTTATTAAGAAATTTTTACATAGGTAAAAGACAAAAATGAAGGAAAACTGCATTATGAAATGAAGAAAAAATAAAAAGAGTGAAAAAAGGGAAAAGTGCAGAAAACAAAACAGTAGAAAATAGAAAGAAAAAGAAAGAAAAAGAAATCGGCAACTTCTGAATCCATTTTAACAATTATGTACAAACTTTTTGTCCCCCCTCCCTCACTAATATTGTAAAAAAATCCTTCAGCACCTTGTTCAGACTTTTTCAATCATTAAATCCATAAGTCATCATTTCACTTGTTTTTCATTTTCAACAAAAAGTCCACAAAAACTTTCCAGTCTTGTACAAGAATTTACTATTTTCCACAAAACTGCTTTGGATTACCATATAGCTATCCGGCCACTTACCAAATTTGAGAACACAATTTTCTTTCTCCTATTTTGCCTAAAATCACATAGTGGCAACAATGAATTGCACAAAATGGCATGTTATCATTCTTTTTATGTCTTGAAAATTGGATCCTATCCTAAGTTAAGGTAGGTCTCAATCTGAAGGTTTCAAATCACAATGTGTGATTCCTTTTGTTTGTGGGCTTAGTGTGTGGTGTGACCTCCACCTTTACAACCTGTTCAATAAGCCAGGACTAGAACAAATTCCCGACACATAAATGTTGTCAGTTTTTGTCCATATCTGAAAGCTTCATTTTTTGCCAGCTCAAAATCTGAAACTTTCCAAAGAGATAACATCTGGATTTTGTCTGAAATGGTATAGGGCAGGGATAGGCAACCTTGGCTCTTTTATGACTCTTGGACTTCAACTCCCAGAATTTCTGAGCCAGCATGGCTCAGCTTAGAAACCTCTCCCTTTCCCCTCAGCATGGCTGGCTCAGGAATTCTGGGAGTTGAAGTCCATGAGTCATAAAAGAGCCAAAGTTGCCTATCCCTGGTATAGGGTTTCCTGCCTGAGTGGGGGGTTGGACTAGATCAGGAGTAGGCAATCTTGGCTCTTTTATGACTCGTGGACTTCAACTCCCAGAATTTCTGAGCCAGCATGGCTCAGCTTTGAAACCTCTCCCTTTCCCCTCAGCATGGCTGGCTCAGGAATTCTGGGAGTTGAAGTCCACGAGTCATAAAATAGCCAAGGTTGCCTACCCCTGGTCTAGATGAACTCCAAGGTCCTTCCATTATTATTATTATTATTATTATTGTTGTTTTGTTTTGTTGTTTTATTATTTGCTCTCATGGCTTTTGGAAAAATGCTGAATTTAGCTTGACTGTGATTTAGGTTCCCATTACTGGCAGCCTGGCATTCAGCCTAGGTTCTTTGGCACATCCCCTGGATTTCAAGGGAAGTTCTTGCTCCGCCTCTTGGATTTAATTCTTCTTTGACGTAACCTTGGTAGTAATTGCAAAAAGGGAGGATACAGTATTTATTTACGAAGTCAGATCTGGCAAACCAAGCTAGATCGTCCCGAATTGGGCAGCTCTTTGAATCTTCTTGCTCCTGCTGATTGTGAAGAGATTAATGGCTAACTTAGCCAACCAGATCCTTAACCTGCTTGTCAGCCTAACTCCAAAGGTTGGAAATGCTGTGTGAAGACGCCAATTCCTTGGAAGAAGAAACAGAGAAATAGTGTACCAAGGCAGGATTTAAAACTTATTCTGTAGAAAGGCAGATTGTGCCATGGGAGGCACAAAGGCTGTATCATGCTGGTAATGAGTTACAAGAAGAGTGATTGTTTAGCTACCTGAGATGCAGTTACTTGCCTTGGTGCTGTTCCTAAGTCACCTGTTTTCTGCCTGCTTCCTCCTTGCGAACTCGCTGAACTCTGTCAGTTGCTCGCCGGTAAGTAAAAGTCTTGTCATCCTGGTGGGAGGAGGCAGCAAAGTTTAGAATCAAACAAAATAATCTCTAAGATCTGTTCCCTTCCTTTTCAGTGCGCTTGTATTTTGCATTATTGCTGTGTTGCTAACCGGCATTGGCATTTTGGCATCTGCAGTTGATCAGGTCTCTGACAGCTTGATTCTCTGTGGAGAAGCATGTTTATACCCCATTAGCATAGTGTACCTGTCTCGGGTGTCACTACAGCCAGTGGAAGAGGGATTATTGACAAGAAGGGTTATAGTAGTATCAGCTCGGCCAGCAAATTCTTGTATCATGATATAAAAGTTTTGGAGCCTTTCCTTAACATTCCTTAGCAGAATCAACAGTTGCTGTGATGTAGAGTCCTTGGTTTTCCCAGTTGCAATGTATGGCTGTGAAAGTTGGACCATAAGAAAGGCTGAGCGCCAAAGAATTGAGGCCTTTGAACTATGGCACTGGAGAAGACTCCCACAAGTCCCCTGGACTGCAAGGCGATCAAACCGGTCAGTCCTAGAGGAGATCAACCCTGACTGCTCTTTAGAAGGCCAGATCCTAAAGTTGAAACTCAAATACTTTGGCCATCTAATGAGAAGGAAGGACTCACTGGAGAAGAGCCTAATGCTGGGAAAGATTGAGGGCAATAGAAGGGGACGACAGAGAATGAGGTGGATGGATGGAGTCACTGAAGCAGTAGGCATGAGCTTAAGTGGACTCTAGAAGATGATAGAGGACAGAAAGGCCTGGAGGAACGTTGTCCATGGGGTCGCGACGGGTTGGACACAACTTCGCAACTAACAACAACAAGAGTCCTTGGTGCTCTCTGAGCTTGATGTTTCATTACCCAACTAGGTAACATCATCAGTGCTAGCTAACCAGGTGTTACCTAACTGGGCAATGAAATATCTACAAGCAAACAACCAAATTCAGAGAGCAGCAAGGACCCCACAGCAACTCCTTAAAACAGTAGTATCATTTCTAGAGCTTAGGTAGCAGCCATATGATGCTAAGAAATGACACAGTTATTTTAAAGAGTTGTAGGTACATGCTATGGTTGTACTCCCTTGTGGACTAAAGGAACTGTTCTAAATAATTTCTGAAATGCTGCATGTTGCTGCATTATTGGAGGCTTTCAAAACAGACTGGACAACCATTTGTCTGAAATAGTATGGGGTCTCCTGCTTAAGCAGGGGGTTGGACTAAAAGACCTCTAAGGTCCCTTCCATCTCTATTATTCCATGTTCTATGTTCAACCCCGAGTTACAAATATTCTATTCTCTTGTTCTTGCTAGAACAGGTTGTTGGCTAGCAATGCCTTATCCTGACTGTTTTTGATACCTTGAGTTTGTGTGTCGTCAGAGGTGTAGTGATACAGCAAACAGCAGGATAAAGCTGGACAAGTTATTTCCTGGGAACAAGATAAGGCATATCAAGGAAGAATGAACAAAACTGAAACTGTATTCCAAACTGATGTTGCAATACTTAATCAAGACAAAATCTGCATTTGAAGGACTACAAATAAACTATCACCATAAGTGTGAAGATGCTTCAAGAGTGAAGCCACTTGACTGGACACACAGATCTTTTGCTTCAATAGGATTAGTAGCTGAGTAGCCTTCAAAGTCTGAATCTTCTCCATGAGATAGGTCTTTCCTGCTTTGCTTTGTAATGAGAGGCAGAATAGGAGTATTCCCCAATTCCATTCCTTCAGGGGCAGAAAAATTAAAGAAGATTCTAATGAATAATAGTTACTGGATATGAAAAAGCGGAAGAGTTTTTACCTTCATTACAAGATATAATAATAATAATAATAATAATAATAATAATAATAATAATAATAATAATAATAATAATAATAATGCTTCCATCCTGCGACGATACCTGTAATACCATCAAACATCCACATCTGCCTATCCCAGGTCCTGGGTAAGGACTCGATAGGTAGACAAAATGCCAAATCCAGTCTGAACATCTGGCTGACTGTGCGATGATTGATAATAATAATAATAATACAGTTGGAAGGGACCTTGGAGGTCATCTAGTCCAACCCCCTGCTCAGGCAGGAAACTCTATATCATTTCAGACAAATGGCTGTCCAGTCTCTTCTTAAAAACTTCCAGTGTTGGAGCATTCACCACTTCTGGAGGCAGGTTGTTCCACTGGTTAATTGTTCTAGCTGTCAGGAAGTTTCTCCTTAGTTCTAGGTTGCTTCTCTCCTTGATTAGTTTCCATTCATTGCTTCTTGTCCTGCCTTCAGGCACTTTGGAAAATAGCTTGATTCCCTCTTCTTTGTGGCAGCCCCTGAGATATTGGAACACTGCTGTCATGTCCCCCCTCGTCCTTCTCTTCATTAAACTAGACATACCCAATTCCAGCAGCCGTTCCTTATATGTTTTAGCCTCCAGTCCCTTAATCACCTTTGTTGCTCTTCTCTGTACTCTTTCTAGAGTCTCAGCATCTTTTTACATCGTGGTGACCAAAACTGGATGCAGTATTCCAAGTGTGGCCTTACCAAGGCATTGTAAAGTGGTATTAATACTTCACGTGATCTTAATTCTATCCCTCTGTTAGTGCAGCCCAGCACTGCATTGGCTTTTTTGGCAGCTGCAGCACACTGCTGGCTCATATTTAAGTGATTGTCCATTAGGACTCCGAGATCCCTCTCACAATTACTACTATTGAGCAAGGTACCACCTATACTATACCCGTACATTTGGTTTTTCTTGCCTAAATGTAGAACCTTACTTTTTTCACCATTGAATTTCATTTTGTTAGATAGTGCCCAGTGTTCAAGTCTGTCCAGGTCCTCCTGTATCTTAAGCCTGTCTTCTGGAGTGTTGGCTATTCCTGCTAGCTTGGTGTCATCCGCACATTTGATGAGTTCCCCATCTATCCCCTTGTCCAAATCATTGATGAAGATGTTGAAGAGCACTGGGCCTAGAACAGAGCCCTGGGGCACCCCACTACACACTTCCCTCCATGTAGATGCATTTCCATTGAGGACCGGTCAGCCAGCTACGAACCCATCTAGTGGTGATGTTGTCTAACCCACATTTTTCTATCTTATCGAGTAGTAGGTTATGATCTACTTTATCAAATGCCTTACTGAAGTCCAAGTAAATTATATCCACAGCATTCCTCTGATCCACTAATTTTGTCACTTGGTCAAAGAATGCAATAAGGTTTTGTTATGGGACGAGAAACATAAAGTTCACCAGTAGTTCCAGAGGCATTATATCAGACGGGCGTTAATAGATGTTTAGACCAAAATTCGGCAACAGAATTATAGGCAAGTTCCCAATTGGATCTCAACATTAGAAATGTACATACGCCCAAAGTTCATTCAGTTGGGGAAAGTAATAACCTATAAAAACATATTAGATGAGAGAGGAGAATTAAAATCGAGGAAAAATCTTCAAGATGCAGGGATAGAATTAGAATGGTGGGCGTATCTCCAACTACAAGGTATATAGGAAAGACAAAAAAGAGTGGGGTATAAAAATAGAACCGACAGAACTAGATAAAATATTATTAGGTTCCCGAGGATAAAATGATTAAAAAAATATATCACTTTCTCTTAGACCAGGCAATGTACGAAGAACAGGTCAAGGAGACTATGCTAATTTGGAGTAGAGATTTTGGTTTCACTATTGACCTGAATATTTGGCAAGAACTGTGGGAAAGATATAGGAAACTCACTTTAGTTACCTCATACAAGGAAAATCTCTACAAGATATTCTATAGATGGCATCTCCCACCTACAAGGCTAGCTAAAATGGGCTCAAATATCTCACCTTTATGCTGGAAATGTAAAATAGCAATTGGATCATATTATCATATGTGGTGGGAATGCCCAAAGGCTCGTGAGTATTGAAATATGATACTAAGTTGGCTAAATGATATATTAATATTGGACTTAGAGTTAAAACCTGAACTATTCTTGTTGGGAATAACTACAGAATAGTACAATAAGGGAACAATCTATTTGCTGTTACACATCTTGACAGCAACTAGGCTTGCATTTGCGCAAAAATGGAAGAGCAAAGAAATTCCTACAGAGGAAGAGTCATTATATAAAATATTAGTACGTGCGGAAATGGACAAGCTCACAATGGTATTGAAAGACAAATGTGGATCAGTTTATTTCAAAACCTGGGATAAATTTTACCGCTGGAGGGATTCGAGGAGGACGGTTGGGATTAAAGGTTAGCGTTAAGATAGAAATATATGTTATTTTAGAATAAGTACTGTATATAAAACTTAGATGTAAAATTAGAGATGAAGAATTGATTGTAAAATGTGGAACAACTTGGTAAGAATCTATATACTGGAATGTCACGTTACATCCAATGTTTTTTAATTGTATTATAAATAAAATTTTAAAAAAAGAATGCAATAAGGTTTGTCTGGCATGATCTATTTTTGACAAACCCATGTTGGCTTTTAGTAGTGATTTGTTTGCCTATAGATCAGTGGTTCTCAACCTTTCTAATGCCGTGACCCCATAATACAGTTCCCCATGTTGTGGTGACCCCCAAGTGGGTGTGGCCACCAATAAGAGGGAGTAGGACAGCTAGGGAAAAGGGAAAAAAATGGCGGACAGCGTGGTTTGGCGACCCCCGTGAAATGGTCGTTTGACCCCAAATGGGGTCCCGACCCACAGGTTGAGAACCACTGCTATAGATGTTCGCTGATTAGTTGTTTGATTATTTTTTCCAGAATCTTCCCAGGTATTGAGGTCAGGCTGATAGATCTGTAATTTCCTGGATCCATTTTTTCCCCCTTTTTTGAAGATGGGAACTACATCAGCTCTTTTCCAGTCCTCTGGTAGTTCCCCAGTGCTCCAAGATCTTTGAAAAATATAGTTCAGTGGTTCTGAGATCAACTCTGCCAGCTCCTTGAGAACCTTGGGGTGTAATCCATCTGGTAACGGTGATTTGAACTCGTCTAGGCTGGACAGGTGCTCACTTATCATTTTCTTGCCTATCTTATCTTGTGTTTCTATACTGTTTTTTATGGCACTATTTTTGATAGATTGGTCTGTTTTTTCCCTTTGTGTAAAGACAGATGCAAAAAACGAGTTAAATAGTTCTGCTTTCTCCCTATTGCTTGTCACTTTCTTGCCACTTTCACCCACTAATGAATCAATCATTTCCTTCACTTTTTTCTTGTTTTTTACATGTTGAAAGAAGCTTTTTTTATTATTTTGACTTTGATCGCAAGCCTTTGTTCATTATGAGCCTTCGCTTTCCTCACTGCATCTTTGCAGGCATGGGCTATTTGTTGATATTCTGATTTAGTTATGTGCCCCTCTTTCCACTTTCTATACTTGTCCTTTTTATCTTTCAATTTATCAGAGAGTTCTTTATGCAGCCCTACTGGTTTATTTTGAGAGCTGTTATTTTTCCTCTTTGTTGGTATTGAGCTATTCAAAATAACTCCTCCAACTTCCTCAAAGTGACATCAGCCTTTTAGGAAAATCCCAAGGTTTGTAAAAGTTAAGGCGAAACACTTTTTTTTTGGCCAGGGTGAAAGACTTTCATAAACAACACTTTCTGGAAATACAAATTAATTGCTATGCCAAGATGAAAGACAAAATTGAAAGGGAACGGGAACAGAATCAGGTGGAAAATGGCATTTCTGAATTGCTGGTTGGGTCACATCCTGTATATTACATCACTGTGTGTTATTAGAGATCTCACTGCAGTGAGTTATTGCAGATCTCACTTATCCTAAGTTAATTATGTGTGTGTAGTTTTGCTGAAACATGTTGCACAGATAATTGGTTCAGAGGTCGTCCAGGATGCCAAGATCAGAGAGATGCAAGAGATTCAAAAAAAAGATATGACAAACATCAATTTGTTGTTTCGTATATCAGGAGAGAACCTCTAAACTCTACCAGTTTAGGCAAGTGTCTATTTGGCCTGAGCCAAAAGCCACCTCGGGGTGAGAGTAAAGAGCTAGCAGGCAGTTTATGAGTACCCACAAATAGAGGAACAAACTACAGTTCTGGAGAGATGCAAGTAGTCCTCAATTTACAACCACAACTGAGGCCAGAGTTTCCATTGTTAAGTAGAATAGAATAGAATAGAATAGAATAGAATAGAATAGAATAGAATAGAATAGAATAGAATAGAATAGAATAGAATAGAAACCAGTAAAGTAAATCTGTTGTTTTAGTCTTAGCCTGGCTGGCTATATTGTGTAATGGGAGCTAGGAAAATGGGTTTATTTTGAAAATATATATCCCGGTCATTAAACCTGCTCTTTCCTCTCTGTCCTTCTGCAGGGCCTGGGTTGTCAGCTAAGTAAGTATATGTTCTGGGTTTTTTGTGTGTGTTAAGCAGAAAGTTCATTTTCTCTCAAATTAGTTCATTATAATTGCGGTGGGTAACAATCCTCATCTCAGTCGTGCTGGTTAAGAATGGAAAGAGTTGTGGTCCATGACACCTGCATGGTGGCAAGGAGAAGAACAACTGATCTCTAAGTCATATGTGTGGTTCAACAAGGTTCATGATAGCAACCAATGTGGCTTGTCTGGAAACTAGTCAGACAGGATTATTTAGCTCTTAAGAATCATTTGGTTGCGTTTTATGATGATGATCCTGCAATATCCCTTTCTTTCGTAGATACTCACATACCAAAGGGGAGTCACTAATTATACCTTGTGATTTCATGCCAATAATAGGCAATGCCTCCTCACGCCAATAAAACATGTTGGAGAAAGAAGGGAAAAAATGGGGGGGGAGATGGGCATAACAGAGAAAAGCCATTTGGAGCCCCCTCTTAAATTCTTGGGTTCCACCCCTATCTGCAGCTGCAAAGTTAGCAGATATTCCTCCTCTTCTGCAGAACATGAACTTGCAACCACTGAAGACCCCCGCCGTTCGGTCTGCAAAGCACAGGGTAGGTTGGGCAAGGGAATTTCCTCTACTGCCCCCATTCACTTTCTCTCCCCATCCCCACCTTGCTTTCAGAAAAGGAGGATGTTCTATGTATACTTGGTGAAGCCAGATCAGATCCAGAACTAGATCCAATCCTAGATCTGATTCAGATGAACCCAAGGAACACTCTTTGGTGCCCGGAGGAGGAAGACTGCATTCCTTGCGTGCAAGTGACACTAACTCTTGGATTACTGGGTAAGGGAGGTGACTCAACCATCTGTTCATAGAAGTGTAGTTGTGTCACCTGCTAGCCTTGGGTCCTGGAGGTGTGGGGGGGCAGGAACTTGTTTTTTGGTGTTGCTTTTGCATTGGTCGGCCAGATCCTGAAGTTGAAACTCAAGTACTTTGGCCACCTAATGAGAAGGAAGGACTCACTGAAGAAGAGCCTGTTACTGGGAAAGATTGAGGGCAATAGAAAAAGGGGACGACAGAGAATGAGGTGGCTGGATGGAGTCACTGAAGCAGTAGGCATGAACTTAAATGGACTCCAGGAGATGGTAGAGGACAGGAAGGCCTGGAGGAACGTTGTCCATGGGGTCATGATGGGTCGGACACGACTTCGCAACTAACAACAACAAGGGCAGGGCAGGGCAGGGCAAGGCAGGGCAGGGTTGAAGAATCTGCCATGAAAAGCAACTGAGTAGCAGAATAGTAGCAGTAGCAGAGCTGTCAGAGCTGAGTAGCAGTAGCAGAGCTGTCTTCATCTTTGACAAACTGCCCAACCTCCCATCAATCTCATTGTGACAATGCAGATGCTTCATAGATTTTCTCTAGAAGTTAGATGGCAGATCCCAACAGGAAAAAAAAGCTCTCTCCCTGTCATGGTATAGTGATTTCGACAGAGGAGAATATTTGTAGCTCAGGGTTGAAATGAGGGGTCCTTGATACTCTCTGAGCTTGGTGGTTTTCTTGCAGGCTAGGTGACAGCACAAGGATCATTAGTTGTGGGACTAGGGCAGGGGTAGGGAACCTTGGCTCTTTTATGACTTGTGGACTTCAACTCCCAGAATTCCTGAGCCACAAATATACATTGAATTTGAAAGATTGTCTTTGCAGTGATTGGCAACAACAATATGATGATTCATTACACAAATAGCATAAACTGCTCTAACAATTTAGACTTGCACCCAAGGACGGTTGAGTCTGTGGTTTCACCGTGTTGCTTCACCTGTTATTTTTGGCAAAATAGATGCATTCCAATAACCAATGCCTCATTCCTTTTGTTTCCTTCTAGAGCCAGCTGCATTGGGTGCAAAACAAGATGGAGGAGCCAGCAAGATCAGCGAGCAGCCCAAGGGACACCCTAAGAGTGAGTAGGGTCTTCTTGACAGCAGCTCGTTACCAGATGGAAACTGTCCTTACTTTGCTTTTGATCCTGATCTCTTTCTGTCTCCAGAAATCCTGCGAACACACATTTTCCTCATGGCCCAGACCTATTCTTCTTCTCGTTGTGTTGAAGTGGAGGTTTGGCTTCCCGACGATCGGGAAAGTCAAAATAATTCCCTGGTAAGGCACACCGATTCCTAGAGGCATCCTCCCTGCTAGAGGTAGGAAGATCTAGTTCAGTGATGGTGAGCCTTTGGGGCTAGATGTGTCAAAAATTCACAAAGTCCTAACTCTGTGGCTGGGTTATTCCCCCTTCTGCCACAAAAGACAAACAATTCTTTACATATTTATTTATTCTTGAAAAAAAATGCAGTCCAGTCATGGATGGTGCTAAATATTGTATAAAGGAATGTCAAATAGTTACAAAAAAGAGAAAGAAATATCAGTGATAATGAATGTATGACATGTCTGTCAAAAGAGACACACCATGATGTTTTGGGTGACATGTCATACATTCATTATCACTGATCTAGTTATTTATTATTATATGGATTCCAGTACCTTCTCTGGAAGGATTTCTTGCCCTTGGCCAAACATACAGAAACATAATAGACAGGTGGTTGCAAACTCTACTGTTGGTTATTTACTACAACTGTCCAAATGACAGGGATGCTGTTGGCACCATACACATACACTGGAAAGAATTTTCCAAAGTCAAGGAAGCTCTTCTTAATAGAATCCCAAAGTTTCCGAGTCTGGAGTAGAAAGCAAAAGAATAGTAAGGGGGAGGTCCAAGGGTCAAAGCAGCACAGAAAGTTTGTCAGAACCAAAGAAAGTTGTGGGATTCAAGACAACATTCAAGACACACAGAATCTCACAGCCATAGTGACGCAGTGGTTAGAATGCAGTATTGCAGACTAATTCTGCCCACTGCCAGCAGTTCGATTCTCACTGGCTCAAGATTGACTCAGTCTTCCATCTTTCTGAGGTCGGTAAAATGAGGATCCAGATTGTTGGGGGCAAAATGCTGTCTCTGTAAACCTCTTAGAGAGGGATGTAAAGCACTGTGAAGTGGTATATAAGTCTAAGAGCTATTGCTATTGCTGTCTGGGTTCCCAGAGGGTTGTTGCCAACTGAGAGGCTTGGGTTTTGCTATTCTGCAAAGTAGAGCCACTGACAGGTGAAAGCAACCAGAACCACTTGTGAAGAGTCTCAACGCTAGTTTGTTGCTAGTTAACTTATGTTTACAAGACTCTCACCGGACTGACTTCATTGCCCTGGGAACAGCAAGATAAGGCTTCAGAGATTCTGGGGGAGATCAGGCAGATGCTGCTTCCTACAGTGCAGTGACTCCAAACTTCAGCCCCCTCTTAACTCCTCCGTCCAGTCTAACTGGAGATTCCACCACATCCTGGTGTCATTCATGCATACAACTCTTTTCTCTCAAGAAGACTTGTAGAGCACCTTTGCTCTGCTCTCTTCTCCCCACGACAAGTCCTTGTGCAGGTTGAAGGCGGCAGATCAGGCTTCTCATCTTCAAATGCAATGGCTGCTTCGGTTGATCTCCACCTCAGGTGCCTGCAGTTCCTGAGGCAATGGTTCATCTGGTAATTCTGGAGCAGGTTGCATATTGTCAGTCATTTCATCTGAGCTCACCAAAACAAAGGGTAATGGTGCACATGGGGCCTCCCCTCATTTTATCCTGTAAAGTAGGTGAGGTGAAGAGAAAGAAGCAGTCTATAGTCACCCAGTGAATTCCAAGGTTGAGAAGGCTCTTAACCTGAGCCTCTAGGGTCGTGTTTCTCAGTCTTGGCAACTGAAGATGTGCTGACTTCAACTCCCAGAATTCCGCAGCCAGCACGCTGGCTGGGCAATTCTGGGAGTTGAGGTCCAAATATCTTCAAATTGCTAAGATTGAGAAACTCTGCTCCAGATAACGGTATCTAATATTCAGCTTTCATGTAAAGTGAGGCGATGCAGTCTTCTAATACTAGTGGGTGTATCAAACATATCCATCAGCAATTTGACCTCAGTTCCCATTGTCCACAAACAGTGCAATGAAGTGCCATGCTAGGTCACACTGACAGAAGTTGTAGATCAAGATACTCAGAGACTGCTAGCATAAGGAAACCTGTTCTGGCCTTTAGAGCAGGATTGTGAGAAGAATTTGAGGATTATAAACTTCTCCTTGCTTCTCACAGACAAGATTTTTGACTCCAGGCATAGCCCCCAACCAATAATAATATAGCAATGTTGCTAAGGAGTCCTTTGTCCCTTATGAAAGGGATTCCATGAGTATACAAATATACATATGAGCTTATTCTGTGCAATTTGTTTTGTGCTCTATTTGTTTATTGTAATATACACAAACTGCATTGGGTAAAAAGGCTGACCTTATTCAGACTGACAGGCTATCTGATCTATTTGGAACGCTGACAAGCAGGCATGCTGGTAATCACAACCCTTGTTTGCATTTGTCTCAGCATCTATTAACTCATGATTGATTTATTTACACAGAAATCTTACCTTTCTTCCAAAGAATGCAGGCTAGCAGTCTTACAATACATTAGGCTGAGATTTACTAAATAAACTGCAATCAGCTGGGTTCATCCAATGGTCAAGTGGTTAAGGTGCCGGCCTAGATACCAGGAGACTCTGAGTTCTAGTCCCGCCTTATTCATGAAAGATAGCTGGATGACTTTGGGCCAGTCCCTCTCTCTCATCCCAATCCACCTCACACAAACAATTATCTTACATGCTCATGTTTCAATAAAAGAGAATATTTGTAGCTTGGGGTCGAAATATAGAGTCCTTGGTACTCTCTGAGTGTGCTTGTTTTCTTGTCAGCATCTCATTACCATAACATTATCAGTGCTATGGGGTATGGAGTATAGGGTTTGCTCCCTGTTTATATACAGTCGTTTGCCCTGCTGATATGTCCAGCTGATTTGGCTGATTTTCTGTTTGGTAGGTCCTTCGTTGTGGTATTTTTTTCTGCTTGACTTTTGTCTGGTGCTAATCCCTACTTATCTAGGTGTTGGTTGCCTGAAGAAGATGTGTTCTGGTTAATGTGTTGTGTTCTGTGTAGTATTTTCCCAATTGTGCTGGCTCTAGACATTTTGAACCATAGTCCTACCATATCATAGTATATTTGAAGCATAACAACTAGATTAGGTAATAGCTTTGTACCATATAGTATCAACCTTATAAATTCTCAAGACTCTTTTAGCGTTGTAACCTCCTGAGTTCTGTTAGGGAAGGGAGGTGCAGCAGCTGGTGATGTCATGGTTTGGCTTCTGTGTTGTTCTGGACCCAGAACAACATAGCACGCCACCACCATTCACCATTCACCATTCACCCTCACCAGACCCAAACCCAAGCCCAAACCCATCCCTCAGACGAAATGCAACCACCATCCAGAAGCCGAACCACGACATCACAGGCTGCTGCACCTCCCTCCGACCCCCACACAAAGCAAATGGACACACACCATGAACACAGAGCTAGACCGCAAACTCGGAGCCAAATCAAAGCCCGGTATGTTACATCACAGCCTTCTGCTCCGGACATCACATCACAGAACTCAGGAGGTTACAACACTAAAGCTCAGGATGTTACAACACAGCCTACCACCCAGGATGTTGCAACACAGAACTCAGGATATCGCTATACTAGATCTCAGGATGTCACCACACAACCCATTACCCAGGTTGTTACAACACAAAAGACTAATGGGCACACAGCCAGCACCTCAACTACTCAGGATGTTACGAAACAACCCAACAATCTGCAAACAATAACTCCAACACAGCCAACCAACCCACCTACAGCAACTAAGCCAGCACTCCACACACCCCCACCAATATTTATAGAGAGACGGCAGCTCCGATCACACTTTGCTCGCACAAGCACGAAGCCGAAGACCTCAGTCTGAAGATGACAAGTGGGACCTCGTCGAAACGTCACCAAGATACTCTCAATCTTACACGGGCAAAGACCCGAATACGCCAAGACCTGCATATGTGTGTGTGTGTGTGTGTGTGTGTGTATGTGTGTGTGTGTGTATGTGTATGTGTATGTGTGTGTGTATGTATCTGTATATGTATGTATGCATACATGTATATCTTGATGTTATTTTTGTCATTTTGTATAATTTGGCATTTCTTTGATGCTGCGGTTAATATATTGTTGTTGTTGTTGTTGTTGTCCTTGGGATGGTGACATTGTTTGGTGAGTGTTTATCTTATTTTTGAGAGTGGTGCATCAGAATTTCTGTATACTGTTTGCCATTGAAAATGACAATAAAGGTTATTCAATTCAATCCAATTCAGTCTGGCAGGCCTTGGATGGGAAAAGCTCTTTGATTTTTTTTCTCCCTCTTCCTTTCTAGGGATCTCTGCAGTATAACTGCTTCCCAGTAGCTCTCAGCGGGGAGCTGAATCTTACAGTTTTCATGCAGCCTCGCTATCATTCTGCAGGTGTGTTACAAGCAACGCAACATGGACCAGGTGAGTTCTTCAGAAATCAGTAATGAAACAACCTTTGATAAGATCAGCCTGAAACTCTCCACCCATTGGATATCTCTGCTGTGTTCTTTTCACAGACTGTACCTGGCCCAAAGCCACAGAGGCCATTCGCCTGTGTCAAGGTATGTTGCAATGCACTGACCTCCTCATCAATACTTTTCCCTCAGTGTAGATATCAGCAGGGATCTAAGCAAAGCCTGGAATTCCTTTTTGTAGCATAAAAGAACGGTAATTCTTGGATCCAACCCAATAGCCTGAACATCCAGTTGCAAACAATGATTGGAAACTGACCAAAGAGAGAAGCAACCTGGAATTAAGGAGAAACTTCCTAACGGTGAGGACAATTAACCAGTGGAACAGCTTGCCTCCAGAAATCGTGGGTGCTCCATCACTGGAGGTTTTTAAGAAGAGGCTAGACAGTCATTTGTCTGAAATGGTATAGGTTCTCCTGCTTGAGCAGAGGGCTGGATTAGAAGACTTCCGAGGACCCTTCCATATTCTATTCTATTCTATTCTATTCTATTCTATTCTATTCTATTCTATTCTATTCACCATTTAAACCATAAGCCATAACTTACAAGCTAGAATGGCTGTATCGATACAGCACATTTAGATGTGACCGTTCAAACTTACAACGGCACTGGAAAAAGTGACTTATGATAATTTTTCACACTTCTGACCATTTCAGTATCCCCACAGCCACGTGATCAAAATTTGGATGCTTAGCAATTGAGTCATTTTTATGACGGGTGCAGTATCCCGGGGTCATGTGATAAGATTTTGTGACCTTCTGACAAGATTCGCTTAACAACCGTGTTACTAACTTAACAACTGAAGCGATTCACTTAACGAGTGTGGCAGGAAAGGTTGTAAAACGGGGCAAAATTAACTTAACAAATGTCTTGCTTAGCAACAGAAAATTTGGGGTCAATTGAGACTGTAAATTGAGGACTACCTGTATTTTGATAAATAACTCAAGGCAGCGAACATACCTAATTGTCTTCCCTCCTCCTATTTTCCACACAACTACGGCCTTGTGAGGTGAATTGGGCTGAGAGAGTGAATGACTAGCTCAAGGTTACCCAGCTAGCTAGGTATTTTTTTATATAATTTTGCCTTTCTTGATTCAAACCTAATGAGATTAGTCAATCTTATCATATTGGGCCATTTACTTTTTTAAAACAACAACAACATATTCTTATTTCGTTTGTGGGTCCTGTCTTGGAGACAGTTCATACTGATGGCTCTTGCCTCATTCTCAAAAGACTTTAGATGGTGTTTTTTTTCTAAAAAAAAAAAAAAAAGGTGCCGGAACTCACACACGTCATACAACCCGCCTTGCCTACCCTACAAGGTTGCATTCAAAAAAGGTGCCAGAACTCCGTTCTGGGCATTCTATGAGGAAAAAAGCCCTGACTTTAGAGACGATATAGTTGATTGCATAAAAGAAAAAGGAATGATTGAAATGGAAAAAAAGATAAGAGAGGAACAGGCAGCCATCTTGGAAGAGTAGATGCTTTTTGAGTTCCCAGGAAACAGAAGTCCCCACTTAGATCAAACAGCTCTGGACGTCTGATTGAGCACTCAGTGCTAATGACAAATTTTGTCTTACAGTGCCACATTTAGACATTTCTGTGGGACTACAGTCGGCAATTCTACATGTGCAAAACATCCCTAAAGGACAGCACTTCAAACTGTGGCCGTATCTGAATCGGACAGACGGATTTAAAGGTCTTGATCAGGAGACTCCCAAGTTGCTAGTAAGTGAAGGTTTTCCCCAATATTGATCAAGCCTCGTACTTCAGGGTAGTCCTTGCTTAACAACAGCAATTGGAACCAGAATATCTGTCGCTAAGTGATGCGGTCATAATGCGATGTCCCATGACTTCATCACTTAGCAACAGCAATCCTGGCACTCCCGTTGCCACTGTTAAGTAAGGATCACAGACCTATAAGCGAGTACCAGGAGAGTCGCAAACAGACTGGCAGGCAGGTAAGGCAGGCTGCTTCTGGTGGGAGAAGGTGCACAACTGGTTGATGAGACACTGTGCAAATGCAATGGGTTCAGGAGTGATTGGTGCTGGGTAGGGGAGAGTGTCAGACCTGCCCTAACTTAGACATTTATGAAAGAAAGATGCTCGACTCCATTTGGTTGAAGTGATAGGTTCTTTTACTAAAGTTAAGTGGTTGCAGCGAAAGTAAAGCTAGATCTGAGTATTCCAGTGCAAAGGTTACCCTTTTCCCCTTTCCTTGGCCCTCCCCCCTTGACCGGTCCATGAGTGCCCAATAGTATGGCAGGTTGAAGTTTTGGGAACTGCTTTGATGTTAGGTGCCTCTCAATGTAGTTTCGCCTTCTGTTCCCAGGCTGTGTATCTTTAGTGGCTGGCTTATTCCAGTTTGGCACCTCTAGTTCTTGTCAGCTTGTCTCCCCTCCCCCGGTTTATCTTCCCATTCCCATGCCTGAACTTTACTTCCCCAAATTCCTTCTTCTCTCTCCCGCCGTTTTATGGCAGGATGCCAGCAAAGTGAAGAAGCTGAAGATGACCGATCTGACTATTGGAGCAACTTGCAACCTTCTCTTCTGGCTTCCCCATTGACTTGGCTTGCAGGAAGCTGGCAGGGAAGGTTGGAAATGCTGATCATGAAGCATCGCCAATTGTCATAGGTGTGAACTGGTTGTCAAGCACCCAGATTGCGATCACATGGCTGCAGAGATACTGTGATCGCTGGAAGTCAAAAGTACCCCTTGTTCAGTGCCCGGAATTATGGGATGTAGGATGGGTGGCCATATACGGCTTTGAAATAAATAAAATATGATTTTGGTCAAAATGGATGGCATATCAAGTTAATAAATCAATAAAATGAAAACAAATTAGGAATCCTACTATCCTGAAAACATCTGTGAAGTAATGGATTCTGATTTCTTCACATTTTTCTCCCCCTAACCTAGGGGGTCTTCAAACTTGGCAACTTTAAGACTTGTGGACTTCAACTCCCAGAATTCCTCAGCCAGCCGGCTGAGGAATTCTGGGAGTTGAAGTCCACAAGTCTTAAAGTTGCCAAGTTTGAAGACTCCTGCCCTAACCTATTGTTCTATTTTAGACTGGATCGGAGAATGTCAGCTTGCCAATCTCGCAGGTGTTCCCTTGTCTCTGCTTTCAGGTAAGAACAATCCTTCACAAGATCTTTTCTCTCCCATGCTTCTTTAGGCTCCCTACAACTATAGAGCAGGTAACAGAGTACAAGGTTAAGGCAGAGCTACAGTTAGAATATTTTAGCTCATTTTCTCAGCTGCAACATTTCTGGGAATTGCTTCTAGAGATGGAAAGATTCAGTTCCTGTAGAGGGTTGGTCTCTTAGGCAGAAATGCAGGGCCTTGGAGAGGTGCCAAAGGACTCACCCAGGAGGAGCAGGAAATTCTCAGAATTCCTGAAGAATGCTTCCAAGATGGGAATTGTAATTTTTTTTACCTCTAACCAGCAGCTAAAACAGAAACCAGAAGCTCCTGGATTATTCTAAATTAGGGAGAGAGAGAAGCTGCAGTCTCCAGATGGAATCGGGCCTGGAAGGACACCATTTGTGGCTCTTCCTGACCACTCCAGGATTCACTGTAGTGTAAATCCTCCAATGAAATTGTGAACCTGCCACAGATATAGTTTTTTAAAAACCAAGCCTATCTTTACCCAAAATAGTCCCATCATTATCTTAGCACCATTGTCTCACCCATACGAGCCCCAGGCTGTTAAAAATTTAGTGCAAACCCTCATCCTCAAAAAAACATTGTCTATACCTATTCTAATAGTTGACACTTGATTTTCTCAAAGAGCAAGGACTGATTTCTTAGTTATTTATAACAAATGAGATTTGGCAGATGGCAACACCTGGTCAACCTGATCTGGAGATCAGAAACAAAGCCGCATCAAGTCTAGTTCAGATGGGAATTTAGGAAGTCTTTCCGTGGTGGTAGACTTGTCTGGGGCATTAAAGAAGCATCCCAGGCCATGACATTCATACTGTGGCCAAAAAGCACTGTACGGTTATGCCGGTGAGAACACCAAGAGCTGAGCTTGACCGGAATTTTTTTTGTCTGAACCAAATAGGAGGGTAGGTTCAGATGGCCCCTATACTGTGCCTGACACCATCTGCTGAGCTATTTCATCTATGCAGCAATTCTCAGGTTAATAATAACAACAACAACAACAACAACAATAATAAAGTTGGAAGGGACCTTGGAGGTCATCTAGTCCAAACCCCTGCTCCTTTCTATGTCAGACTTCATCTCTTGGGCTTAGTGTGCAATTAAAATGGCAGTTATAGCAATTAGCAATATGCACTGATTATGCATAGGGTTGTACAGCATTGTTCATTGCCAGATAGGTCTTTGAGAAAAGTGACATCAAATGCCCTGTGTGACAACCGGAACATTGCAATCCTTAACCAGCTGTTAATGCATGGAGGATGGGAGGGCAGGGTAGGCCCCTCCCGCCCAGGAGCATCCACAGAGGGGTTCAATGAAGTCAAGATGGCGGCTGTAACTATGCCACTGAGATCCTGGGCATACCTATACAGTCTTGTGAAAGTCAGATGTATGAATAAACCAAATCAAATAGGTTCATAGATTCACACGAGTGTCCCTACACTGGATTTGGTCATGCTGGCTTAAAAATGAAACCACAAGCTAGAGTTGATTCTGAACAACTGCTACAGCTGTGGATCCAAGGGGCTTTGCTTCTCTTGAGAAGGAGTCATCCAATTTCAGTATTCTTCCCAGAAATTGATATTGCAGCAGTTTAAAAATCGGATGGATGGATGGATGGATGGATGGATGGATGGATGGATGGATGGATGGATGGATGGGGAAGGCTCTTGGGGGCCATCTCTCTGTCCCCTTATTCTCTTGAATATTGTGTTTATAGGTCTGGCCCAAGATTGAAGACCAAGCTGACACACCTCGAACTCATTTCTGTCCCTTTGCAAATGGTATGAAAATGGCATTCATTCAGTTTTTGAGTTTTTAAGGCAGATAACTATTGGCTAAAAGAAATGTAAACATATCCATATTTGGGGGGGGCGGTTTCCCGGGAAGATGGCATTGCTTTGATAGATGTGCAACCTCTCATTTCAGACCCAGCTGCTTTGGTCAGGGCCTGGGCCCACAGCCGCTTGGAAGTCCACACTTCCAGTGGAAGTTTGAGCTGCTTGGTTTCTGCCCCGTGTGACCTTCAAGGAGAGCTGGTTCCCTGCTGGCAGATGGAAGAGCTCGCCTGCCACCCTTTGCATCCCCATCTGCGTCTGGCCCTCCTTCCACATGTGAGTAGAGAAAGCAAAAAGAGGGAGGAGGAAGAGAAATGTCAATCGGAAGATGAAGAAGCAGCAGCTGAGAATTAGAAAAATGATAAGGTCTCATGTCAGTGTGCAGACGCTGCCAGGTTGAAGGGATTCTGCTAAAAATTCCCACTAGGAATTACATAATATAAACCTGGTTGCTGCAACCTTTTCTCTTTTCCTTCCCCAATTCCTCTCTTTTTTTTTCTCTTGGCTCTTTCATTCTTCCTCCCACTTTTACGCTAAGCAGCAGTTCCTTCCTTCCTTCCTTCCTTCCTTCCTTCCTTCCTTCCTTCCTTCCTTCCTTCCTTCCTTCCTTCCTTCCTTCCTTCCTTCCTCTTTTAGGAGTCTGAGGGCTGAGAAATGATGCATCTGACATCTTCATTTCTCCAGAAGAACTCTAAGAGATGGAAGAGGTGGTCAAAAAGCTCATAGGTGTAAAAAGGCGTCATTTCTAAGAGTTTGTGCCCTTAAAAATTTTTGGTGCACACATATACACCCCCTCCAAAATACGCTTTGTGATGAAAATAATGAGAGTATCGGTAGTTGTGTTTAAATGGTTAAATATATGGGAGCGTTGTTGTTGTAATTATTATTATTAGATTTTTATCCCACTTTTTAAGATACCTTTTTGTCAGTTCAATCCAGTGAACTTACTTAATACTTCTGCCTCCTAGTTTTCCCCACAACAACAACCATGTGGGGTAGGTTGAACTTAGAGAGAATCCAAAGTCTTCCAGTTGGCTTTCTGTCCAAGTCAGGACTAAAATTCAGTTTCCTGGTTTCTAGGCCTCGCCTGAATCACTACACCATACTGGCTCTATTCCAAATATATTTCATCAATTCAATTTCATTAATGAGATTTAATTTCAGTATTCCAACTGTATTTCATTAATTCAATATAGACCAGGGGTCTTCAAACTTGGCCCTTTTATGATTTGTGGTCTTCAATTCCCAGAATTCCTCAGCCAGGCATGCTGGCTGAGGAATTCTGGACGTTGAAGTTTGAAGACCCCTGAGGTAGACTTTTATTGGTGGCATTTTGTTGCTGTTGCTGTTGTTCTTGTCCTATACACTTCTTTGTCCTAGCCTTGCCTCCTTTCGAAATTCACCTCTCTGTTGCTCGGCCTCCTCACACATTCATTCATTCATTCATTCATCAGACTGGGCTGAGGGACATACTTATCCTTTGACACTGTGCACTCATGTCTTAGGATAAGCAACCTTTGGGATTGGAAGCTCGGTATGCCTGAAGGATTTGCTAAAGGGCTGGAGGATTGTAAGCATTTCATTGGAGACTTTTAGGTGTAGCCCCTTTCAGTCAGGGGAGGGTTGTGTTTTGCACATGAGCCAAGGGGGCAGCCATACAGGATGCACACATGATTTAGGCTTCCAGGCCTTTCTGCAGTAGGTTGCTTGTAACCGAACTGATTTTCCCAATGTTCATAGGAACCACAGGAATTCCCAAGACTGCGATCTCATCCCAACCTCTGTGTGCAGGTAGGAACAGAAAAATGGAGAAAAAAATGGGCAGCCTTACTTTCAGTTTCCAAGGATTCTCCATGGGGTGCATTATTTTAGCAGACATCAAAAGTCAAAAAGAGGATCTCTCATTGCTCTGAAACGGAGCTTGGACTGATTTGAAGGGGGAAAAAAGGCTGGACATCTTCAGTGACTTTTTGCTTCTTGGAGCTACTAGAGCATATGGCTGGATCTATCTCTTAATCTAGACCACAGTTTTCAACTTTGGCAATTTAGAGATGCCAGGAGGACTGGGGAATTCTGGGAGTTGAAGTGCACATATTTTAAAGTTGCCAAGGATGAAAAACCCTGGTCTAGATATATAAGGCGTGTAAGGTGCTACATTGACTACATTTCCCAGAACTGAAGACTGCTGTATGTAGCACATAGACACTGAGCTTTTTAGTTGGCACTATTAGTCATTATTAAATGAAAAAGCTTCCTATATAACAGAATAACAGAGTTGGAAGGACCTTAAAGTTCTTCTAGTCCAGGGGTAGGCAACCTTGGCTCTTTTATGACTTGTGGACTTCAACTCCCAGAATTCCTGAGCCAGCATGGCTCAGCTTGGAAACCTCTCCCTTTCCTCTCAGCATGGCGGACTCAGGAATTCTGGGAGTTGAAGTCCACGAGTTATAAAAGAGCAAAAATTGCCTAACCCTGCCCTATACCATTCTGGACAAATGGCTGTCCAATTTCTTCTTAAAAACCTTCAGTGTTAGAGCACCCACAACTTCTAGAGGCAAGTTGCTCCACTGATTGTTTTAAAAGTCTGGACATTCCTCCTTAGTTCTAGGTTGCTTTTCTCTTTGATGAGTTTCCATCCATTGCTTCTTGTCCTGCCTTCAGATGCTTCTTTGTGGCAGCCCCTGAGATACTGGAACACTGCTATCAGATCACCCCTGGTCCTTCTTTTCATTAAATAAGTAATCATGATTAGATAGTTGGGTACTGCTTCAGTGGGCACATTAATGGGACATGAAAAGAGTCCCCTGTGCATCAGTGATGTCACTGGTTAATCCTTTCAACACGGAAGCACTTCAATGCTTCCAACAAAAACTTGAACGTTATCATGATAATCTCCCCATATTCCAGCAATCCAAGTTTTCCCTCTTTGTATAGGTAAGAAGGAATGGAAGTACCTACCTCCAAACCTGCCTGCAGGATGGTAAGTGCTGATGCAGATGCATGCCTAACTGTTCCCACAATTAGCAGTTCTGTTTATTCTGCAACATTTATTTCAGCTCCAAAAACGGTTCCAGGAAGCTCTCTTTAGGTGGGGAATGGCCGAAAGCCCACAATGCAATTGTAGTGCAGCAGAACAAGCGATAACACATATAGTTCAAAAATGTCCCCTCAGAAAATTTCAAGGCACCTGACGTGATCTCATCTCAGCCATGCCAGAAGCAGTTAGAGTAGGGGTCATCAAACTTGGCCCTTTTATGACTCATGGACTTCAACTCCCAGAATTCCTCAGCCAGTGTGCCTGGCTGAGGAATTCTGGGAATTGAAGTCCATGAGTCATAAAAGGGCCGAGTTTGAAGACCCCTGAGTTAGAGGGTTAGATTCCTCAGATATCAAATTATTACATCTATCCCATTGCAACTCTATGGCACCATGTTATGTTGATTATGGTTTTATCTTAATTTAATATTTTATCTCATATATTGTATTGTCCACATACATTTTATTATATATATATATATGTATGTATGTATGTATGTATGTATGTATGTATGTATGTATATATGTATGTATGTATATATATAGGTCTTTGGTTATTCGGGTTTTCTCCCATGTAAAATTGGAAGTGTCTTGGCAACATTTCGACGAAGTCTCATTCATCATCTTCAGGCTGGTGCTTTCGGCTTCGTGCTCCTAGAAGCACGAAGCCGAAAGCACTAGCCTGAAGATGACGAATGAGACTTCGTCGAAACGTCGCCAAGACACTTCCAATTTTACGTGGGAGAAAACCTCAATAACCAAAGACCTACATACAAACACCCGCGAAAACCTCAGAAAACATATATATATACTCTCTGTGTGTGTATGCATACGTATGTATGTATGTATGTATGCTAATGCTTTATTTAAACATATTTATATATCAGTGGTTGCATGACTTTTCTAGATGCTATATATTAAATAAATAAATTAGTTGTTCCAGGACCATCACATGAAATTCAGTCATGAGACTAATTTCAGAGATTAAATCATCTGAAAAATATGGTGGAAAATGAAATGGATGGAGTGGCGGGGGGGGGGGGAGAGAGACAGAGAAAGCAGACTCACACTGGCTTTGGGGTCCTGCCTGTAGTCAGGATGAGTCTTTACCCTTGGCCAAGATTCTGATTTGGACACCACTCTTTGCCCATTTCTGCTGTTCCTTTCTCTTTGGCAGTCGATTTGCCCCATGCAAAGAGCCCAATGGAGATCGAGAACAATAGGAAGCAAGTTTCCCACAGCCATTTAAAGGGGCCTCTGCCTACTGTCTGCTCTTCGAAGGGCATTGACACCATAGCTCCCTCCCCTCGTTTTATGCGCAAAGGCAGCATTTTCCTGGCATGATGGAAAGGGTGGAGGGGTTGCAACAAACAGCAACGATTCCAAGGCCATTTTTGTATAACGCATGAACTCATCGCATGAGACATTCGCAATCAAGCAGTGTTTTGATTTCAAAAAGGAGAGGGGGCTGCGATGCAAAGCTTTCTCAGAATCTGGCTGTCCTGCTTCTTGGTTCCAAAGATGCTTAGAAAAAAAAATAGACCCTCAACAATACTGTCTGCTTTAAAATACTCTCTGGGTGCAAGAACCGAATGTTAAATTCATGAGATCTCTGGCTGAGATTAATCTTTTTTTGTTGTTGTTGCTTTGCTTTTCTCCTAGATGTCACAGGAGGTCAGCGATACTTACTGTTTCGGGAGACTCAGGATTCTCAGGGGAATTCCTTAGTGCAAATTATGGAGCAAGGCACCTGGGTGTCCACTGCTCAGATCTGCAACACAGTAAGGCCTTTCTCCAGCCTTTATCCTCCTCCTTCTGTGAGTCTGACCCTTATTGCATTGGGCAATCCAGCTCTCCTTTCATTTTTTTCCCCTCTTTCCTTCTTAACAGAGAAGCAGAAGGTTGGAGGAAGACCTGAAGAAAAGTATGGAGTTAGGAAAGTGCATGCAGGTGAGTACCAAAACAAGAACTGGAAGCCAAGGGAATGGAATGCTATGACCCAGAAAGAGGAAATGAACAGGAAAAGGGACATACTTGCTTTTATATAATGCAGGGGTCCTCAAACCTGGCCACTTTAAGACTTGTGGACTTCAACTCCCAGAATTCCCCAGCCAGCATGGCTGGCTGGGGAATTCTGAGAGTTGAAGTCCACAAGTCTTAAAGTGGCCAAGTTTGAGGACCCCTGATACAATGCATTCCAATAAAATCCTTGGTGGATGAATAGAGCTCTCCAGATGGACTCTCCATCAAAACAGAAGGCATACAACACATTGGCACTCATGTTCAGTCATTTGGTGAAGTGGCAGCTCTAGTGATGTGCCTGACCACTGAAAAGGATGTTAGGAAGAATATCTCAAGGAACAGCAGCTGAGATATTTCACCTGCCTATTTTTTTTATACTGGTGGACACTATGAGGTGCAAATCAGCTCAGACATCTCTGTCTGGACATCAATGATTAAACCAAGACTTTTATAAGAGAAGCTGAGCCTGCTGCCAAATATTGCTGCTCTAATCTGTCCATGTTGACTTGCGATGGTGGTCCTCCTATAGAGAAGTCTCTTTAAACCAAGAGTAGGGACTCTTTTGCTGGGCTGACTAGGACTTCCTTCATGGTAGAGTCCACTCTTCCCCTTTCCCTCATTCTTTTTCTGTCCCTCTTCCTGCCATCTTTACATATTGCATGCATTAAACTAAGGGAAGTGTAAGAGGTTTGAAATAACTATGTTGATTGTCCTAAGAACACCACAGCCAATGTGAAGAAAAGCTGTATCAGGTATACCTACAAAGTCTCCTGTTTTCCTGTCTTGTTTTGGGAATGCTTGAAGATTTATTTCAAATATTTCTTGTCCATGTTTTTGAGATGTTATTATTATACTGGAAGGAGTAGAACAGGCTAGTGCTGGCATTGTCTTCTGGATCACATCCTTTGTGGCGGTCCCCACTTCCAACTCTGAAAAAGGCCAATGGAAAAGAGTTTTCTTAGGGTTTGAATGGAAGCTTGTGAAATCATAAAAGCTCATGCAATCAAAGACAGGACCTTCAGATATACTTTAGCCATTTCCTAATGAAATGAAAGCAAAATCCAATCCCTAAAATTCAACTAATTTCCTTAAAACTTACAAATATAATATATCCCTTTTTCGAAGTATCAGTCTGTTCTACACCACATCCAAGATCTCATATTGTAATTGTGGAGATGCTGGGAAAGGAATGGGAGAATTAGGAATGAATGAATGAGCTGATGGGTTATGTAAGGGATTTCAAAACGTGGCAACTTTAAGACGCGTGGACTTTAACTCCCAGAATTCCTCAGCCAGCCATGCCGGCTAGGGGATTCTGGGAGTTGAAGTCCACATGTCTTAAAGTTACCAAATTTAGAGACCTCTGGCTTACGTTGTAAATAGCTACTCAGCCCAGCCAGGGAGATATTTGGAAATCTCTTGAAGTATTCCAGGAGCCGCACTATAAATGAAGATTCTTTTGGTAACTTGAACAGTGTTCTTGATGATGTGGTTCTGGCTAATGAAACATTCCAAAGAACTTCCAGGCATTTATTTTCCTAAAAGTCTTTTAATGTTACAAAATGTTGGCACAGGCACAACGGAGGGATGCTAGGATCTAAGTTTTCTTCCTCCGAGCAGTTAAATTATCAGCGTGTTCCCTCCCTAAATTAGCCGTCATATCTCACACTATCCAATTAGTGTGAAGGTCAAATGTTTTCTTCCTCTTTCTTTCCCGGGCTTTACCCCCAACGCCCCTTCTGCTCTTTATTAATCCCATATTTAACAGACAATTCTGCATATTGTCAAAAGCAAGAATATACAATATTTGCAGCGTTGACACTTGTATCTTCCAAGATTCTGTATTTAGTCCCAATAAATGTTAAAGGGACTTCACCTCAATCTAGGTAATTCTTGCTTTTTTGGTAATGTCTTTGTCTTATGTGATATTTGACAGGTGAATATTATTACTAGACAGTTCTTTATTGCTTTCCACAGGTGTGGCAAGAAGAAGGGACCAATGCTACTATACTCTGGGCATGTTCAGTGGAGCACTGTGAGTGTCTTGTGTTTGAAGACTAGGAATACTACTTAGAAACCCACCACATCAAAAAGCTAGAGTAGCAGTTACATAGAAAATGATTGGATTGCTTGTGTGGAACAGCCCAGGGAAGGGAAACAATGTGTGAAAATCACTCAACTTATATAGACTCTACTAGGGGTGCAATTTAATTCATAAGCATGTTATAAAAATGATTTTTTTCTCTAGTCATGCTTTCAAGCAATCTTTTCCAATCTGGTTTCGTGGAGATTGAGTGGGACTATAGCTTTCTACATCCCTGGCCAACATATCCAGATCTGAAATTCACCAGGTTAAAGAAATCTGCCTTTTATTTATTTATTTCAAAGATTTATATGGCTGCTCATCTTATACAGTATAGCTCAGGGTGACTAACAACAGCAGCATAGAAGACTAAAATACAAAAGCCATCGCATATAACTAAGGTATATATATTCCTGACCATTGCCTGGGGAAAGAGATCAATCTCCACTGCTTTCCGTAAAGTTAGGAGGGTGGAGGTCCTCTGGATCTTGTGGGGAAGCTGTTCCCTAAAGCAGATCTGCTATGGAGAAGGCCAATATCCTAGGTTCTGTCAAATAACATTGTTTAATGGAGAAGACCTGGAATTCAATCACCCTATCTGATTTGGTGGGACAATCAGATACCTTTGGAGAGAGGTGGTATCTCAAATAACCTAGCCCTGTGGTGGCGAACCTATGGCACGGGTGCCACAGGTGGCACACAGAGCCCTTTCTGTGGGCACATGTGCCATTGCCCCAGTCCTAGGCCTTCCGCGGGGTTTTATAATACCTTTTCGTTTTAGGCCTCTGCCGCCGTGTGCAAAAAAAAAAGGTTCAATCAATCAATTTCAACATCTCATAGGAAAAAAAAAGATGTCGCAAAGTTGGAATTGATAGTCCCACCCAGTCTGCCGTTACCACTGCAGCCACGCCCATTCAATAGGCCACACCCACCCAATGGGCCCCACCCATCTGGCACTCAACAATACACAAGTGTGTTTTGGGTTGCAGTTTGGGCACTCGGTCTCTAAAAGGTTCGCCATCACTAACCTAGCCCCATGCCATGCAGGGCTTTAAAAGTGAAAACCAGCACCTTGAATTGCATCTAGAAGGAAACAGGGAGCCAATAGTGGTGTAACATGGGCATCTAAAATTGCATGTACAAAGTATCCAAAACTGCATTGTGGACCAGTTGAAACTTCTGGGTGACCTTTAAGAACAGCCCCTCGTAGAGTGCATTGCAGTAGTCCAGTCAGGAAGTGACTAAGACAACAGTGACTGTGAGCTGGGCCTCCTGATCCAGGAATGGGCCCATATGACACACAAAATAAATTTATGCAAAAGCCACAGCTGCCCCCTTCTCCTCCAACAGGAGCTGCAAATCTAGAAAGACTCCCAAAATTGTGTATTAACTGTGTTTGGGGAAATGAGGCCCTGTCAAGAGTTAAAGATGGCAACTCTCCAAGTCCAGGGCACCCAAAGAAGTCTACCTTAAAGTGAAGCCAGGGCTATCTACCCAAGACTTGGCCTTCAGCCTTAGCCAATGGCAGGGTCTGTGGCCGGTTAGGAACTGGGCTGCACAGCTGGGGATGAGCAGTGGGCGAGTGAGCAAAATGGAAACCATCACCTCCACCCCTGGTCTGTGGAAAAATTGTCTTCTATGAAACCAGTCCCTGGTGCCAAAAAGCTTGGGGATTGCTGGCCAATGGGAAAATGACAAGAAGGGAAGGGGATGGGCCATGCAAATTGGTCTAGGACCAATTTCGTCTATAGTACTGAATTTCTTCCCTCTGTACTTTGATGCAGATCGCAGGACGTACTGGGTGCTGATCTGGTTGGTTACTCTCCTAGGTAGCTGCTCTGTTCTGCTCATTGTCCTGTTCAAGAAAGAATTGGTAAAAGGTATCCTTATTTTTCAAACAACAAATCTAGTCCAATGCTGCCATACTCAATAAGTATTGCCTCAGCTGCTTATTCCCTTGCACTTTTCTTGACTCCCTTCATCCTAATCTTGGCCTCCTGTCCGCTAACAATCCTGCCACATCTCTAATGCATTTGCCTTCCTTACCGTAGGACTTTTCATTGTACTGTATTTCTGCGGATGTTTTTCTGTTTTGCACTGCTCAAGCAATTGCACTGACTGCTATTTGGCAATCAAGCTAAGTTCATAGATTTGCTTTGGTTCAAAGATCATGGAAAACTGGCAATATGGCAGTCTTGCCATTAATATCAAGCTCAGTGTGACTTTCTCAGGGGTCTGTGAAACTAAAATTATTTGCCAGCCTATCTTGAAAAATAACACTACTAAAATCCCATCAAACAATTCAGAGAGAGAGAGAGAGAGAGAGAGAGAGGGAGGGAGGGAGGGAGGGAGGGAGAGAGAGAGAGAGAGAGAGAGAGAGAGAGAGAGTTTGGTATAGCAGTTAAGGCATTAGGCTAGAAACCAGGAGATGGTGAGTTCTAGTCTCACCTTAGCCACAAAGACAGCTGGGTGATCTTGGGCCAGTCCCTCTCTCTCAATCCTAGGAAGAAGGCCACAAGGACAAACCACTTCTGAAATCTTGATGAGAAAACTATAGGATATATATATATATATATATAGCATCCGCCAGGAGTCAACAATGACTTGAAGGAATAAAAAAAATGTGCTTTATGGATTCTGATATTTTGATTAGATATGTAATAGTCTCCATCTCACTCGTTTATTCCAGCAACATCTCTTTCTCCCACATGTTCTTTCTCCTTGGTTTTCCCCCAGGTGATCTGCTTCCTTTCATATCACCCATCTACCTTTCCCCCCAAAGAATCTTAAGGCAGAAGAGGAAGAACAAGAGAATCATCTTTTTTCTGGTGGACCTTTTCCTTCTTCCAGAAGCCAGATTCCCCACAAAATCTAATCTCACCAGACCAAAGCCTTTGTTCTCTTTAGTCTTTAATTTCTGCTCTGAATGGAATTCAGACTCCATTGCTATTTAATTATTCTTTCATCCTCACTCAACACATTCAAGTTTAAGTTTAAGTTCAGTACGATGGAGGAGCTGCGGATCATCTCCCATCTGTGTATTTGCATTTGAAGTCATGATGGCTTTTCCTAGCTGTTTAACTCAGACATTTGGGATATGAATATTTGTTATCTGATTGAATCAGAAGAAGGAAAGGATCTGCTTTGCCAAGCCTTGCTGGGTGGGGGTTTGTCCATTTTCTACAGAAGTTCTACTTCATTGTTCCAACTTAGAATTCATCCACAGCACATCCCAGATCTGGCAATGAGTAGGCTTCCAGCACCCCATTAATGTTTTTCTCTATTTACAGGCTGGTTCAAAATCCTGAAAGAAGATTACAGTTCCAGAGGTAAAGGCAACAGAGGCTTTTATAGCATTTAGAATATAAACCAGGCAATAGAAATCTCCTATCATCACTCCCTTGAACCTCCAGATTATTCTGTATCTTTTCTGATCCTCAGCCTTTTGTTTCTGTCCTGAATGGGGTTTACTGTGATGGAATGCAGTCTGGATTCCCAGCAAGGAGGGGCTCCATTTCAGAGGAGCAAGAGACAGTGAAGTTTAGATAGTTTGTTTGAGAGGAAGAAGGTCAAGACAGTTCCTTCATAGGAGTTGTTGGAGTATATCTTTAGTGATGCAAGCAGTTTGCTGTAGTTTGGCAAGATTGATGTTGGGATAAAACCCAAGAAGGCTATGTCGAATTACTTCAGAGAAGTTTCCCTTATTGTTCCTTACCTATGGATAGAAGACTTTCCAAACTAAAGTTCCAGGAGATCAGAATAGCAATAACGCTTAAGACTTATATACTGCTCCATAGTGCACACTACAGCACTCTCTGAATGGTTTACAAAGTCGGCATATTGCCCCCAACAAACTGGGTCCCCGTTTTACCAATCTTGGAAGGATGGAAAGCTGAATCAAGCTTGAACAGGTCAGAATTGAACTCCAGGCTGTGAGCAGAGTGTACCTGTGATACTGCCACTGTACTACCATGGCTTCTCCCAGAAATAGGGTGAGAGGAATCCCAGAAATGAGTGAGGGGCAGTGGTAGGATTCAGCCGGTTAGCACCACTTTGGCAGAACCAGTAGCTAAATTTTTGTTGCCCAAGCCCAGAATGGACTTCCAGAAGTGGCATCCACACAGAGAACTGATTGTTCACATGTTTGAATCCCACCACGGGTGAGGGGCAATCTCTGCTGGGTACACATTGTTACCAGCAATTCTCTAGGCCAGCACCTTCATATCTGTAAATGGGAAAATGCCACTTCCAAAGAGTAAATTCCTCTTTGGGATCAGTGCTATGCGCTTGAAAGAGAGTCTGTGTCCTCAGTGGGTGTCATTCTGGTCTCACTTCACTTTTTGCTTCTTCTTGTAGCAGTTTGCAGGCAGGTTTAGGGGAAAAAAACCCCATCCACATGCATTCCTCCAGTAACTACCATTGGAATCTGGTTGGCAAAGGATGTTTGCTAATATGCTGAGCACAGTAAAAGTGGTCCTTGGTGCTCTCTGAGCTGGGTTGTTTTCTTGCAGACGTTTCATTCAGTGTACTGATGATGTTACCTAATTTGTAATGAAACGTCTACAAGAAAACAATCAAGGTCAGACAGCACCAAGGACCCTGCAATTCAACTCTGAGCTACAAATATTCTCTTCTGTTGATACAGTAACAAAAAGAATCCTATCAAATGCCGAGACAATCTTTGTTCTACAACCATTCATTCAGTGACTACTTGAAAGTATGACAGCACTGAATGATGGGGACTTATGACTGGTCCTCAAAGATGTGGCTCTTATAGCATCAATTGATTGCAATTTCTGATGCTCCCTGCTGGCTTCCAACAAGCAAGGTCAGCGGCGAAGCTGGCAGGAAGTTGGAAATCACGGTCATGTGAGGTCCTTGCTTAATGATTTACTGTGATTCACTTAACGACATTTGTAAGTCAACGAGATCACATGATTTTTCTATGTACAATTGTTTGGCTTAGCAGTGGGATTTCTGGTCCTATATATTACTGGTAAGCGAGGACTAGCTGTACTCTCTTTTATTGTAAATTATTGTTTTTTGAGAGGAGGCAGAAGGCATAGGTCAATGATGGCGAACCTTTTAGAGACTGAGTGCCCAAAAACAGCCTCCACCCCTGCTCCGCCCCATGCCGCCTGCTCTGCCCCGCTCCCATCCCACCCCCGCTCCACCCCTATCCCACCCACCCACAGGGCCACTCACTGCCTCCACAGCCCACCGCAGATCACCATGGCGGCCCAGCAGCGCCATGGCCACGCCCTCCACCCGCACCACGCAGCATCAACTGCATGCGGTGGAGCGTGAGGGCGGAGTCTTGTCCCCGCTGCCCGTCTGCTTTGCGCAGACCGCACTCGGGGGTGACTCTCCTCCAAGGGAGCTATTGGTGAGGGGCTGTGGGGGGAGGTGGGGCTGGGGCAATGGCGTGCGTGTGTGCCCACAGAGAGGGCTCTGAGTGCCACCTCTGGCACACGTGCCATAGGTTCGCCACCACTGGCATAGGTGTCTAGCACAACTGTGAGCGAGATGGATACAGCATTCAGTCATCAGCCATCAAAAGCAAGCACTAATTGGCGAGACGAAAGAGTCTTTTGTGCTCAACTTATGAGTAGAAAGAGCAAGTATAGACTAATTGGCTCTTCTCAGATGGGCAGGACTCTCAAGCATATAGATCTCAAAATACACAAAACAGGCCAGTCATTTTCTCTGGGTTGTGGATTCAGAAGGTTTGAGAGGCGAATTGTCTGAAAGACCCCTAACAATTGAATCAATCACAAGTTTTTATCAATATATTATCGGTCATTAAGATCCACTCCAAACTCTTGATGGTTTTGAATGCGAATTTTATGGTTGCCCTTTGGGAAATCAGCAGTAGATTAAGAGAAAGTGCAAAGAGAAAAAGGAGAGTTTGGAAAGTGAGGGGGGGGGGAATTGATCTTCAACATGCAGAATTTGCAGTGAGGACAAAGCATCCAGATATGAGAGAGCCGCTTGAAGGAGCTGGGTTAGAAGGAAATAAGTGAGATCTAGAATAGGAAGATTTATCTTTGTTCATGGAACATCTCAGATCCCTCTCTTTCTCACTGCAGGAACGCTTCAGGGGCGACGTATCCTCCTTCTCTACTCTCCAGATCATGAAGGCTATGAGCGTGTGGTGGGCACCCTGGCAGATGCACTGACTCAGCTGCAACTATCTGTATCTCTGGAGTTGTGGAGCCGTGGGGAGTTGGGGTCCCTGGGACCCATGCAGTGGTTCCATGCACAGCGACGCTTGGTGCTTCAAGAAGGTGGCGTTATTGTGCTGCTCTTTTCCCATGGTGCCGTGACCAGTTGTGCAGAATGGCTGGGCTGGCTACAGAAAGACCCTTGGCTCACCTTCAAAGCAAACGGCGCATTCTCGGCTTCCCTTAACTGTGTCCTGCCTGATTTCCTGGCTGGTGAGGCCAGGGCCACCTATCTTGTTGGCTGCTTCGAGAAGCTCCTTCCAATCGACGAGATCCCTGACCTCTTCCGTTCTGTGCCTGCCTATCCTCTGCCCTCTCAGCTCTTTAGCTTCTTGCTGGCCCTGGCTGGCCCCAAGGTAAGACACAAACAGAAGAACAGCCTCAGGAAATATGCAGAGTGCATCCGCAAGAGCCTGGAACAGGCGGTGCATGAATGCCAGCAAAAGTACCCCAGCTAGTAGAGCCTGTAATTGCTGCCTCCCCAGTTGGAGAGAAAATGCATTCTGTCACCATTCTTGAGGAATAAGGAGTAATAAGGAATAAGGCTTTCAGAAGTAAGTGCACTGACATAAAAATACTGTATTAGTTTTTCCAACAAGTCAGAGTGGCCAGTTTGTTCCTCTAATTTGGAAAGGTATAATGAGGCTGAACCATGGATGGGAACTTGTTTTGCAAAGCGCTTCAAGTGATAGGTACCTATTTATGTGGCTGGTGAAGGTAAAGAGGTTGTCATCGTATTCCTGAATGGTAACCAGCCAATAATATGAAGGGACACCATCAGTAGATCCAGAACAGAGGATCTCCAAAGGTGTGGGCCTCTCACCTTCATATCTTGCTTTGGAGCTGCCTTGAGGCAACTGCATGGCCAGCAAAATGCAATAACGATAAAGAGACGCAGAGCACTTCATGAAATGGATATCGTGCCTTCTGAATTAGCTGCTCAGAGCATCAAGGGAGCCATAGCGAAGTCTGGGCATGGCTTGGTTTTGAGGCAAGTGTCTTCAGGTTGTGCACTTGTATCTCAGAAGGTTAGGAAAACATCTGAGAATGGTGACACTGAATTTTGGGCAGACCCGGCTACCTCAGCAAGTTTGGAAGGATGTTTTTATTGGTTTCCAGAAGGTTCCATCATATGCTTCGCACAGCCTTTATTTAGAAATGAAAAGGACTTTTGACAGGTGCCAAGAGGAACTTTTATCAGGGTAATCACCCTCACATCCTGCTTGCCATACTGTCATAGGCCACTGCTGAGGTGGACTAGAATAATCTTTAGTCATTCCAGTTTAGAAATAATGTTTTCCTCCTTCTCCTGACACAACACTTTCCATGAGGAGAATTTAGGATGTATCGAGAAAAGAGTTTAGAGACGATTAGTCAATGAGAGCAATTTGCTCGGCTTCTGGAAAATCTGCTCCTTCCCTGCCCAGAAACTGAGCCCCTGTACTGACCGTTTTGCCTTTGATTGGAGGACAGACTTGGTCTGTGTCGGGGAAATTCTTTTTATTTATTTATTCTGTGGATTTTATTATTATTTTAATGTCTTTTCATTTGTTTTAATCGTTTTAGAATTTTAGAACTGTAAGCTGCCCAGAGTCATTTCGTTGAGTTGGGCGGCTATAGGAATTGAATAAAACAAACAAAGGTTTCCTTCAAGAAGGAGAAAGGAAAGCAAGTACCAGAGGCACAACAGAATTCCCTGGTCTCTGGCTTCGTATTTCAAATTAGCTTTTTTTGCTCATTTAAGCAGACTTTTGGGCGAAGGGGAGAACTGACACAGGCATATTGATCCTCTGTTTCTTTGACAGAAGATGTTCTATAGGTAGCCCTTGTCTTACCAACATTCATTTAGTGACTGTTTGAAGTTATAACGGCACTGAAAAAAGTGACTTTTGACTGTTTTTCACACTTACAACCATTGCAGCATCTCCGTGGTCAATATAATAAATATTTTTTCAGATGCTTCGCAACTGGCTCATATTGATGATGGTTGCAGTGTGTCCTGGGGTCATGTGATCCCCTTTTGTGATGTTCTCACAAGCAAAGTCAATGGGGAAGCCAGATTCACCTAACACCCATGTTACTAACTTAACAACTGCAGTGATTCACTTAACAACTGTGGCAAGAAAAGTCGTAAAATTGGGCAGAACTCACTTAACAACTGTCTCACTTAGTAACAGAAATTTTGTCCTCAATTGTGGTCGTATGTTGAGGACTACCTGTACAGTACTTTCTTCTATTGCCCTTTGCAGATGAATGACCCTATGAAGCACATTAATAACACTACCATCTAGAGCTGAATTACTGTAGATGCAGACGATTGATTCAATACTCTAGTGCAGTGTTTCTCAACCTTGACAATTTTAAGGCATGTGGACTTCAACTCCCAGAATTCCACAGCCAGCAATGCTGGCTGTGGAATTCTGGGAGTCGAAGTCCACATGCCTTAAAATTGTCAAGGTTGAGAAACACTGCTCTAGTGAGAAGAAACATGCTGCAAATAAGAACAATTAATACTAAATACATAAGTTGTCAGACTTATTTATGTCATAGATACTCTCATAAAATGACAAGAGAGATGGGTGTGGATAGTCACAAAACACTCATATATGAGAAAATAAATGGGTAAGCCTGCTGTTGTCTTTGCAGTTTTCCAGGGTGTTCTACAGCCTTCTCCTCTTAATCCTGGACTTTTTCTTCTGAGAACTCTTTTCAAACAAAATTCCCCCTTCTTATTTTCCGAGGATGCCTGTGGAGTATTTCTGGGGCCCTAAAGCATAATTGGAAAGAAGTTCTATTTGCTAGAGTTTGTTTTTAGGAGATGCCAGCTGCTCTTTCATTTAATATTTTTTTAAATAAAATCATTTTAAAACTCAGGTGGAGATGACTTATTTCAGAGTTTCCTCATTCCATAGAAACACGAACAACAAACTGTACGACTGGTGGTCTTTTCCAGAGTGAAGTGTGGGCGAACTGTTTCACTAACACAGGGGTAGGCAACCTTGGCTCTTTTATGACTTGTGGACTTCAACTCCCAGAATTCCTGAGCTGGCTCAGGAATTCTGGGAGTTGAAGTCCACGAGTCATAAAAGAGCCAAGGTTGCCTACCCCTGCACTAACAGATTGAACCAACGGAGCATTTAGTTATTTCTTTTACATAGATTGAAAGAATATCTTATTCCCAAAGATGCCGGATACTTTATGTTTGATAAAAACAGGAACAAGAAAAAGAAAAACCATAAAACTGAACAAAATGTTACAGGGTTCACTATGTGCCTTGTCCCAAAGCCTGGAAAAATGGCCAGATTTTTTATACTTTTCAGAACGTTACCAGAATTGGAGACATATAGCTCTCTGGAGGATACCTCTACTTTTTTTGGAATGATTGCAGCCTGTTTTCAGGGACATCTCGGGGAGGGGAGAAGGAGTAAATGCCAGTTTCTGACAAAAATGTCATCAATTGTGATCACATGACCGCAGGACTCTGCAAAAGGCCTTAAATGCAAGCTGGATGCCAAGTGTCCAAAATGCAGTCACATGACTGGGAGGGGGCACCATCGGAACTTTGAATCTGGATCTTAAGTATCGTTTTTCAGGGTCCTTTGTTACTGTCTTCTGAACAGTCAGTAAGCAACCAGTCATAACTTGAGTCCTTTCAAACTGGCTTGAGTCAGCTCTGTAGCTGCCATCTTGTCTACCATCTCTGTTATTACAGGATGGACAAGAGGAACCAGATTGGAAGAGATTTGGAAGACTTAAATCCTCCCCAAAAATCCAGTCAAAGGGCCCAGCTGCTCTGCATGCAGAGACTAGCACCACTGGAAAATGTGTGGACTTCAACTCCCAGAATTTTCCATCGGTCGTGGCTAGGGAATTCTGGGAATTGAAGTCCACACATCTTCAAATAGCTAAAGATGAAGAACACTGGGCTAAGGAAAATACATTCCCACTGAGTCTTATTGGCCACTGCCATCCCTGTTATAATAAGGCATATTCCATTGCCCTGCCTGCCATCTGTATTTTCCCAGTGAGTCTCCACTGATCTTCCCGTTATTTTACTGAATTGGCTTTTAATCCCTATAATGAAAAGACAGAGCAATATTATTCTACATTATTTAAAACCTGAGTGGTTGTTGAATATCTACTTTAAAATGTTTCTCTTTTAATTGTCTTTTTCTTCAATTGTTTACTATATATTTAAAATATTCACAAATTGTTTTCATCCTGTGATCTTGTTGTACACCACTCCTACAACCATCACAATGAATTAAAAAGAAATGCAAGCTTTCATTAATAATTAGAAATTCCCTTTGATAAACAAAATGGTACCACACCAACAGTTTGCATGAAGGAAACACTAGTCTAAAGAAAAAGAGGCCTGTCCAGTCTCTATTTGATGTTCCTCTTTCGTATGTTTTCTTTTAATTAATTTGAAACACTTGTTATTACCACATTCAAATACCGGAGCAAGGAAGGGCATCTCTTCAGTCTACTTTCCAGAACAATTATTCTGTTCATGTTGTAATAGGCTTGGATGGCACAAAATCTGAGCAAATATTATATTTTTTGTTTTGTTATATAACTGATAGAATCTTCTGTTCCACTTTTGACACAATGAGTCTTTAAAATACTACAAACTTCAGTTGTCCCCTCCCACACTTCATTTTTCAATCTGGATGCCTTTAGTACTTTTTCTCTGATGCTTATAAATGTAATACTATCTGTACTACTACCAAAAGTACAGTACTTCATGCTGGAGCTCTTCAAACACACTGGTGTATACAGACTCACTGAATATGTAGATATGAACTGGAGACAAATTGTATCCCAGTTTAATGATAGAAATCTTTTTCTGATTGCTTTGTATACTTTTTTCTTTCAGAACTCTAGCTTCTCTCCTTTTCATAATGTGCTTATTCATGATTCAGCTGAATATTCCAGCTTTGTACAGTATGTTATGCAGAACCAAAAATTAACTGCACAGGCTGAGTTTAAACACTATTCTAGGCTAAATGTGATTTGCTGGTTTATGATTCAGTGCATTTATTTATTATATTTTTTTATTCCATCTTTATTATTTTATAAATAACTCAAGGTGGCGAGCATACCTAATATGCCTTCCTTCTCCTATTTTCCCACAACAACCCTGTGAGGAAGGTTGGGCTAGGAGAGAATGACTGGCCCAAAGTCACCCAGCTGGCTTTCATTCCTAAAGCAGAACTAGAACTTACAGTGTTCTGGTTTCTAGGCCAGCATCTCAACCACTACTCTATATATCAGATTCTCTCAGTGTACCCAGGAACACAGTTACAGTTTAGTAGCCATTACAGGAAGAGAGATGTCTTTCTCTATGGCAACCTAAGATAAACTTTGATTTGATAATTTCACAAATCTGAGGAATGCATGAAGTTCTCACTTTGTACTTGCATTGTCAAATGAAAAGTAGAAGGAATGGTATATCTGTGCTGGAGAGCTATTGGGTAAATCAGTGTTTTGCCAGCTCAGTAATTTTCAAATAGATGGAGCCAACCTGGGAATCCTGTGAAATTAAAATCCACACATCTCAAAGTTGCTGACCTGACTGAGGAAAGTCAAAGGGAGGTACACAATTTGATGATTTGCACTTGATTTGGAGTATATTGTCACTTCTAGCCAGTATGGCCTAGGGATATGAGGATTATATGCTAAAATATTTGGAGAATACCAGATGTCTTATCTCCTTTTGTAGATAGGTTGGGGGGAGGGGGTTAGAAGAAGGCAATGTCTTGCCTTTTTCAAATGGTAGTTTTTCATCAAAGTGGCCTTTAAGTATTTCAAGTCCTTCTCAATCTGGGGAGGCTGATTCATTCCGTTGGGAAACTGACCTGAATTTGAAGGGTTTTCAAAGCCTCCCAATGCAGCCTCCTCCATGTACAGGTTTCTACCTGAACCTCTAGGAGTGATGCAATTTCTGATCTTCCTTCATTTTTTCTTAAAGTTTTTTTTTTCCCCAGAGGTTTCTCCAGTAACTGCTGTAAATGGGATTCCCCCGTCCATTTTACAATGAGGAAGATATTTCTACTATTGAAATTGAGGCACAAATTCGCCCAAATTCATATTTACATACCCAAACTTGATGTTTGCACAGCTGCTTCGTGTCAAGCAAAAGTTTACTTGGCAGTAACCGCAAAATGCAGATTCTACTTTTAAATGCATGAGATGTTAAGTTAAGCAAAGGCTACTGGCGACAGTGTTTATGCACCCCCGCCTAAATCTTATCTCTTCTACATCTTCCCAAAAAGGCAGAGAATTAAAAAATAATAAATTCAACGAATCTGTAGGGCAACATAGTGGAAAAGACAGGATTATGAGCTCCCCGAGGCGTTTTGGGCTCAGAGTCAGAAGACTGTGTTCAATAGCCACAGGATTGTTTTGTCCAGATTGTTTTTAAATGGAGGATGAAATATAATCCCGTTCCGGCAACACCTCCAGCCCTCGCGACTGCAGAGGAGCACAACCGATCGCCTCCGCCGCCTCTTTAAGCGCCTTGACAGGTGCTGCTCCGAGGGGAACTGAACGGAGCCCGCCTATTGGTCGTTGGAAGGCGAAGTGAATGATGTCATCGTACACAGCCCGATATCATTGGCGGAGAGAGGAAGGGTCGGCTCCCTGATGGCGATCTTGCGGTCGCCAAGGAGGGAGGGGAGGAGCGCTGAACTGCGGCGGACCCGGGAGTCGCCTGGTGTGCGAAAGTGGGCGCTGCATTTCCTGGCCTCCCCCGTTGGCTCGCGCTGCTCTCCCGAGGGGCGAGCGGGGGAGAGGCAAGGTAGGTTTGGAGCCCCCGAGCGAGGCGTGGGGCGGTGGGTCAGAAAAAAAAACACGTTTTTCTTGGAATTGTCTTCGGAGCTGGGTTGGCCATTCGGTGGCACCGGGGGGTGGGGAGGCTTCAGCTTTTCCTGCCTGCAGAAATAGGGAGGGCGGCCTCGGGGCGTCTCGGAGGGAAAACCTTCGCTGCATCCCTCCTTTGGAGGTGGAGCCGCTATGCAGAGAGGTCGGAGCAGGTGGAATCCCGTGTCATCCCGTTTACGTGTCCCCTGGTTCTCTGTATCGATTACTGCCATCAAGGCGTTTTCGACTCCAGCGACCACACTGATAAGTCTTCCAACATTGCACCCATGGCCACAGCAGCTTGGTCCATCCACTTAGCTGTTGGTCATCCTCCTCTTCTCTTTCCTTCCACCTCTTCCCAATATTACAGACTTCTCCAGGGATCCAGGTCCTCACATAATGTGCCCGACTGTAGGATCATTTGAGCCTGGTCATTTGTGCCTCAAGTGAGAACTCTGGATTAATTTGTTCAATGATCCATTAGATCCTGAAGTCATAATTGCCTTTCTAAGGAAGTGGGTATCAGCTGACATCCGTATTGTGTTGTGGTGGCTTGCCGCTATAATCTGAGCAATACGGAACTAGCTTGTAACATATTTCCCAGGTGTGCTTGCTTATAACCTCCATTGGTAGGGCCGGGCGACAGAGTGAATATTGGTTATTGTAGGCTGAGGAATGGTGGGAGTTGTAGTCCAATGCTTTTGGAGGGTGTCTGGCTAGGAAGATAGATTTGATGCCATCTGCTGGACATCAGGATTCTCCATACCTACAGCACCTTTAATGTTTTGGGTATCTCTTGGTCATTCGGATTTTTGCCTTTTACTTTAAATTGTTAGAAGTTTAGTAAGGTGCCATCAATTTGTTGAAGAATGCGATGCATCTTCTTAATGTCAGTTTGCAAGTCAGGGGTTTTAGATCAAGTAGCTTGATCTGGCTGTTACTGCTGTATCTGTGACTTTTATATTTATGATTAATGCCTGCCTAAAATGTGTTTTGGGCTGTTGAATTAGGTTTCTATATACTGCTGATGCTATATGAGGAAATGGCAGAAGCCCAAGGCCAAACCTCATTCAAAAGTGTAATGCATGTTTGTTGGATTTTGGTACTACCAGATTGTGACAGTTTTTACTTCCTGATGTGGTTGTGACTTGTTAATTTTAAAAAATATAAATTGGACCTGTTATTTTCAGTTTATATGACTTGAAAGTAGTTTATATTAGTGAGCATGCTTAAGTGGGCATTACATCCTGGATAATTGGGATTAACACAGCTCCTGTTTTCCAGATTATTTTGCCTCACAAAGCTTAAGTTTCTCCACTCCCAACAATGGGAATATAGAGAAAACAATGTTGGAGGTGCACAGAAACCATACAGCAGCTGCCTGACAGCTAAATGGCTCTTGGGGAAGAGATTACAGTTATCCACTTACTTTCCAAAAATGTCTTAAATGTTCCAATATCTCAGGGGCTGCCACAAAGAAGAGGGAGTCAAGCTATTCTCCAAAGCACCTGAAGACAGGACAAGAAGCAACGGATGGAAACTAATCAAGGAGAGAAGCAGCCTAGAACTAAGGAGTAATGTTCAGACTTTTATTACAATCAGTGGAGCAACTTGCCTCTAGAAGTTGTGGGTGCTCCAACACTGAAGGTTTTTTAGAAGAAATTGGACAGCCATTTGTCCAGAATGGTATAGGGTCTCCTGCTTGAGTAGGGAGTTGGATTAGAAGAACTTTAAGGTCCCTTCCAACTCTGTTATTCTGTTACATAGGAAGGTTTTTCATTTAATAATGACTAATAGTGCCAACTAAAAAGCTCAGCATCTATTTGCTACAGAGAGCAGTCTTCAGTTCTGGGAAATGTAGCCCACACATCTCAAAATCATACAGAATCCCTCTGGATATAAATCAATAATAACAGGGAAGAAGATGGTTGTCCTCCAGTCCTGTCTGCGGACTTCCTAAAGACATTTAGTTCCTTAGGAATGCTTGACTGGATAGGTTTGGGACTTATGTAAATCTTTCCCTGATTTCCCTTCCTCTGGTTGCCTCTGTTTAGTGGACATAAACCGGTGTTTCTCAGCCCCAGCAGTTTGAAGACATGTGGACTTCAATTCCCAGAATTCCCCAGCCGGCATGCCTTAGAAAAAAGCTGGCTCCTTTCAAAATCTTCCTTTGCATTAGGGGTTTTCAGACTTGGCCCTTTTATGACTTGTGGACTTCAACTCCCAGAATTCCTCAGCCAGGCACACTGGCTGAGGGATTCTGGGAGTTGAAGTCCACAAGTCATAAAAGGGCCAAGTTTGAAGACCCTTGCTTTACATCCTCTGGGTTTTTCCTCACTTGCCCAGGGCAGAAGTATGTCTTAGCAATTTTTTTTTTACTATGTTCCCAAGCAAGATTTTTTCTTCCTTGTGATTTCGAGAGAGCCTTGAAAATCTCATTCTGTTTTCTGTTTTTTCTATCTTTCTCCTTTCTTACTTAATATTGTGAGGTAAGGTAGAGGAGCAGTTGAGATATTGGACTAAGACTATAGAAACTGAGGGTGAAAGATACCTTCAGGCATGGAGATTGAGTGGTTGACTTTGGCCCAACCTTGGTCTCTTGACCTAAGTTCCCTTGTAGAGTCATTTTTGGGGAAACTGAATATATGGCTAGATATGTGATCTTGAGTTTCTGGGGCGAAGGGGGGGATATAAGTGTAACAAATAAATGAAGATCGTTTGACCTTGTCCAGTTGCTTCCAACACATCTTACAGCATGACATTTTCAGATCCCAACTTCTTGTGGTTAAGGTTTGGGTTGTCACCCTGCAAATCAAGAATACAGATGTGGGGGTTATGCAGAATAATCTTTAACCCAAGTTGCCACGTATCTACCGCCTAGGAGTCTCTTGCTCCATCAGCTTCTCTTGTTGATCTCGTAAACATTCCTCTTTCTTCCAGTCTTGTTCCTGGTCTGAAAATGGCTTTTTCCAGGATGAGGGTCCCACCTGCTCTGTTCTCCTTCCTCTTGCTATTCCAGTGGATGCCAAACTCTGGTAGTTCCCAGCAAGATACCTGCCAGACCTGTCGGGGTCTTGTCGACAATTTCAATAAGGTGGGAGCCTAGAAAGGATCTCCAAAATGGCTTGGGTGTATGTAATTATGATTAATGCAAAGTGGACATCCCATTTAGCTGGGTTTGCTAGGCATTCATCTGCCCTTCCTCCCCCCCCCTTCAGTCTCAGAATAGGATTTGGGGAGGAGGGAGCAAATGCTGCTGAGAGAGGTATGGAGATGTATAGAGGACGAGGGGCAGAAAGCAGCAATGGAGGTGGTCGGTTTGCATTGCATGGGGTTGAGGGCTGCTGTGCTGGGATGGGGTGAGAAGACCAGCTCTGGCTTTGCTGTGAGGCTTGTCCTGCCTTCTCAGGGTCTGGAGCGGACACAGCGAGAGAACTTCGGGGGCGGGAACACAGCCTGGGAAGAAGAGAAGCTTGCCAAATACGCCAACAGGTGATTTGAAGGCTGGGCTGCAACAGGCCATTGGTGAGATGTTGATACTGCAGACTCCGGGCCATACCAGTATCTTCGTTGGAAAGTAGCAACCTCTTACTAGCATCCTGATTGCATGAAAGCCAACAAGATGGGCCTTGACACCTAAGATGAAGTCTCTTTAATAAAAACAACAACAACCAAGGCTATGATAACTCATACAGTTGCTTCATTTTAAACGTTATTGTGGAAATTCTGACAATACCCCAGTTGCCAGAATCTTTATTGCAGCTGGAGGCCAAATGATAGTGTTAACCTGTCTTAAAGCCCAGTTTATTTTCTTAGGACAGAGCTTCCCAGCCTTGGAAACTTTAAGAAACATATGCATTTGTTTTGTTTGTTATTATTATTACTAGGTTTTTTTTTTTTTAAAAAAAAACTTCATAGGACCTTTTTTTACTCTTCATAACAATAACAAACAAAAAAAACCCTAAATGAATACATATCCATGTTGTCCTTAAGCATGGATGGTGAGATGTGCGGCATATAAATATAATAAACTAATAAATATTATTGGATAACAGTTCCCAGCATTCCACGTGATTTTGAATTCTGGCAGTGATTGTCACCTCAATGAGGCATTAAAGATTTCCATTAGCTGATCATGATATGTATGGCTGGAATAAAAAATTACTTTTTCTCCCTTAAGAGGTAGCTAAGCCTGCTATTTCATTAAGAATATCAGAACATTTGGGAATATTTCAAAGAGTTATAAAGAATGAGCAAGTTTTAAATTCAGCACATTTACAGGGTATTGTCCTCACTTGCCTAAAAGGAAATATCAGTCAACCTAAGATTTATTTCTATGTATATATATACATATACATACATACATACATACATACATACATACATACATACAGAGATTGTGTAGTGATGAATCATATGGTAGGACATAAATGGAGCTCAATCATCTCTAAAGTTATACTCTTCATTATTTACTAGAGGTCCCAGATAGGAAATGCACATGGACTCAGATAGCTGGCTGGGAATTATGTCATTCTAATACTTTTGGGGGAAAAAACTAATAGAAAAATAGTACTTGAGCTGGTTAATAGATTGAATTGCACCAACGCAGATAGATTTCATTTCTGCCAGTTTTAACTGAAAAATGAGCACACAGCCAGAATGCAATTTTTTTTTCCTTTGTGGATGTCATCATTAATTGGCTGGGATGTTTTCTATATAGATACCCAATCAAATCTGGGATTCTTCATGTGCCCTCCTTTCTCCTGTAACCTTCCCTGTGCATCCTTTATGAATACACCAAGTTTGTTACTTTTTTCTCCATTTTAATTATCCATTGTGTGAGTTTTGGTTTTAGTAAACTTGAAAGCTTACCTTAAAAAAAAAAAGCTAACAAAGATACATTGCAACTTTTTATCCTTTTTTTCCTCTCCTTACAATATATCTGCAGTGAGAAGCTGATTGCTGCAACATTAATTAGCTAAGGAAATGTTCCCTTGCTTGACAAACACCTTCCATGTTTGTTCCATGCTCCCACAGCTGTTGCTCACAGCGTCCCCCGAGTCACTTGCCTGTCATTTGGCCAGCTCCTGACTTGACTCTGGGGAGGAAGGAAAGCATTAGAGATTGGCTGCTGGCCCAAAGAATATCTGGATGAAATATTGAGAAAGAATATGAAGTTCATTTAAGTTCCCTGTATGAAAGGCCAATGCAGGTAGTCCTTGACCATTCGTTTAGTGACCGTTCAAAGTTGCAACGGCACTGAAAAGCGACCTATAATCATGTTTCACACTTATGACCGTTGCAGCATCCCCACAGTCACGTGATCAAAATTCAGATGCTTGGCAATTGGTTCATATTTACGACGGTTGCAGTGTCCCAGGGTCATGAGACCACCTTTTGCGACCTGCTGATAGGCATAATCAATGGGGAAGCCCACCCATCTTCAGTCTGCCAAAGCTGAATAACCCTGGCTCAGAGGGATGACAGAGGGCTGTTTTGGTCAAGCAGGCAGGGTAGACTTTCTAGGGCAGAACTCTGCCTTGCCTTGTCCAGCTTCCTCAATTCTCATGTGGTCTCTTTCTCCCCTCCCAGTGAGACACGTCTGTTGGAAGTACTGGAAAGTGTGTGTTCTACATCAGATTTTGCCTGCCACCAGCTGCTGGAGCGAAGTGAAGACCACGTAGAACATTGGTGGTTTCATGAGTGAGTCAAAAAGAGGAGGATGCTTTAACTTACTTAATGTGGAAGAAGCTCAATCCGGAGGCTTATTTACTACAGATCATACCGGTATTTCCCCCACGTTAGCAGGAGGAAAATTCAAGCCATGGGGTTGGAAGGAGGAACGTCAATGATCCACATAATTCAGTAGGCAAAGTTAAATAAAAAAAAACAAATTCAGAGATAGAATATCTGCTTTGTCTGCAGAAAGCATCTCCGGGTAGACCTTGGAAACCCCAGGCACCACCTCTAGTCAGTGTAGACCAATGGCCCATAACCTTTCTGGCACCAGGGACTGGTTTTGTAGAAAACAACCTTGGCTCTTTTATGACTCATGGACTTCAACACCCAGAATTCCTGAGCCAACCATGCTGAGGGGAAAGAGAGAAGTTTCCAAGCTGAGCCATGCTGGCTCAGGAATTCTGGGAGTTGAGGTTCACAAGTCATAAAAGAGCCAAGGTTGCCTACCTCTGGACTAAGAGATGGAAAGGAGGAGGTTGCAACCTAGAATGGCCACGGGACTTGGGTTTGGCTAGTCTAAAGAAAAGAAGAAATAGGAGAGACATGGTAGCAGTGTTCCAGTATCTGAGGGGCTGCCACAAGGCAGAGGGGGCCAGGTTGTTCACCAGAGCACCAGAGGGAAGGATGAGAAACAATGGTTGGAAACTGATCAAGGAGAGAAGCAACCTGGAATTAAGGAGAAACTTCCTGACAATGAGGACAATCAACCAATGGAACAGCTTACCCCCCAAAATTGTGGGCACTCCATCACTGGAGATTTTTAAGAAGAGACCTGACATTCACCTGTCTGAGACGGTATAAGGTCTCCTGCCTGAGCAGGGGGCTGGACTAAAAGACCTCCAAGGTCCCTTCCAGCTTCTACTCTACTCTACTCTAGTCTAGTCTAGTCTAGTCTAGTCTAGTCTAGTCTAGTCTAGTCTAGTCTAGTCTAGTCTAGTCTAGTCTATTCATTCCTGATCTGAGGTGGAGCTGAGTCAGTGATACTAATGTTGGAAAGTGGCTGCAAATACAGCTGGAACTTTGCTCGCCTGTCATTCACATCCAGCTGTATTGCTCAGTTCTTAACAGGCCATGGACCGGTACTGGCGTGTGGCCCAGGAGTTAAGGATCCCTGGTGTAGACAATCCTGTGGTGTATGGACCCATGATCTGACTTTGTATCTGTTTCCATCTCCTGCCCAAATACTATATAGCTGTTTCATTATTGGGAGTTGTACAGAGCTTGTATAATTGATAAATTGCAGCGTGGTGGAATGAGGAGCGGCAATAACCAGAAGATTTTTTTTTCCTTAGGCAGCAGCAGCATCCAGACTTTTTCCAATGGCTGTGCATGGATACCCTGAAATTATGCTGCCCATCTGGCACCTATGGCCCTGATTGCCAGAGTGAGTGTTTCAAAGGCCCCTGGGGTTTATTGGAGGGGATGCTCCAACAGCCTTTGTGCATCTCAGATCCTTACCTCATCTGTGGATCCTCCAGAATCTGGCTGGAGCAAAGACTCCAGTTATTCTCCCTGATTTAATTTCTTAATCCACATATGAGCTAAGGGTCTGAGATATACTCCTGCGATTCTTAGAAGAATATATTTTCAAGGGCCTTCTGCTGATTCTGTAACCAGGAAACATTTCTGCTGGCTACTTGGCTGGAGATGAGGAGAGTTCCAATATTTCTAGAAGGCACCAGATGGGGGAAAGGATCATGAAAGTGTAATAAACAGATCTGAGATGGTTTGTTTTAATACAGATAGTCCTCATTTAGCAACCACAACTGACCAGCACGTCTGACATTAAGTGAAGCAGTTGCTAAAGTGGAAAATCACATGACTGCAACTGCTTTCCTTTTCCCCATTCCTCCACTGTTTGGCTTTGTTATCCTACACTTGGGTAATTAACAAGAAGGGAATTAATATTTGCATTTCCATTAATTGGGTAGGAAGGGATTGCAAGAGAATAAGCAGCCACACAAGGAGGAATACACATTGAAAGCGATGCAGATGGCAGTCGTGAATGTGCTACGTGTGGGTATTCTTCACTGTGTGCCTGGCTACTCTCTTGCAATCCCTTCCTTTCCAATATCTCCACTTTGCAAGAGGAGGATGGGAGAGAGGGAAAAAAATCCATTTCTGCAGGCAGTCTCTCTGCCTGACCCATTCCTCCTCCACTCACAGAGTGGAGAATTGGACAGTAAGCAGGCACACAATGGGGAATACACTAGGCGATTTGTGTAGCACACTTGTGGTTGCTGATGCCAGTGCCTTGCTCTCGATGTGTATTCCGTATTGCGTTCTTGCTTCCTCTCTTGTAATTCTTTCTCTCCAATCCTCCATTCTGCAAGAGTAGGGGAAGAAAAACAAGAGGTCAGGCACAGGACTACACATACTGACTGTAATGGTGATCACATAACTGAATGACTCTGCAAAGTAGTAAATGGTGGCATTAGTTGTAAAGTTATTTTTTCAGCACCACTGTAACTTTGAACAATTGCTAAACAAGGCAGTTGGTAAGCGAAGATTACCTAGGATTTCCAATCATTTGAAAAAGAGTAATATTCAGTCACTAATTCAGTTGGAAGGGATCACTCAGGCCATTCAGTATGGGAGTCCAAAATAAAATATCTCTGACAGATGGAAATCCAGAGTCTATTTAAGTGCATCTAATGGAGAGAAACCTTCCAAGGCAATTGAGGTCCAGAGTCCAACTGCTTTTCCTGTTAAGAAATGTTTCCAGTAGCCAATCAGAATCTACCTTCCTATAAATTGAGACCAGTAATCTACATCCTGCCTTCTGGGGGGACAGAAAATCAGCCACAGGTATGCTCTTTGTGACAGCTTTCAGATGCTAGAAGAGTGTTAATAATCCCCTTTCCAACTTTTCCTCTCAGAGTTAAACATTTCACAATCTCTCCACATACAAATTAGCTTCCAGTCTTTCTTTATTGTCTTTCTTTGAGCTCTTCCAGTTCTCTGAATCCTCTGTAAATTGTGATGCCCAAAATTAATCACACTAGTTAAGCACTCAGTTTCTTTCCCCATACATGAGTGGCTGGCCATATAGGATGGATGGATGGATGGATGGATGGACGGACGGACGGATAAATGCAGGGCTTTTTCTCCTAATAGAACGCCCAGAACGGAGTTCCGGCACCTTTTTTGGATGGAACCTTGTAGGGTAGGCAAGGCAGGTTGTATGACGTGTGTGAGTTCCAGCACCTTTTTTTTTTTTTTTAGAAAAAAAGCACTGGATAAATGGGTCACCTGATGGGATAAGGAGAGCCGGTCCGCTTGAAGTGGTGGGGGTGAGACTTGAATCTTTAAATACTGAAGTTTTTAATGAAAATTCTTAACATTGCAAAATGTAGGTATCTGGAATGGGAAGAAAAGGTGAAGTAAGAAATCTGAGCACTGCAGAGTTAGAGCCACGCTACATGTTGGTTTCCGCTTCTGATTTCCATCTCTCCGCAGCCTGCCCTGGGGGTGCCGAGAAGCCTTGCAGTGGATATGGGCAGTGTGATGGTGAAGGCACACGTGGGGGCACTGGCCTCTGCATGTGCCAGACTGGCTACGGTGGTCCCTTTTGTTCTGAGTGTGGAGATGGCTACTATGAAGCTGCTCGCAATGACAGCCACCTGGTATGTGCGGGTATGTAGAGTGTTTGTGCTGGGCTGGGGAAGGTCGTGGAATTGTCATTTTGTAATCTCTTGGGTGTGGTGGAGAAGGCATTGGGCCAGAAATCAGGAGATGGTGAGCTCTAGTCCTGCCTTAGGCACAAAGCCAGCTGGGTGACCCTGGGCCAGTCACTTCTCTGAGCCCTAGGAAGGAAGCAACGGCAAATCACTTCTGAAATCTGGCCAAGAAAACTCCAGGATGTAATCCTGGCAGTTGCCAGGAATCAATAAAGCCCCTTTCAGGTTAATACTACCATAGATGGTGTCTTTCTGTAAACAATGTCCCTCTTCCCTTTATATCCTAAATCAGGGGTCTTCAAACTTGGCCCTTTTATGACTTGTGGACTCCAACTCCCAGAATTCCTCAGCCAGGCACGTGTGGGAGTTGAAGTCCACAAGTCATAAAAGGGCCAAGTTTGAAGACCCCTGTCCTAAATGGTAGCTTTTGTTCCAAGCTTTGGCCGTTTGAAAGGGAGAGAAGAGGAGGGTCTGAAAATATCTCTTATCTTCTTTCTAAATTGAATATAATAACCATTATTTTTTAGGAAAGATAAATGTTTTGAATTTAAAAGCTACCCATCTTACATTTACATTCTCTGAACATGGGTAATTAATCTGTTCATTGTTTATATTTGCTTTCCATGTCTGCTTTATACTTTCCAGTCTTCTCCAATAAGTATGATAGATATGAAGCACGACTTTGTTGTAGTATAACATACAGTGTCTAGAAAGTACTAAATTAGGAAGAGAGCCAGCCTGGTGTAATGGTTAAAACACCAGGCTAGCACTCAGGACACGGTGAGTTCTAATCCCACGTTAGGCACAAAACTGGGTGACCTTTGACCAGTCCTTCTCTCAAAAGAAGGAACCATCTATAATGCATTGATTATAATCATTGCTGATCTATATTAGCCATGTGCATAAAATGAAAAACAGAGGTTTCTCCGAATGTTTCAAGTTTTCTGGCCCTAGAAAGTGCTCCCTCATTTTTCACCCTCAAGCCACATGTAGAGCCACACTGGGTATGAATTACCACTCAATTGCAGAAAGTTCAATTAAGAGGATGATTTTGAAAACACGATCAATTCCTATAGAAAATAACGGGAACACATCTTTGCTTTTGCTGACTCAAAAATCGCTTTACATTAGAATCTGTTATCAGCCGGAATGATAGATTAAAGGTTTTTTAAAAAAAAATTAAATAAACCATTTGGTCACCCGGTCAGCAGCTTATAGGACAAAGGTGGGAGTTGATCTCCTTAATTTCTTTTTCATTAGCACAATTCCATTTTTATTTTTAAAAAAACCTCTGTCCTTGATTAATTTTACTGGCACCCATGTCTTTAGCAAGCAGAACATGTAATTTAAAAAAAAAACCCAGGCCCAGTGAAGGAACTATATTTTTTAGTGATGTTTTTCTTACACATAAGAAGAGATGCTTTCTGCAAGAAATAAAGAAAAGGCAGAGGAATTTCTGGTATTTCTCTTAGTGTTGTAAGATAATGATTAACATTACCCTTATAACAACAAACAAGAACATGCAGCGTTTCTCTCTCTCTCTCTCTCTCTCTCTCTCACACACACACACACACACACACATCCCAAACGCAACCAATTAGCTTATGCCAACCTAGAAATGTTTTATTTTAAATACAGTCTACTTTAAAGCTTGCAAGAGCAAGCAAATCAAAGTTTCATAATCAACCAAGTCAATACTATATTTACAGTTACATTTATAGTACCTTAGCAGCATTTAGCAATAGCAACAGCACTTAGACTTATATATACCGTTTCATAGTGCTTTACAGCCCACATTAAGCAGTTTACAGAGTCAGCATATCCCCCCCCCCCAAACAATCTGGATCCATCTTGCCGACCTCGGAAGGATGAAAGGCTGAGTCAACCTGGAGCCTGTGAGAATCGAACTGCCAAACTGCAGGCAGTCAGCAGAAGTAGCCTGCAATGCTGCATGCTAATCACCATGGATCGTGTGTTGCTTTATGTGTGAAAAGAGTTATACCACACACATACTATAAAATAAAGCTCAACGCAAGAAATAGGCGATCTCCCCATCCCATCTACCCATCTCAAAGCATCCCAAAGCCAAGTTAAAAATAACTGTAGTTTACGTGGCAGGTTGGCAACGTAAACTACAGTTGTTTTTAACTTTGCTTTTTGCATACAACTTCTTTGCATACAACTTTGCTTTGCACACCACTGGGAACAGCGTTTTCTTCAGCCCTGTGCTGCTTTTGCTTCTCAAGTTTCCACCTCACATCAGTCGTAGACTGTGTTCCTTTTCACACAATTCTGTCTCCCACCCAGAGTGCTACCGGGCCTGTGGGCGCTGTTCAGGCCCTGAGGAGACCAGCTGTCTACGCTGCAAGAGAGGCTGGATGCTGCACAACCAACGATGCATCGGTGAGCCTGTGGCCCTGGAAAGGTCTGGAGTTGCTGGGTGATGTTGGAAAAGGCAGACTTCCTTCAAAGGCCTGCTTCTACTGCATATGGTGCAGGTAGTCCTCAATTTATGACCGATCACTTAGCGACCGTTCAAAATTACAACAGGCTCCTTAAAAGGCATTTACAAGCCAATTCCTCCTCCCCCCCCTTGCAGTCACATGATTGAATTTTGGGCACTTGGCAACTGGTCGGCTCTTTGCAGTGTTCCGCAGTCATGTGACCACGATTTAATGACATTTTTGCTGAAAACACTCCATAGTGAACAAAGGGTTCACTTAACAACCAGCCCACCTGCTTAATGACTGCTGGAAAAAAATGGTCACAAAATTGAGTTGGTCACTTTATGATTGTCGTGACTTACGAGAATAATTCGGCAGGCCCCATTGAGATCATAAGTCAGAGACAACCTATAATAAATTCAGTAAATAATCGTGAAGATAGATAGTCCTCGACTTAGGACCACAATTGAGCCCAACGTTTGTTGTTAAGCGAGACAGTTGTTAAATATGCTTTGTCCCATTTTATGACCTTTTTTGCCACAGTTGCTAAGTGAATGGCTGTGGTTATTAAGTTAGTAATACGGTTGTTAAGAGAATCTGCCTTCCCCGTTGACTTTGCTTGTCAGAAGGTCACAAAAGGTGACCCCGGGATACTGCGACCGTCATAAATATGAGCCAAGCATCTGGATTTTGATAACCTGACCATGGGGATGCAGCTGCCACGGTTATAAGTGTGAAACATGGTCATAACTCACTTCTTTCAGTGCTGTTGTAACTCCGAACATTCGCTAAATGAATAGGTCTAAATTGAGGTGTACCTGTATCGTGTTTTTAACTGTTATATATGTATATTTGGATGTTATAAGCCAGGGGCCCTCCATCTTGGCAGTTTTAAGACTTGGGGACTTCAACTCTCAGAGTTCTGGGAGTTGAAGTCCCCAAGTCTTAAAGTTGCCAAGATTGAGGACTCCTGTTACAAGCTACCTAGAGCAGTGGTTCTCAACCTGTGGGTCGGGACCCCATTTGGGGTCGAACGACCATTTCACAGGGGTTGCCAAACAACGCAGTCCGCCATTTTTTCCCCCCTTAGCTGTGCTACTCCCTTTTATTCTATTGGCTTTTGAAAGCCAATAGAATAGACTCTGTTGAATAGAGTCTAATTCTATTGGCTTTCAAAAGCCAATAGGAATTGTCCAGGCTGTCTCTGCCCTGCTGAGCCCGCCAAAAGTCCCATTCTGCAAACGGTGCTGCACCAGTTGAGTAGTCCTCGACTTACGACCGGTTGAGTAGTCCTCGACTTACGACCGGTTGGGGGGTCACGGCATTAAAAAGGTTGAGAACCACTGACCTGGAGTCTTTTACAGCAGGTAGCCACAATAAATTTAGTAAATATTAATAAGAGAAACAGCAACGTAGAAGCTCAAGGAAGAATGTAAGATTCCTTCATGGGAACTGAGAGAGAGAGAGGGAGGGAGGGAGGGAGAGAAGGTCTTCTGCCTCCCCTATCTTGATCTCTCCATCTTTCTTACAGACATAGATGAATGTGGCACCGATATGGCACACTGTCGCAGCAACCAGTTCTGTGTCAATACAGAAGGCTCCTATGAGTGCCGAGGTAAGAGATGAAAACTTCCAAAATGAACCGTCTGTTGCTGTAGGCAGCCCTCGAACCCATTCAGGAAGCAGACCTGCTTCTGCCGGAGAAATGGGTCTTCGGCAGATGATCTGATGTTTCCGTTCCTCTGGGTAATGTGGGAAGCCATGCCATGAGCACATCAACCCTCGTTTGTCTTGCCTTGGTGCATGAATCCTGGTAGGCATCAGACTCTTCATGGGAGCAAAACATATGCAAAAATGACATGATCTCCCAATTGAGGACACTGTTTTTCCCATCTCCCATAGGCAGACATTCTTAGCCAGGTGGGCAGATTTACCTCTATAAGAGCAGCCTATGTTTCAGTCGTAAGCAGGAAGTAGTAGACGGACTGACGCTTCATGTTAGGCTTACTACATTTATTTGTGCATGTGTGCCTTTGAGTCAGTTTCTTACTGTTAGCAATTGCCTGGGCCAGGGGTAGGCAACCTTGGCTCTTTTATGACTCGTGGACTTCCGTTCCCAGAATTCCTGAGCCAGCCATTCTATCTGTTGCTACACCCCTTTTACTGGTTCGGTTGCTATGAAAGAGATTTATTTTGGATTATAAGAAAACCCTGGAATCTATCACACAGGAATGGTCTAAGCCAGTGATGGCGAACCTTTTAGAGACCGAGTGCCCAAACTGCAACCCCAAACCCACTTATGCATTGTCGGGTGCCGGGTGGGTGTGGCCCATTGGATGGGTGTGACCCATCGGGTGGGTGTGGCCCATTGGGTGGGCGCAGCCTCAGTGGTAACGGCAGACTGGGTGGGACTAAAAAGTTCAATCAGTCAATTCCAACTTTGCAAGATCTTTTTTTCCCCACGAGAAGTTGAAATTGACTCATTGATTGAACCTTTTTTTTTTTTTTGCACACGGCGGCGGAGACCTAAAGCAAAAAGGTTTTTTAAAACCCAGCTGAAAGCCTAGGACTGGGGCGACGGCGCGCGTGCCCACAGAGAGGGCTCTGAGTGCCACCTCTGGCACCCATGCCATAGGTTCGCCACCACTGGTATAAGCTGGGGTAGGCAACCTTGGCTCTTTTATGACTCGTGGACTTCAACTCCCAGAATTCCTGAGCCAGCCATGCTGAGGGGAAAAGGAGAGGTTTCCAAGCTGAGCTATGCTGGCTCAGGAATTCTGGGAGTTGAAGTCCATGAGTCATAAAAGAGCCAAGGTTGCCTATCCCTGGCCTGGACCAATCCCTGCAATTTTCTTTGCAAGGTTTTTGGGAAACAATTTGCCTTTGCCTCTTCCTTCTTCCTAAGGCTGGGAGAGAAGGATTGGCCCAAGACCACCCAGCTGGCTTTGCACCCAAGGAGGGGCTAGAACTCACAGTCTCCTGGTTTCTAGCCTGATACCTTTAACTGCTGTGGTTCATACAAAAATAATGTTCTGATATTTCTCCCTTACCTTTTCATTCAGCCAGCTAGCCATCCAGCCTTACTTACCCCTAGGGGTCAATGCCTAGGCCCAGCTCTTCATTTTGCTCTCTACTTTCTCTTTAGACTGTGCCAAGCCTTGTATTGGCTGCATGGGTGCTGGGCCTTCTCGCTGCAAAAAATGCAACAAGGGATACCAGCGAGATGGTGTCAAATGCCTTGGTAAGTTCAAGTATCACCCCTTTCTGTGCAAGTGTTCCTATCAGGAGTCCTTGGCGCTGTCTGAATTTGGTTGTTTTCATGCAGATGTTTCATATGAGCAATAGCACTTAGACTTGTATATACTGCTTCATAGTGCTTTACAGCAGAATTCCCCAACGTTTCCAGCTCTGTGGACCAGCAGTGGGGGGGGGAGAGGGGATAGTTCTGCATGAGTGGTGGGCAAGGGCGCAGGTGCGTGCAGCTCTGTTTGTGCAAGTGGCAGGCACACATGCCAGCCACTCACGCAAATGGAGCATGCACACGTGCTTGCCCGCTGCTCGTGCAAGTTGGGATGCGCACGCACGTGCATGCTCACTTGCCACTTCCACGGCCTGGCTCTGAATGGCTCAAGGCCGAGTAGTGGGCCACAGTCCAGGGGTTAGGGACCCCTGCTTTGCAGCACTAAGCGGTTAACCCAGTCAGCATATTGCATATTGCCCCCAACAATCTTAAGTCCTCGGAAAGATGGAAGGCTGAGACAACCTTGAGCTGGTCAGGATCGAACTCCTGGCAGTGGGCAGAGTCAGTGCAACACTGCATTCTAACCATTGTTCCCCCATGGCTTCTACCCAGTTTCATTACTCAAACTAAGTCACATCATCAGTGCTAGTAAGGAGTGGGGTTTACTCTCAGTTTATGTTCTGGTGGCTTGCCCTGTCAGTGTTAGCGGGGGCGGTCTTAGAGATTCTTTGACTGGGCTGTTTGCCATTGGCTTTTTTGGCAGTTCCTTGGCTGGGTATTCCTATTCCTGCATAACTGGGAGGCAGCCAATCTTCTGGGCAGCCTAGAGGACTTGGTCTGTTAAAGCAGCAAGGACTCCTTTAATTTTAACTTTGGGAGTTGCTGAATTGTTGCAATCTGTTTTCCTTGGACTCCAGATGGGGCTATGGTGGTTGGCTCTATCCCGGAAAATACTCTAAATTGGCCCCAACCCTGTTAAGCCTTTCGTAAGGTCCTAAAATCGTATCTGCATTTCGGTGCCTGAGAGGCTGAATGTGTTCAGGGCCCCATTGCCTGGTTGTATTGCCAACTGGCCAAGTATCTTGGATGTGTGTGTATATAATCTGGATGTCTTTAGTGTTTTTATTGGTTTAAAATGTTTTTAGCATTTTGGATGGTAGGGTATTTTTTGAACTGTATGCCGCCGAAAGTCATTGACTGAAATGGGCAGCTATAGAAATGGAATGAATGAATGCTGTGGCAGCTGTAGTTATTGCCAATCAATACCTGCAAATTCCTCCCCCATGATTGCATCAAAGTTAATATAATTAATCAAATGGCTGAAGTCACAAAAATCCACGTGGGGAATGCCAAAAATCTCATGTAAAATGTCAGAAGATTTCCGTCTTTTTCCACAAGAGTTCTGACGGGTGGGATTTTGCAGGATCTGGTTGCTTTCATTGGGGAGTTCGCTGTGAAAGAGTTACTGATCACTGAACTAGGGTCTAAAGAGTAACCTGAGGTTTTGTCCTTTGGCAGGTATGCAGCCCAGCCAAAGAGGGAATAGAGGAGTTCCAGAAAAAGTTGTAGGAAAGCCGTGGAATTATGGATAGAAAGTTTCAAGGAATGAACTGAAACACATAGAGTTAAATAAAGAGGTGGATCATAGTTGGCTATCGGTAAGGGTAGTCCCTGACTTACGACAGTTCGTTGAGTGACTGTTCAAAGTTACAACAGCACTGAAAAATGTGACTTAGGACCATTTTTCACACTTAACAAGCATTGGAACATTCTCATGGTCACATGATCAAAATTTGGCTGCTGGACAACTGACTCATACTTATGTCCTGGGTCATGTGATCACCTTTTCTGACCTTCTGACAAGCAAAGTCAATGGGGAAGCCAGGTTCCCTTAACAACATTGTTGCTAACTTAACAACTAGAATAATTCACTTAACAACTGTGTCAAGAAAGGTTGTAAAATGGGGCTAAGTTCACTTCACAATTGTCTCGCTTTGCAACAGAAATTTTGGGCTCAATAAGTCCAGGACTATCTGTATTTTGTCATGGCATTTGAGCACTCAGCTCCCTTTTCTCCAATTGTTAATCCCAAATGTAACAAGCTAGTGGAAGAAGAGGCCTGAGAGCTCACGGCAGGTAAGATATAGCATATAAAATATGCAAACCTTATCTGGATTGATTTGCTAGGCCACAGATTTTTTTTTCCCCTTGTTTGGAGCAAAGCCCGAATTTAGATTTGTCCTTCGACACTTGAAATCTGCTGAATCAAGGTTAGGAAAAGCAAGGATTTACTGGGTTAGAAACGGTGAGTGAAGAGCAGCAGTTGAGCAGGGATGATGACCCTGCAGAGCTCAGAAAACATGGCTGCTGCATTGGTGGATGAAAATGGGAAATACAAAATGGAGGAATTTTAGCCAATATGTTTATGATTCTATGACCTTATTGGCTCCCAGATGTGGATGAATGTGCTGGTGAAGTGGAGGAACCTGTGTGTACGGGCGCCAACGAGGTTTGTGAGAACACAGATGGCAGCTATCGCTGTGTTTGCGCTGAGGGACATCTACGCAAAGAGGGGATCTGTGTGGAAGACAAACCCCCAGGTAAAAGTTAGTAGGTGCATTTTATTTTTATTTATTTATATCTCGCCTTTGTTGCTTTTGCAAATAAGGTGACCTAATACTCATTCCTCCTCCTGTTTTCCCCATAACAAGAACCTTGTGATGTAATATGATGTGGGTTGGGCTGAGAGAGAATGACGGGCTCAAATCCAGCCTTCTTTCATGCCTAAGGCGGAACTAGAAGTCACAGTCTCCTGGTTTCTAGCCAGGTGCCTTAACCACTAGACCAGTCTGGCATCCTTGACAGCTCAAAGCTTCTTGCTGTGCAGTAGCCATAATTCTGTCTAGGACCAGCTTTGGGATCCGTCTTCTTTGTCGTTCTCTGCTCCCTGTATTCTGCAGACATTTCCTCACAAACCCGCCCTTTCAGGAATAGTTGGGGTCTACAATTGAGTTAAACACAATCATCCCAATCAGAATGATATTCCAAATGAGACACACATTTGGATTTATTTTGGAGTAAATGAATTGTGGAATTGAGCGGCACGGTGCCTAGAGGTGGAGCTCTCGCCTCACTATCAGGAGACTGTGAGTTTGATCCTGGGTAGCAACAGATATTTCTCTCTCTGGGAACAAAGAAAAAACATCTGCTGCGAACTCCATGTAGGCATCAGGAAGAGCATCCAGCCAGTAAATGCTCAGCTCTATTCAGTTGCCCCAACTCCACCCTGAGGCAAGGGATTACAGCAGGGGTAGGCAACCTTGGCTCTTTTATGACTCGTGGACTTCAACTCCCAGAATTCCTGGGCCAGCTCAGGAATTCTGGGAGTTGAAGTCCACGTGTCATAAAAAAACCAGGGTTGCCTACCCCTGGATTACAGGGTTGTTAAAAGATAAAAAAAATGAATTGTGGAATTACTACTTAAATATATTTCTGAATCAAATTGAGGCTCAGTTTTTACATAGCGGGCAGGGGAAGGGCGAACCTAGACCAGTGTTTCTGAACCTTGGCAGGTTTCAGATGTGTGGACCTCAACTCCCAGAATTCCCCTTGATGGCTGGGTAATTCTGGGAGTTGAAGTCCACACATCTGAAACTTGCCAAGGTTCAGAAACACTGACCTAGAGAGCCAAACTGCTCCAGAGCTCAAAACCTGACTGCCCTTGCCACTGCTGATGACCTCTTTGTTGCCCCGCAGATGCTCCCGAAAAAGGATTCTTTGACGACATTACAGATGACGAAGTGGTTGTGCTGCAGCAGATGTTCTTCGGGGCCATCATCTGCGCGCTGGCCACCTTGGCTGCCAAAGGAGACATGGTCTTCACTGCCATTTTCATAGGTGCCGTCGCTGCGATGGCCGGCTATTGGATGTCGGAGCGCAGCGACCGCGTTCTCGATGGCTTCATGAAAGGCAGATAGGGCTTAGGCAGGGTTCACTCCCTTACCTGCTTCCTGCCTCGGAGAGCCAGCTGGGGGGGCAGGAATACCTTGACCCCCTACCCTTTCCCCCTTATCTTAGCAGGTTTGAAACCAGGAGATGGGAAACACAACCTGCATCCCCATCTGGCCTAAAACAAGCCTTGACTTTCTGAAGATACGCTGGAGGGACAAATAGGAGCTGGGAAATCATGCAGGCCTATCACTGAGAGGTCCTGACAGGTATTAGAAGGGACTGGATACCCCTTAAGGAAATTTGAGGTTCAGAAGACACCGCCCCTATTATTGTCCAACTGACCCACTCTCCATGCATGTTGGATGATCCTGGAAGAGTTCATCCCAATAAGCTATGATCTTTCCCACTTGGGGCTGCCAAGGCTAACTGGAGAAAAGCTCAGCTCTTTGGGTTTGTGTTGGCGTGGGGTGGTTCCCTGCTGGCTTTTGGGGAAACCTTGTCCTTTGGCTAAGAGTTGACCTACACATTGCATTGAAGGAAGAGAGAAATGGCAGCAATACATTGTTAGAGTGTTCCGCTTCAGGTAGGATCCAGTGTTTGGGCTGACCTCAGAATCACCCTGTATTGAATCAACCAGTATCACAAGAGATAGCATAATATAAATTTAATAAATACCGTATTTTCCGGCGTATAAGACGACTTTCTAAACCATGCAAATCTTCTCCAAAGTCGGGGGTCGTCTTATACGCCGGAAAATACGGTAACAATATATATACACTTATTTGTGTGGTCAGAAGTGGTACATTTCAAAATTTTCTCATCTGCATAATAAATGTATGGGCTTGCTCTCACTCTGTTGGGGGCAGCTTGGAAGGCGAAGGAAATTGAAAGAGGCCTGCATGTCCACCTTTTCGCTTTGCAATTCTGTATCTCAGGAAAAATAAATGTGTCTAAACCCACGCAGCTCCTACCATTGCACCCTCTCTGTCTCACGTGCCAGTGGTTTTTGTTCTGCCAAACTTGTACACACAAGGTTCGAAACTTGCAATTTCGCTTCAGCCTTCACGTTAAAAGAATTTTTGGAGAAGACTTGAAGAAATGTCTTCTCCAAAATGTTCCTCTGTCTCTGTTTTCAAAAACCACATGAGCCTTCTCCAAGTTTTGTCGGTCTTTTCTCATGCATGAAACTTTGATCCTTGGACTATTGGACAGGAATGAGTGGAATTTCAACTAAGACAGCTTCAATCCTCTCCTAAGGTTAACTTGTTTGCTTGCTTGAGCTTGTAGGCCACTCACTTCCTTATTAACTCTAGATGGCTTATCGAAATAAAAGGAAAACGGCTAAACAACAGCTAAAGCAAACCATAGAGTGTTATTTTAGAACAAATGTTTAAACCATTGTTAAAAATCAGAACAATTAAAGGCCCTGAATAAACAGGTATTTTGCCGATGGTTAAAAAAAACCCCTCTCCTAAACTGTAATGAAAGAAGACTTGTTTCAATTTAAAATACAGTTTGTTCCACAATGTGGCCCTTTTCACAGAGAATTAATCAGCTGGAAAGGAGGCCTAATTTAACCACTGCTCAAGCAGGAGACCCTACCATTTCAGACAAGCAGCTGTCTGGTCTCTTCTTAAAAACCTTCAGCAATGAAGCACCCCCAATTTCTGAAGGTGACCGTTCCACTGGTTAATTGTCCTCACTGTTAGGAAATTTCTTCTTAATTCCAGGTTGCTTCTCTGGAATGGATAGGATAGGATAGGATAGGATAGGATAGGATAGGATAGGACAGAATAGAATAGAATAGAATAGAATAGAATAGAATAGAATAGAATAGAATAGAATAGAATAGAATAGAATAGAATAGAATAGAGACTTTGGAGGTCTTCTAGTCCACCCCCTACTCAGGCAGGAAATCCTATAACTATTTCAGAGAAATGGTTGTCCAATTTCTTCTTATCAACCTCCAGTGATGAAACAGCCACAACTCCTGAAGTCAAGCCGTATCACTGGTTAATTGTTCTCACTATTAAGTTTCTCCTTAATTCCAGGTTGCTTCTCTCTTTGATTACTTTCCATTGTTTCTCTTCTTGCCTTCTGGTGCTTTGGAAAATAAGGTGATCCCCTCTTCTTTGTGGCAGCGCCTCAAATACTGGAATACTGCTAACATGTCCCGCCTAGTCCTTTTCTCTAGACTTGCCATATCCAAATTCTGTGAATGTTCTTCATATGTTTGTCTCCAGGCCTTTAATCATCTTACTTGCTCTTCTTTGCACTTTTTCCAAAGTCTCAACATCTTTTTTTGTAATGTGATCAGAACCGGATGCAGTATTCCAGGTGTAGCCTTACTAAGGCTTTATAAAGTGGTACTAATAGAAAAATATTAAATATTTTAAATATGTAAATATAAATTTTAAAATGATAAAGCATTGAAGTTGCTCCATTGTTGATCTAAGTGGGGGGGGGGTGGACTATTTAAGAAAGCAACAAATGGCATTTCAACATGAGATTAAGGTGAAGTCTGTTAAAATTTCTGAACTATTTTCAAGAGTCACCATACTAAAAAACCATAAAATAATTTAACCTTGAGGTTACCAGAATTTACAGTTATGTGAAAAAGAAAGAACTCTTTGAATTCTATGGTTTTACACAGTGCTTTTTTTGTAATAATAAAAAAAAGGTTCCAGAACTCACACACGTCATACAACCCGCCTTGCCTACCCTACAAGGTTCTATCCAAAAAAGGTGCCGGAACTCCATTCTAGGCATTCTGTGACAAAAAAAAAAGCCCTGGTTTTACATATCAGGACATAGTCATGCAACAGGACAGTGATCTCAAGCACACCAGCAAATCTACAACAGAATAGCTGAAAAAGAAAAGAATCGAGGTTTTACAATGGCCCAGGCAAAGTCCAGACTCAACCTGATTGAAATGCTGTGTATAAACAAATGGCCATAAACCTCAATGAACTGAAGCAATGTTTTAAAGAAGACTGGGCCAAAATTCCTTCACAACAATGTGAGGGGCTGATAAAGTCATTAAGAAAATGATTACTTCAAGTCATTGCTGCCAAAGGTGAGTCTACAAACTATGGAATATCAGGTGTACTTGGTTTTTCACATATGGCCTCTCCATTGTGGCTTCCTTTTGTAAAATAAAAGAGGACATGGTGTTATATGTCATGTATTTTGTTCATGTGAGGTTTTATTTACCTACTTTTAAAAACTGCTAAGGACCAGATGATTTTTACTGTGTCCCGATTATGTAAAACCATTGAACTCAAACAGGATGTACTTTCTTTTTCACATGATTGTAGGTGACCAAAAATGCAAACCTTAAGAAGTGTGCAATACTCTCCAGAGGTCTAGCCTCTGAAATCAGTAACAACTCCATCGTGTTCATGCAACGTTTCAAGTTTAGTTTGCAGCAGAGAACATAGAAGTGATACATGATAGATAGATATACAGTAGATCTCTGGCCCATGGGCCAGATGCATCACGCCCAAACCACGCCCACCCCATTGCCAGCAATGGGGAAAAAGTTGCGATACGCGATACGAGTTTCACATGCCTGATATAGATGATAGATAGATAGGCAGGCAGGCAGACATGACATGACATATAACATGACATATGACATGATCACATGACTTGAACATAGATCAAGGTGTGAAACTCACTATGTCACATGACGTGTCATGACTTGCTGCAACTTTTCCCCCCTTGCCAGAGCAGGGGTGGGTACGGCTTCCGCATGAGGCATCTGGCCCATGGGCCGGCAGTTTGACACCCCTGACATATATGATAGAAGGATGGATGGATAGATGATGTGATAGTGGAATTTTCCTCCAATGGGATTTTCCCATGTATTTTACCAGGAAAATGTGCAGCCTAGAAAAGTAAATACCCTCCTAACCATACCCAAGTAAACTGAGTTTGTTGGTGACGTCCATTTTGCTGTACGGGTTCATGGTGACTTAACCCTAACCCTAAGTGGAATTTTCCTCCAATGGGATTTTCCCATGTATTTTACCAGGAAATATAGATAGGGCAGGCTAGAAAAGTAAATGCTCTCCTAACCATATCCAAGCACTCTGATTTTCTTGGCAATGTACATTTTGCTCTATCAATTCATGGTGATCTAACCCTAACCCTACGTGGAATTTTCCTACAATGGGATTTTCCCATGTATTTTACCAGGAAACATAGATAGCGCAGCCTAGAAAAATAAATGCCCTCCTAACCATTCCCAAGCACTCCGAGTTTGTTGGCAATGTCCATTTTGCTCTACGAGTTCATGGTTACCTAACTCTAACCCTAAGTGGAATTTTCCTCCAATGGGATTTTCCCATGTATCTTACCAGAAAACATAGATAGGGCAGGCTAGAAAAGTCAGTGCCCTCCTAACCATACCCAAGCACTCCGGGTTTGTTGGCGATATCCATTTTGCTCTACGACTTCATGGTTACCTAACCCTAACCCTAAGTGGAATTTTCCTCCAATGGGATTTTCCCATGTATCTTACCAGAAAACATAGATAGGGCAGGCTAGAAAAGTCAGTGCCCTCCTAACCATACCCAAGCACTCCGGGTTTGTTGGCGATATCCATTTTGCTCTACGACTTTATGGTTACCTAACCCTAACCCTAAGTGGAATTTTCCTACAATGGGATTTTCCCTTGTATTTAACCAGGAAACAGATAGGGCAGGATAGAAAAGTCAGTGCCCCCCTAACCATACAGAAACACTCCAAGTTTGTTGGCGATGTCCATTTTGCTGTATGAGTTCATGGTGACCTAACCCTAACCCTAAGTGGAATTTTCCTCCAATGGGATTTTCCCATGTATTTTACCAGGAAACATAGCGCAGCCTAGAAAAGTAAATGCCCTCCTAACCATACCCTAGCACTCCGGGTTTCTTGGCGATGTCCATTTTGCTCTATGAGTTCATGGTTACCTAACCCTAACCTAAGTGGAATTTTTCTACAATGGGAGTTTCCCATGTATTTTACCAGGAAACATAGATTGGGCAGGTGAGAAAACCTAGTGCCCTCCTAACCATACACAAGCACTCGGGGTTTGTTGGCAATGTCCATTTTGCTGTATGGGTTCATGGTGACCTAACCCTAAACCTAAGTGGAATTTTCCTCCAATGGGATTTTCCCATGTATTTTACCAGAAAACATAGATAGGGCAGGCTAGAAAAGTCAGTGCCCTCCTAACCATACCCTAGCACTCCGGGTTTGTTGGCGATATCCATTTTGCTCTACGACTTCATGGTTACCTAACCCTAACCCTAAGTGGAATTTTCCTACAATGGGATTTTCCCTTGTATTTAACCAGGAAACAGATAGGGCAGGATAGAAAAGTCAGTGCCCCCCTAACCATACAGAAACACTCCAAGTTTGTTGGCGATGTCCATTTTGCTGTATGAGTTCATGGTGACCTAACCCTAACCCTAAGTGGAATTTTCCTCCAATGGGATTTTCCCATGTATTTTACCAGGAAACATAGCGCAGCCTAGAAAAGTAAATGCCCTCCTAACCATACCCTAGCACTCCGGGTTTCTTGGCGATGTCCATTTTGCTCTATGAGTTCATGGTTACCTAACCCTAACCCTAAGTGGAATTTTTCTACAATGGGAGTTTCCCATGTATTTTACCAGGAAACATAGATTGGGCAGGTGAGAAAACCTAGTGCCCTCCTAACCATACACAAGCACTCGGGGTTTGTTGGCAATGTCCATTTTGCTGTATGGGTTCATGGTGACCTAACCCTAACCCTAAGTGGAATTTTCCTCCAATGGGATTTTCCCATGTATTTTACCAGAAAACATAGATAGGGCAGGCTAGAAAAGTCAGTGCCCTCCTAACCATACCCTAGCACTCCGGGTTTGTTGGCGATGTCCATTTTGCTCTCCAAGTTCCTGGTGACCTAACCCTAACCCTAAGTGGAATTTTCCTCC